ATCAAATCCAACGTTGTGGAACAATTTTTTAAAGTTCACCTGCAAGAGACGTCGCTGCCCCCTCCCAGATCCGCCCTTGTACATTATACAATAGACCCAATAAATGGGTCACCTGAAGATTAACCCTCAGCTTATTTCACCCTAAGATTAACCACTCTAGTCTAACACATGGGGCAAATACCACAATAAAAACTGAAACAGTAAAATACTTACAATATTTATTTTAAGAATATTTAATTACATCACAGATTGTTTCATAAAAGTGTATCATTATAACTGGAGCAATATGACGAAGCAGCGAGAAGGTGAAATGGCCCGTATCAACCTAACATTATGTAAGGTAATCAAAAGTACCCTAACGTCATTAGATTGGGTTAAGGTAGGTTTAGTTAAGTAAAATTAGACTAGATTAGGTTTGATAAAAATAGTTTTGGATAAGTCATGTTACGTGACATTTCGATAGATTAGGTTAATTTTTCTGGTGTCTAAAAAAATAATGGTAAAACGTCCTCCACGTACACACACGGCTATTAAGTCCTATACTGTACGTATTACCATTAAGTTTGTCTGTGTCAAGGTTTTTATTCAGGCGGTTACCCCAATTGTTTGGAGACTAATGAACCACAAACCCCTAGATCAGACTCGTGAATCCGAATCATTTGTAGACAAAATAATGCTTCAATATCTACTGCCTCGAATTCACGAGTCTGATCTAGGGGTTTGTGGTTCAGGAGAGGCGACAGGACTTTTGTGGGTGACTACGTCAGGCAAGGACAGCAGAGGAGCCGCTCTAAAAGAGAACGTAACTCTCAGTGTTATCAATTTTAGGGGTAACCGCCTGAGATCGTGCGAGAACACCTTGCCACAGACAAACTTAATGGTAATACAGGACGTAATTGACATGTGTATACGTGGATATTCAATAGCTTATTTTATTCCCTGTTATTAACTGAAAATGTAGCAAGTCAGTACGACACCATATTATAGGAGTGTACTGTAGACCCACCCATGTCGATTCCAGGCTTTAAAGAGAGACCCCTTGGTGCTCTTCCCGCTAGCTCTTAAATTTAACTGTAACCACCATAAAACTTGGCGCCGTTTGTCTTCAGTGAAAGAGTGGATACACGTTATTCAATTTATAAAGCTATAATCCATCCAAATATACAAACTGAAAGAAATTATAAAATTCCAGAGCAAAAAATGGATACCACTGGAAAGCGTTGTGGTGATTTGCACAAACACGATGGGTGATCAGTACAGTACTCTTAAACTAAAGAAAAAAATGCCAATTTCACTTATTTAGGTTCATATTTAGCAGGAACTTTATAGATACTGTATAGTAATACTTCACCTTTCGTTTTAATTTTTAACAGCTTGTTCCTAAAAACTGGAAACGGAAAATTTTGATCTTTTAGGATTCATTCTGTTTTTCCCTACAGAAGAAACCGCTCAACAGTTATGTTGTGAGAAAGACTGTCTTGAAGGATTGTTGTGAAAGGAAACAATTAGAATCAATAAAATAAAAAATCGGACTGTTCAAAAACACAGACCTAATCTGAACTGCTCGGCCGCTTGTAGTCACGGAATAAAATCCTGTCAGTCCTGTACCCGATCCATGAACCTCGAGACTCAAGGACCTGTTAATCCGAGACATCACACGACCTGGACCCAGTGTTCCACGTATGGGCCTAATAATGTCTCGGTCTCATAGATTCGTATGTCTCAGGTTGGGGTACTGATCGTAACTGTGCGTTTTAATTTCACTTTGAAGCAGTTGAATAAATCTTTCTCGTGTTCTTCTGTGGCTGAAGAACCAGGAAAGCCTCGACACTCAAGCAAAATTCTTTCTTCAACCTTCTTATCATTTTTTTCAGTTTCTTTTCTCTTTCAATCCAATTAATTTGTTTGATGAATGGAACGTAGTTGTGCTGCCTCAGTCGGCAGCAAATTATTAGTACAAATAGTTTTCACAAATTAGCGATCAACTTTTCTAAAACTTAGTGCCGTTGTTGCACTCGCAATTTTGAAAATCAGCGGCGCTAACGATATCGCTAACAGATTGTGTGATCATTAAATATACTGTGGGGTTCAGGATATTTGATTCACACTCAGGATGGGATGGCGAAAGGAAACTCACAATGTGCTCTCTATATACATGTTGTATTGGATGTACAGTGCAGCTTGGTGCTGGGAAGGCAGCATGGTTACAAGCGTTGAATAGAGAGAGCTGGTTGGTGAGGGTGCTCAGAGGAGGACCAGCTTGTGGGTCGCCATGCTCGCCGGCAGGGGCGAGGGCCACCAGGCAGGAGGAGGAGGAGGTGTTGCTTGCTGCGGCTGTAGCTAGAAGAAGGGCTAGGTCACCACGAGGTCAGGTCTTATTTAGCGAAGGTAGGCGTGGCTTAATAGTTGACCCCCATCATGTAAGGCGGCGCTGGTTGACCTAGACCACGAGGCATACACTAGGGAATTCGCGGGGTCGGCTACTCAGCGACAAGCGTTTGTAGGGGAGGAATCCACTACAACGACCGTCTTGACAGATATTGCAAGTCAATATCTGTCCCATTCATTGACAACTGGGACAAGTTCTACGGCAGAAGGGACCTTTATGCTAAGGATGGGGTGCACCTCTCTCGGGATGGGGTGGCAACCCTGGCTGGGTCTCTAGAGGAGGCAGTTCAAAGGATATCAAAGTCTTTAAACTGCTAGGGGAACATATGGGCACGGGGGTGGGGGAAACTGCAGTGGGAGCGGGTAAACAAAGTAAAAGATTACAGGGAAATAGTGTTAGGAATGATGACAAAACTAAATTAAACAGGGAGTTTAAAACTAAACGCAGTAAAGGGAAGACTCAGAACACGACTAACTTAAATGTCTATTATGCGAACAGTAGAAGTATGAGAAACAAAATGGATGATATTAGGGCCTTGGTATGTGCCGAAAAAATCGATATAATAGCATTCACTGAAACATGGATCAACCTAGACTCACGTGAGTTGCCGGTCGAATAATTTGTCGCCTAAAATATACTTTTTTTACAGAATTGAAATTTAAGGGATTTAACTAATTAAGTACTTACAGAATAACACATTAGCATCCTTACTGGAACACATGGAACTCTTGGAACACATACTAAATAACAGACTGGATAAGTTTCTGGTTAACCCCAACAAACTCAACTCAAAACAACACGGCTTTAGAAGAGGGAGAGGAACCCAAATGGCAATAGCAATAATAACAGAAATCATAGCCAAAGAAAAACAGCAAGGAAACCAAGTAAACATAGTCTTAAGAGATGTGGCAAAGGCATTTGATAAAGTGTGGCACAACGGACTAGCATATAAAATACTAAAACTAGACCTACCTGCAGAAATAGAAAGAATCCTATGTGACTACCTTCAAAAGAGGACAGCACAGCTGCAAATTGGCAACCATTTAGGTCCACCCTTCGACCTAGAAAGCGGAGTGCCCCAAGGAGGCGTCCTATCCCCAACACTATTCCCCATATATACGAGCAACTTACCTGAACCAACGCAACATAGCGAACACATAATCTTTGCCGATGACATCACACAAAGCATATCATATCCCAGAAAATCAGAAGCAATGATAGCACGCCATACGGCCTTAGCAATAAAAAACATAAATGACTACGAAAAGAAATGGAAAATACGGACAAACATCAACAAATTTAAAATCATACCAATTGCCAAGAAAAAGGTCGAACCAGTAATAGTCGATGGAGAAATTCAAACATACACCAACGAAGGCAGCATCCTGGGACTTAAACTCACAACAAATGGTTACCAGAGCTTCATCAACGAAAAAGTCCACAAACTACGTAGCAAACTCAAAAATAAGAAGATTAAAAAAACTGAACATACCAAACAAAAGGAAATTATACATGGCACTAATAAAATCAGTAATGTGCTACCCACCTGTACCAACCAACTCATTTGGTGCAACGAGAATCAAGAAACTTCAAATGGTACAAAATAAAAGCTTAAGATTCATATATAACATTAGTTACGAAGAAAGAGTAACAAATGGAGAACTCCATAGAAGAGCCAACATTAACGCAGTAATCGTAGACATCTACACCCAAGCCAAAAGAACATGGGATAAGTACGAGAGTTAGACTCAGAAACTGTAGCAAACTGGCTCAACAATGAACCAGTAAGAAGAACAAGAGAACACGCTTGGTTCAGATTAAGTGGAATAAGAGTCGACAACCCACCACCAATACCAAAATACATCTAAAAATTATCAAATTCAATACAAAAACAAAAAGAACTGTATAGCCATTAAATACTGTACCTTCAAGTCAAGCTTCAATCTTTCAATTAAACCAAAAAGATAGGACCACCTCCTTGTGAACAAAAGTAGCAAGTTGGATCCTACAACTCTTCTTAGAAATTAAAATTCCCTACTATAAACAAAAAGCTTCAATTCTCTAAAACAGAAAAATGTTTCATTAAAAGATGAGTGACCAAAGGACACTACAAAACAAGTGCTCATAACACACTACGGTCCACCCCCCAGTACCATAGACCTCAAAACCTGGGGGATCTACGAAGTGAGGCCCTTCATCCCGGAGACCCTGCGGTGCTTCAGATGCCAGAAATGCGGGCACCATCAGACGAGGTGCACGTACAAGGAAATCTGCGCCGTCTGCGTGCAGAAGCACGGCACACACTCCTGCCTTACCAAGTTGAAGAATGGGGAAAAAATTACTCCTAAGTGTGCCAAGTACCTTCATGTGGGAAACCTAAAGGCAAAAACAACAAAGCCAACCTCCTCAACCGGTCAACACCCAAAGTGCAGCCCAGTTTCCTGGCCTCACTACGGCTACACCTCAGCCCCCCAAGCAGCAGACAACGACAACTACGAAGAGGACCACTTAAAGTGAGGGTTCACTGTAATGCAAACAAGAAACGAAGTAAAAAGGATACTCCATAGATTAAGCAGGGGGTGTACTGATAGTGGGATATACAGTATAAGGATAACCGTAGATGGACATTTCGGCCCAAAAAATTTATTTTGGTTGATCAAGTGGCTACACTGGGTCTAAACCTAAAGGGACCATAAATTATAACTAGTAAAATATATTCTCCCTCTACAACATTACCACTTTCACCAGCACCATTATAACATACATATTACATTCAGTAGACATTTTTTTCAACTTTGGTTTTATTCAGTTCCTTTAACCTCTTTCTTCATCATTTTCATCTTAGCAAGCTGACCAAGAGAACTCTGATAACGCCTCTCAAGAATATGTAGAAAGCGGGAATCAAATATTGGCCTGTACTTGGTGTGGAAGTTGATAGCAGTCTGAATGGGGTCACCTAAAAAGACAAGCCACATTAATATACAAAAATATGAGACTGAAATATAAAATTTAATTTTAAGCATGAGGGGAGACAGCAAGTATTGTGTGAGCACTACCACCAAACATCCTTAAGAAAGGGTATAATAGATTAAGAGCAGGTTATACTATCCACACAGAGAAACCAAGATAATGAAAAAATTGCTAGTAGGTAGTAGGCAGCTACCAAACAGGGAGGTACTACCGCCTGGGAAGATATTAGAAGCATAATGTATTGTTTAATGGTAGACCCTGCTGCCATACGGCATCATGAAAATTGTGACCAAGTCCCAGGTTGCTGATCTAACTTTCTGCCTCATTTACACACAATTGCAGGGTCTCAGTTGTTTCTCGTACTATTGACAACACAAATACAAACTGTATATTGTTTCTCACTCTTGATCTTTTTTCATTTTAGTATTTCTTTATTATTATTATTATTATTATTATTATTATTATTATTATTATTATTATTATTATTATTATTATCATCATCATTATTATTTTATTTTCAATTTTGTATTTTACATTATAAATTTTATTTACAATGAATTATTATTATTAATATTACTGTATTACATTTTTGCCCCCAGGCCCCGATGTGGGTCAGCGACCTGTGCCCGGTCATCAGTCAATGAACCAAAGGGTTCATCAGTATCACTTCCAAATATTCTTCTGGCATAAAAGGTCATAAAGTACCTCTACCAATTTACTACTAAAGGAAGGGAGCTGGTTTTCATGTTGTTTGCTTCCTTCCCTCTACCATTAAATAAAATTAAGATTTTTTCTTTTCAAATGGGATTTCAAATTTGGATCCTTTATTTTTGACCTAATGGTCAATACAAAATTAATATGTGAGATCCTACACCAACTACAAATGGAATGAAGAAGTAATTTGGAGGGAATTAAAGCAAGCAAATTAAAGGAAGTAACTTACAAAAAAAAAAAAAAGACACTCCCCCTATCTTTTTCCTAATACTGTACAGTAATACCTCGGTTTATGCGGGTTTCGTTTACGCGTTTTGTCATTTACTCGGTACCCTGCCAGAACCGGAATGCCCAATTTACGCGGTGCATCTACTCATATACGCGGAGAGCGGCTGGCGGTCCTGCAGCGCCGTCATTTTTGGATTCAAACCTCCCACCATCTCCCATCATCCCGCCATGCTTGGGCAAGTGGCGCAGGTAGGTTGAGCAGTGGATGCCTCTGTTGCGTTATCGCTGACGTCATATGACGTATCGGACTGTGATTGGGCCTTGCTTCCTTACCTCCCTCCGCCGCTAGCTGTGATTGGTTTAATGTAATATGACGTGCATTCCCGCCAGCGGGTAGAAGGCGCTTGACATGATTTTCGTAAGGATTTCGTTAATCAAATTTTTTTTTCGTTAACCGAAGTTAAGAATCTTATGGAAGGTAACTCGTTACCCGAAATCTCGTTAACCGAGGCGCTCGTTAACCGAGGAGACCACTGTAATGTATGAACCTAATCTGAACTGGTCAGAGGGTCTGTTAAAGCCGAGGTCTGTTATAGACTGTGTCCGTTATATCAAGGGTTTACTGTACTGCCATTAAAGCACCAACAATACTATAAACACTACCACTAATATTAACAATGCCACTGCCATAAACACTACCACTAATATTAACAGTACCACCATCTACATAAATACTATGACTATCAACAATACCACTTAACACTCACCTTGAGGCTGGGAAGGATAAGAAATATTAGTATCTTTTGTAAATGGATCCTCCACAAGAGTAAATAGATCCCAGCGGAATCGGTCTTCATCGAAGGGCAGTCCTTGCTCTAAACTGGTAAGAAGAGTCTGTGAGAAGAATTCCCAGCGTGGTTTGATGTAGTTTAGGACTAGACCAGACCACTGTTTGATGGCATAATCATGGATCTCTCCCGTTGGCCCCCACAAGGTGATCTGGTTCAGGGCGTTGAAAATATAATGGTCACGTTCCTGGTGGTACAAAGAGTAAAGTTAGTGCTTACTGGGCATTTACACAAACATATAGTATACTATACAGTGGTTAACTCTTTGATTGTGAGGTTCCATTCCTGCAACCCTTATGATAAAATAAATCATAATCATAATTACCGTATATCTCGGCCTACAAGACGGAATTTGAACAAAACAAAAAAAAACCAGCCCAAAGTTAGGGGGTCATCTTAAGCACCAGAGATAAAATTCTTACCTCTTAAATATTGCGGTTTAGCGTGTCAAGAGTGGTGATGGAAACATGGTAAACCACTCACAAGGTCCTACCATTAATTATTTTATACTGAAACTTACGTTCGGGAAGCTGGATTAAAATGAAGATTACCGGTATATTAAAATAATAAAAATGCATTATAAACCAGTCTAACATACCGTAAAAGAACAATATTCCCCGGTAATAAACACAGCTGCTATCATCCCCCCCCCCCCCACCCCCATTTGCCAGTGACAAGAAAGGGAAAGTGACCTTGACTGTGACCGCCTGTGGCTATTTTTAGCCGTCCTTGTGTTCAGAGGTGGTCAGTAATGCATAATACTTATCTCCTATAAATAATTAATTTAAATTTTATTTTTTTACAAAGAATATTCAGTAAATGACTGAGTTAATTCTTGAAACTACCAACAGTGACAATTCATAAGGAAACAATACAGTACAGTGGTTGAACTGTTTTCTCATAGCCTCAGTTGACGAATTCAAGTGATTGTTTAACTTCAGGGTGTAACTTAGAACTGAGGTCAAACCTCTTTTACATGAAATGTGTTCAAAACTCAACCTCTGCTTACAACTGTAAATATGGTCTTCATCAATAGCTCACAGGGGTTTGTGTACCTTTTCACTAGTGGCCCAGGAGGCAGAGGCATCTACCCAGCGCCCCAAGAGAAAGTCTGGAGATGTCCCCAGGAGGAGGTCCAAGTCCACCAGTAGCTCCTGAAGGAGGATGTGAGATTCCCTGTTCAGGATGAGCAATTAAAAGCTTATTACAAAAATGACAAAACATATCTAACATGAGGGTGATTGAAATCCATGCTTACTGGTTAATTGAAGTCTAAATCAACATGAGCTATATTTTACACCAATTATTTGAGTTTTTGTGGTCTAAATCAGTTTGGGAAAGAAAATGTTCCCCACAGAAGAACCCTCACATAACTGTTGTACCCATGTTAAGTTTTACTGTAACACGACTCTGCAAGAAAAGAAGTACCAGAAACAGTGTTTTATAAATCACCACTCCAGATAAAAAGAGGTACATCTCTTCTATATAAAATATTTTTTATAAACCTTACTACCACTGTTCTATACAAATCTAATTAACACAGTTCTATAGAAATTTAAGTACAAATAACACTGTTCTTAACAAATCTAAGTAACACTATTCTTGAAAAATTTAAGTAACAATGTTCCATACAACACTACTTGATATAAGCCTAAGTGACACTTCCATATTATAGTATTCTGCACTCCAGATAACACTACTCAAAATATTACTGTATTGAACATAACACTTACTGGAGGGCAAGCAGTACATTGTTGTTGTAGTTCTGTACAAGTCTCAGCACCATTTGTCCTCCCACCAGCTGAGATAAACCAAAAATATAACTTATCATATTTTGAAATACAGAAGCAGGCTGCATGAGTTAGTTTAGGTTAGGAAAAATTTGATTAAGTTTCTCTTTCAAGATAACAAAATAGTAAATCCCCTTTCTAAGATGCAAAATAAAACTTTCAATTCAGAACAGTTAGATACCAGCAGTTAATCAACAATGACATGTTTACAGTTTACGTCATTGATCATAAACAACACCCTGGAATAATAACAAAATAATGAACTGTACTGATGAATCACTTGTTTACATTTGCAAACTTTTCTTCATATGATACAGGGTGGTCAAGAATCATGAAAGACACTATCTCCCATCATTTACTGTCACTCATGTGCTTTGCTATGGTGTTCCCCTTCAATGTTAAGGCATTTCTAGATTGTACACATAAAAATAGTTTCATTTCATACTTACAAATGAGGTTTTTTTTTCCTAATCTAACATCAGATGAGAAACAGAAAAATTGTATATTAAAGAAAAAAAACCCTCTCCCCCCCTTCCCATGCATCCTCCTTTTGGATATACTGTACAGTGGTCCCTCGGTTAACAAACGCTTCGGTTAACAAAAGTTTGGTTAACGAATTACCTTCCATAAGAATCTTCAATTCGGTTAACAAAAAAAATTCAATTAACGAAATCCTTACGAAAATCACATTTTGTTTTGAACATCAGCTGATAAGCTGAGGAGGTACTCAGCCAATTCAGTAATCTCTTCTATGTTTACATTCATTTCCAATGGAGTAAATATCAAGAAAATTGTGCACTTTAATATTTATGCATTTTTTTATACTGTACAGTATTAAAATTATTGGTCATTCTAAAATTTAGCCATCCAAGCTCTGTCTACATAAAGTTTTCCAATTATTATTTTTTGCTCGATATACAGTATGTAACTTTATTCATTTATTGAAACTCATTTACATGCACACACTGTCCTAAGGGCAAAGCTGAACTGTACATGTAATCAAAATAATGTAAAAAATGATTACTAAAATTTTTGTTGAGTGCAAACTATGGCATGTTTACATATGCGATCTCACTTTTTTTACCCTTAATTGTTAGCTACTTCCATTGTTCCATTTATTAACATTAAATAACATTACTTAAAACAACCATATTAATTTTTCTACATTAATTTTAATACAGCTACAATGGAGGTCTTATTTTCTTCAGTTTTATAATTACGTAGAACCAATCAGTCAGTGGTTTGGCAAAAAACTAGTTGTTTTTTACTTTTATTTTGTTTTTAAATAAAGATTTTTTGTTTTATATGGACACTGATATACATGTTTACATTTCCTTACCTTCCATTGTTGGAAAATATTTCCCGTCGTTGTCATACCGACAAAAACAAGAGAAAGAGTAAACACTACAGCCCCTAAGATGTGGAGGTGACCAGGTGTATAAAATGAGTGTTGTATTAAAGATTTCACCTTCTTATACAGATTTTTTTTTAATTGATGAAAATGACGAATGATAAGCAGTTCTAAGTGATGATATTCAGAGGTGTGTATACTTGTGCCAAAAGGACTGTATATCAAGCAACGGTTTCACTGATGTAGGTATTAGGCAGCTAATGTACCAAACAGGGAGGTACTACCGTCTGGGAAGATATTGGAAGCATAATGTATTGTCTAATGGTAGACCCTGCTGCTATGTGACCAAGTCCCAGGTTGATGATCTGACTTTCTGCAGGGTCTCAATGGTTTCTCTTACTTTGACAACACAACATACATACAGGTACGTATATTGTTTCTCACTCTTGATATTTTTTTTTCATTTTTGTATTTCTTTATTATTATTATTATTATTATTATTATTATTATTATTATTATTATTATTATTATTATTATTATTATTATTACATTTCCCCCCCATTGACCTGTGCCCAGGTGGGCTAAAACCCATAATTTTTTTTTTTTTTAAATTTCATTTCCAAAATCAGGGTGCGTCTTCCAAGCCGAAAAAATACGGTACCCAATATCCCATTCAAACAATAGTTTCGGTTCACGAAATTTTCGGTTTACGAACGACCCTCTGGAAAGAATTGAGTTCGTTAACCGAGGGACCACTATATATGTAGAGAACAAGTCTATGAAAACACACACAGAAACAGTGCATCAGAATCTAAAATATAAACAAAACATGGACAGATGACCACAGCAAGAATAAACTTACTTGCAAAATCTGTCTGGTGACATCCACTAAGTCATGTTGGAAGGTGGCTTGATTAGTTACTGATTTGTTCCTTGCTTCAAGACCATTTTTCCTAGGATCTGAGTTGCTTTCCAGTTCCATTTCGACATCCATTTCACTTTCATTTTCTTGTGGCCCATACTTTCCAGTTCTCTTGTTACTCTCTGTTGATGCTGAAATCCCATCCCTAATCAGCTTCCTGTCCATATTGGCTTCACTTATCTCATCTTCTTTTCCCATGGAAGTTTCGAATCTGGGATGAAATGAATTCAGGGAGTTTTTGCCTATCTGACTTAATGCTGAAGCTTTGTCTGTATATTCCATTCTATCAGCAGTATTTGAAACAAATCCAGATCTCCTGACACGATTATGTTGAAGTTCTTGTGTGTTTCTGTGATTCATTTGTCTAATTTCACCATTCTTATTGTTTGAAAAGTCCTGTTTGATTTTATCCAGGTAAAACTCTTGAGACCCAATGTTTAGGCTTGGTTGTTCTTGGGGAAATGATCTATCCAAAACAGCATTATGATCCCCATAACTATCTTCAGTTTCAGTGTTTGGTTTACTAATACTTTGTTTACTCTCTGCAATATCTTCAGCAAAAATTTCTGCATTATTTTCACCCTTAGCAACATTAATTAAAAGGTCCCATGCTGTGATAACATCAACCACTGAATACCAAATCTGTAACAAAATAAATCTTTAAGTCATTTAGAAAAGAATACTTGATCCTGAAATCTCATTTTAGGTTGAATCTGGAATTAAAGCCATGAGTCCTGGATTGTAAACCTAGGTTTAACCTTAAAACACCATAGATTGGGACTAATTTATGAGTTAAGTTACAATTTCCCATCACAACCAAGGGCCAAAAGGGATCTTTAGAAGTAAAAGTTACAATTTCAAGTAGGAAGCAACGAGTTGTGAACACCACATTAGCAGACATGAAATTCAACCTTAAACTAGTGCAGCTATAACTCTTCAGTTCCACTTTATTTCCACCCTACCTAATGGAAGGGGAAGGGTATCTGAGTCACTTAGTGCCGGGCTCATCATAAACAGGAATTTCATGATTATTCCTTCAATTTTTGGCTATTGCCCTCCACTTGGGAACTTGTGAATTCTAAAGCCACTAAAAAATCATAGGGGGTTATTGCAAATGCTCCAAGTGCTAACACGGTATGCAAACCCTTTATCAGATTAACTTATATGTATCAAATTTATTAGGTCAGGAGGAAACTTAACTGATGATGTATGTATGATACGTTGGACACGTCGCGATGTGAGGAGGAGAATTAATCAACCTGTGACCAGCATCCAGTAAACACTATTTAACCAGTGCCCTTTATCATATGGTGTTGACTGTCCTATTGTCATAACATACTTTTGTCTGTAAGCTGTTGCATCATTAAATGAATAACCATTGCAAGTGTTTCATGAAGACCTCAACATAATACTAACCTTAGTAAATATTGTACTATACTGTATACACATTAATATGTGCGAAGATCAACTTGAGACTTCACAGCTGCTTTTAAAAATGAAGATAAAAGACCAACCAGACAGCATGGAGTTTAAACTGGGTTTCAGGGGACTGGTGCCTGCCATCCCCATTATGGTTGCATCACTTGAAGGGTGAATTGCATGTCTGCTAACATATACTTCCCAATTTGTTGCTTCTAATTTTAAGTGGTAAACTGTTGCTTCTAAAGACCTTTTATGAGAGACGTAGTTGTTGCAGGGAAGCATAACTAATTCATGGATTAGTCTCAAGTCAATAATTTCTGAGAATTCAACCTATGTGTACAGTCCACAACTCAAGGCTATAATCCATGAATTGCCTTATGAAAGGCATCGGCCATAAAATTCTACTGAATAAAAAACAAAAATTATCTAAAACTTTGACTGAGGCTTGAGGTTTGTGAGATACAGTATGATGAAAAATTCTGCCACCTGTAATAATTAACAGGACCTTACATTTTTTTCTCATGTTTTTGTTGCTTTTTCTTGCTCCTGTTGTGTCTTCCCCATTCTTTTCCCTTTATATATAAAGAGTGAATTCTGTCCCAAAATTATGGTTGAGAAGATGACATGCTGACAGAAGAAGTGTAAACAATAGACTGGGAGCAAGTGGATGCAAATATGAGGCTTCAGGCAGGCAGCATTATTTTGGCTCAGGTCATCATTTCAGTAATTTATGAGCAGAAGCAGGCAAGGGCCCCATATTGTGCAGTGCTCATGTGATAAGCCACCATGTGAGCCACAAAATGACATACATTCAATTCCAAAATTGCAAGGGTTTACTATACATATAGAGTAACTACAGTATATCAAACAAATACACCCACTTACCTTATCAGGTTTAACATCAAGATGTGGACGAGTCACTAAGACATACTGGCCATGGTTGAGTGTGTGGGTGGCGTCGTTATATACACTCCTCTGTTGTTACAAGTAATGAGTGAGATTCATGATTAATTAGGAAAAATCAAGAAGATTAATTTTGAAAGAAGTTAATTTTGAAAATGGGTTAGAACAAACCACAGTACAGTACTGTACTTGATTTAAATTACAATATAAAGGCATGTAAAAGAGCATATAACTAAGATAGATGTTAAAAAAGAGAACATGTACTAGAAAATTACATGGTTAATAAGATACAGTATCAAGAAATACAATGAGGAATGGTTAATACTGTAACATACATAGAGAACAAAACTAGAAAAATGAAGGATTGGTACTGAAATCCATTTTTTGGATGGGGCTTGTGATGACTCTGTCCCCTCCTGTCATGATCGTGAAGACGGCTAACCTAAAAACCTAAAGGATTCATATTACGCTCAAATGTCCACAAAACCTGAGTCCCCCAGTGGAAACGTCCCCCACCACTGCATCACCCTCTTCCACCAGTGATCCTGATGATCCACCTATGCTTCAGTAACCAGATGTCTCCCTATGTACAGTGCACCACTTCATCAAGCTCTAAACTTCCACATACGAATGTAAGTATAGTATTGGTGACTTAAGTTTCTCATACACAGTACAGTATAGGTATACCTGTATATTAGTGCACTAAGGTATTTTATATATAAGTTGCTATTCGCAGTTTTGCCAATTCGCACCATTTCTTGAAACCTAACCCTCGCGAATGGCAAAGGTTTACCGTATTTAAATGCATTCAGTTACAGTTAAAAATTTTACATGCAATTTGCATGCATCCAGGCATGTTCAAGTTATTCAAACACATGCACAAGTACAGTATTTACATGTCTTCAGCTACTCATGCCTCTTAATGCATTTACATGCATATCAATCAGTTCTGATGTATTCTTGTACAATTATATGTCTTTAAGCTGATTTGTATGGTTTAAAATACATAAATCAACTCACAAGTTGCTTAGGATGAAGCCTGGGTCGGTGCATGATAATCACCCCTTTCCCATGGTATCTGATATATGTTGTGCAGTTGTACACACTACGCTGGAGGAAGGGAGGGAGGGAAAGAAAAAGAGAGAGATAGTGAGAGAGTGATGTTAAAATGGACTTGTGCTACTAACCCTGTCAAGCTTAGAATTATCATTACTTTATAACAGATCATTATAACTGTTTGTAAAGCTTAACTCCTAGCAGATATTCTTTGCCTCTTTCCACTAATCTCTTGGCAATACTATACCTATTAATTTGGTTCAACAAGAGCACTGTCCTCTTCATTGGAAATACTGTACTGTATGGTGATATACCTATTAGCTGGAATAATTGGTGCAGAGCAGTTCCGGAATGAGAGATTTTTGGATATGGCGACGAATTTTACCATCAGGGAAAAAATTTCACCCAAATCCAGGTATTGTACTGGGGAATGTTTTTGGAGTCTAAATTATGCATCTCACACAGAGTGATACAGTTACCCACATGAGTATAGGTGAGGCTACCTTCCTCACCTGCACCTGGTACTGCTTTCTGTTCTTGCCTCCTCAACTTTACCTGGCCAAATGTTACATTGTATATGGTTGACATGCCCACTACATACTCTTGCATCAACACTTTCACATGCAATTTCTTAATTTATTTTATTTTATTTTGGAAGGGATTAGCCCACCCAGGCACAGGTCAATGACCAACATCAGGGCCTCAGAGGCAATAATAATAATAATAATAATAATAATAATAATAATAATAATAATAATAATAATAATAATAATAATAATAATAATAATAATAATAATAATAATAATAAATAAAAATAAAAATAAAAATAATAATAATAATAATAATAAATAATAATAATAATAATAATAATAATAATAATAATAAAAATAAAAATAATAATAATAATAATAATAATAATAATTAATAATATTATTAATAATAATAATAATAATAATAATACAGTGGGGTATGCTATAACGTACCCGTGTACTGTACTGTATAGAGATGCCCAGGGTGTTGTTCAAACCATGTATTTGCAATTATCATCTTGTTTTCCTTACAAAAGTAAATTAATATTTCTCCTTTCTCATTTCTATTACCCAACCCTTTCCCAACTTTTACACTAAAATTACCCATTAGAGTCAGACATACTGTACAGTACAGTATTTGACTTCAGTCTGGACATTGTTGATATAATGCTGGATGCCAAAACCCATTTCCATCTGGAAACATTTCTTGAGCTGTTATATGGATGTGAATTTCATATGAAGGAAGCACAGGGGAAATTATGAAAGGATGGATCGATGTATTAACAGTAGGAGATCAAAAAGACAGGGGTAACACTAAATGCCCCCAGTACCTTCTGGTAAGAGCGTAAATATATCCACAGATGTACACATACTGTAGATAGTAAGACCGTTGCCCCAAGACTCTTCAATCAAGATGAAAAAAATTATGATTCACGAATCAATTTGCTTACCATGAGGAGCTGCCAGGCTCGGCCAAGACGGGGGTCATCAGAGCCATATCTTCTCCTAGCATAGTCAATTGCCCTGGAAACAGGATGGGGGAGTTGTTCAGGTTAAGCCATATAAGTTACTGTATACATATTTTTCTGCAACAGAACAGTGCTAAGGCCAGTCCATCACTGACACACTGACTTGGATTTGGAAGAGGCAGGATAACATGCTAAAAAGTCTTATAAAATAATGGACTAAATAAGTAAAAAAATCAAACTTAACAACTTTGGTACTCTTTACATACAGTACAATGCATGAATGTCAAAGAGGTACTCATCACACACACTATACAGTTTGAGTCTTTATTGTGTGCCTTTCAAAGAATCAATGTCTTCCTTACCCACACATTGTGTGTTTGATACCACAAGTGTTAATGGGTGACTGGTACAAAAATATCATAGTCCTTCAGAAACCATGGCAAATAAACACATATGGTAGTTGTACAGTACTAGTTAACCTGTAAGCACCATATAAGGCAGATGCCTAATTAATATAGTCTAGTTTAGTACAGTAATGTTTACTTGAACATTTATTTGGACACTGGACATCTATGTATATGTTATACTGTACTACTAAAATTTAGTGAGGAAGAAATGATTGATATTGTTGGATAAGTAAGAATTCAGTGACAAGAGTGGAATAGAACAAGCAGGAAAAACCAACCATCACTAACCCAGTACTTGATTATTAAGGTAGTGGGAGTCATCAGCTGCACAATTACCACAGGGCTCAAAAGGTTTAATGATAACACTTTCAACTGATGTAAAGCCCCTGAACTACCCATTAATATGATAGAGATTGGCAGCCACCTCGGGACTAAACCCAAAATGGTTGATTGATTCTGAAATCATGATGGTGGACAGTGGTTGGCACGATGTGTGTACTGACTGGGTAGACATGGCTGTTTTTTTAGACTTACCTCTTGAGGGAAACCTTTGTAGCCAATCTCCCTTGTAATATTGACAATCATGATTGAGTGTGATGGGTGACTGGACCATTAACTCCCAGGTGGTTTCCTACAAGGGATATCCCTAAACAACATGCACCTTAACTTGGTAGAGGACATCAAGTTTAAAAATAAGGTAGATTTCCCATATACTGTGCACTGTACAGTGATCCTCGGTTAACGAACGCATCGGTTAACGAATTACCTTCCATAAGAATATTAAATTTGGTTAACGAACAAAAATTTGGTTAACGAAATTTTTACGAAATCGTGTCAACATGTTTTCACTTGCTCACCAGCTGAAATATTAGTCCGCCAATACAGTAATCGGTTTCAGGGCTTAAATTCGTTCCAATTTGAGTAAATATCAAGAAGGCTGTACTATTAAATAATTTTCCAATTTTTATATTAAAATTTTTAGTCATTTTAACAATTATTTAACATAATTGCAGTACAGGAAACTAGTTTTTGGTGCGCCAAACAGCCACTCAACTCACCCAACAGGCGTCAGTTTGTATCTCTGGTCAGTGGAGGTAACATCTTGCTTGTGACTCTCTTGAACATAAACTATTTTTACATTTTTACAGTACAGTTATTGGTCATTCTGAAATTTATTTAACATATTGACAATATATAGTGCAGTGCAGTGTTGATTTAAAGAAAATAATCTTGAATTACACTTAGTGAACTTAAAATTTTATGGGTGAAATGACGGCATGAAGCATGGGGTGATTTCTCTTCCACCCCCACTTCCTTCTCTTCTCCCTTTTCCTCTACCCCCACATCTAATTCCCATCATCATCATCATCAACCAGGAGCCTTCTACATACACACCTCAAAGTAAGTGTACTTTACTGCATTTATTTTTACTTTGTATGTAATTTTTGTTGAGCTGGAACCAATTACCCAAAATCCCATTGAAAAAATGGTTTCGGTTAACGAACGACCTTCTGGAACAAATTGTGTTCGTTAACCGAGGGACCACTGCACTGGAAAAAAGGAGTCACTCAACCTCAAAACAAACAGAAAATACTTCATTAATAAAGTATATTGATAAATCACACAAAAATAAAATCTTAATTATTACAATAATACAAGTTCAACTGTACAGACCTCGTTAAAAGATGAGTGAACTTACCAAGAAGAAACATTAGGAGATGTGGACCTCCAGCCCAGTTCATTCATAAAATCATACATAACATAATTCTGGTTGATTCCCTCTGGAGTCAGTCCTGTGCCTACCAAAGTCACATTTGGAAACTTTCTGGCATCTTCCATATTCTGTTTAGTGAATGAGTGAAGGATTAGTAACAGGGACAGCAATGGTACTGGAGATGTGGTAGTGGTGGCAATGTAGTGTTGGTAGTATTGTGTTTGATGGTGATAGTGGTAATATGATGGAGTATGGGGTCATGATGTGGTGGTGGACATGGTGATGTAGTAGTCTTATTTTTTATTCCTTCAAGTATATATTTTCAGATTAATAGTTTCTAATATGCTTTTTAACATTCACAAATCTTGAAAGAGATGACATATTTTCAACAATTCTAAAAGCATGAAAAATAAATTAACAAGGATAATAATTAGTAATCCGTTTCTTCCAATCATAAACCTAATCCATGCATCCCTAATCCCTTTAAATCCTAATTCTCATCATAAATATTTTCCTTTTAATCCCAGTTCCTTCTCATCCAGTAATCCACAATCCTACATATCTTTGAATCTCTTCTCACTTATTTCTGAACAGTAACCTTCCTTCCAATAAATTTTTAATCCTTTTTCCCCTATACAGCTCAAGCTAATTAATTGAGGTGATAATCTCTGTGCCCGTTTGTACGGATGCGACCGAAATAGGATGGGGATACCATTCCTCAAAAGGGAAATTCAGTCAAGGGAAGTGGAGCAACTTCCTTTGGGACAAACACATAAATGTAAAAGAATTAGCAGTGGTCCTATTCTTTTTGTCGGCAAACCCAAATTTAAAAAATATGACAATCCTGTTTCCCATGGACAACAAAACGGCAGTGTTTTGTCTCCATCATCAAGGCTCAACCAGATCTTGGCCCCTTCTAAAACTGTCAGAAAAATTTTCAAAGTTTGTGTAACACAAACACTTTACCTCAAAGCAACTTATATACCGGGAGTACAAAACAATTGGGCAGATGCACTGTCCCATCTCAGGCCAGTATCGACGGGAACAGAATGGTCCATAAAGGTATCAGAGTCCAAGAGTCTAGTGTCGAAGTTTGAAACTCCAAAGATAGATCTCTTTGCCTCCCAAAAATATCACAAGATGCCACTTTATGCATCTCTGGAGCGATCGAATCTTTTAGGAAATGCTTTACTCATAGATTGGAACCTTTGGAATTCAATCTATCTGTTCCCACCTGTGAAAATATTGCCCAAAGTGGGTCACAAACTCAGATCCTTCCAAGGAAAGGTCCTCTTAATTGCACCATATTGGATCCTACAACCTTGGTGCCTGGATCTGTTGGACTGGTGCCCGCATCCGCTACAATTGCAACAAGGATGTCTAGCCCAGGTACTACATTCTCAGTTCGAGATATCCTTGGCACTTCACGCTTGGAGTTTCTCAAAAGGAGTTTAAATAGATTGTTGGGTAATTCCAATGTAGCTAACCAAGTACCGGTAATAGCAGGTCATAGGCCCCAAACTTCTATGCAATATGAGAAAGCTTGGAAACTTTTTCAACAAGTTATCAAGTTAACAACTCCAGACACATTGTCGGAAACAGTTGTGTTAGAATTTTTAGAGTTTCTGTTCAGAGTTAAAGGCCTTCAAGGATCGACAATTGCATCTTATAAATCATCACTGGTTGACCCTCTGGCGTGGGGTTTTAATATTACTTTGAACCCAAGGATTTATCAAATGCTCAGATCGTTTTCATTCAGAGACCTCCTCGGCCTAAGAGAATCCCCCACCTTGGTTGGAAAAATTCCAGAAAAACTCTCTCCTATCCGGGCATGGGAACAAGTTTCCTAGGATAAAAATTATGCGCATTTTCCGGAAAAATTGAGAGAAAATATCTCGAAACCACTCCATCCCAGGCCTAGAAAAAATTTATCAGGTGTTCCAAGAGATTGCGTCATGATCTGATGCATCGCCAAGAAGACAACATCTGCTGGTGAGTACAGTATATTTTGTTTATTTATATAGTAGAATCCAAGTTATCCGGCATATATGGGGATTGAGAGGTGCCGGATAATATAAAACTATAAAATAAGAAAATGAAGAGCAAGGGTGTGTAAGAAGTGAACATTGTGGAGGTGGTGGGCTACAACTACATTGCCGACTTGCCAGCCCAGCAACAGCGTTTATTGTTTGTACTTGTAATGAAACTATAGAAGTTGTAGAAAATCATTACAATACTCTAATGTGGCTTAGAAATAAAGAAAAGAAAATGTAATATAAAACAATAAAATAAATAAAAATTAAGTGCATGGGTGTGTATGTGTGAGAAGTGCACGTGTGTGGAGACAGCTATATTACCAAATTGCCAGCCCAGCTACCTCATATAGTATATTGTTATTTGTAATGAATCTATATAAATTGAGGAAAAATTATTACAATACTCTAATGTGGCTTAGAAATAAAGAAAATAAAAAAATCTAGAAAATGAGATAAATGAAAAGCATTGGTGTATATGTGGGAAGAGCATGTCTGTTGAGGTGTGGGTTACTGGGGCAGGATTCACTAACGACTAACAGTCACCATAGATCCCTATGATCAACCTTAAAGCTGGATGGGTGATTCACTAACAGTTTACGGTGACTGTAACCCAACTTATCACAAAGCAAATGTTACAGTGACCCCCAAGCATCCATAGGCTTCCAAAAAGTGGAAACAAGTTCTCATAACTCCCTTACCCTTGACCTTCCCTAACCCTTGACCTTCCCTAACCCCTGACCTTCCCTTGACCTTCCCTAACCCCTGACCTTCCCTTATCCCTGACCTTCCTTAACCCTTGACCTTCCCTAACCCTTGACCTTCCCTTACCCCTGACCTTCCTTAACCCTTGACCTTCCCTAACACACGACCTTCCCTAACCCCTGACCTTCCCTTATCCCTGACCTTTCCTTATCCCTGACCTTCCTTAACCCCTGACCTTCCCTAACACATGACCTTCCCTTAACCCCGACCTTCCTTAACCCCTGACCTTCCTTAACCCCTGACCTTCCCTTACTCCTGACCTTCCCTAACCCCTGACCTTCCCTTAACCTTCCTCACCTTTAAGAGGACGTCAACATTGCCGAAGAGACCGTTAACTCCGCCGTAGTCGAGCAACATGCAGAATATGAAAGGCTGACCAAAGTATGACTCGAGACGGTTGTACTGGGGGGCGATCTCCGAGGCCAAGTCCAGCACCAGCAAGCGACCCTGGAGAAAGCAAAGAAAAAGTGAAAGAAAGAAAGAAAGAAAGAAAGAGGAGATAACAGAGGGAAAGGGGAAGAAGAGAGGAGGTGATGAAAGAAGGTGGTGATGAAAAACAACAGAGGAGAGGAGAGGAGGAAGAAATGAAAAGGGAAAGAAGAGAGGAGGTGATAGTGATGGCAGTGTCCAGGATGGGAAAGGAAGGTGGAATTAATGAAGAGAGAGGAGGAGGAAAGGAGGCAATTAAGAAGATGATGATAAGAAAATGAGTTGGTTGAGGAAGAGGAGGAAGAAGAATGGATAGAGGAAAAGGAGGAAGAGGTGGTAATGGTAAAATGGAGAGGGGATTGTGGTGGAGTGGGGGTGGTGATGGTGGAGTGGGGGTGGAGAGAGGATGGTGATGGAGAGGGGACAGAGAAGAAGAGGAGTGGGGTGGTGGAATTGGTGATGATAGAGAAGGATGGTAGTGATGGAGTAGAAGTGGTGGAGTGGTGGTGGAGAGGAGGTGGTGGTGGAGTGGTGGTGGAGAGGAGGTGGTGCTGATAATGGAGTGGGGCTGGTGGTGGAGGTGGTGGAGGTGGTGGAGGAGGTGGTGGTGGAGGTGGGGGTGGAGAGGTGGTGGTGCTGATAATGGAGTGGGGCTGGTGGTGGAGAGGAGGTGGTGCTGATAATGGAGTGGGGCTGGTGGTGGAGAGGAGGAGGTGCCAAGGCATCCGAGACAACCGTGTCTCTGAGGTGAAGCTTGAGATTGTTAAGCAGCATGAGAATCCCCAGAGGCTGTGTGGGAGTCAGAGTGACGTCTCCACCCCACCTACAAGAGTCCCTTTAGCCTCGAAGGGGACATGTGATGATGACCAGGCTTATTCTTCACGATGTGGTGAGTGTTGTTTAATTGTTTTTTACTGATAATAGTATTGTAGGAATTGCTTTGTTGATGATCTATGTGTGTTTGGTGACTGGCTGGGAACGTATCCCATTGAACACCATGTTATAATGCTCCCTATCTACGACAATTCCCCTAGCGATGGGTTTTTCCTAACCCCATCGTTTATTGAGGTTTACCTGTACATATATAGAAATATTTCATAACAAGGTTTGAAAAAAAAGAAGGTACAGTGCTTAAAGCTAATGAATGGAACCTGTATCCCCCTTACATATCATGTATAGTATAATGATATAAACCTAAGCATGATAATCACTTTAGTTAGCTCTTACTCTCTTCCTCAAATTTTCTCCCTATCTCTACTCACAATAGGGACAGAAGTTAGTAGAGCTTGTGCTTGTGCTTTTTGCCAAAATGATTCAGCACTGAAGAATAGCCAACCTTGCATGACCCTGAGGGATAAATAAATTATTATTCACAAATGAATAAATAAACACGCACGCACACACGCACGTGCGCACACACACACACACACTACATACATATACTGTACCATTTGCCAAATCAAACACAGTAATATAACTCATAACAGAAGTTATTTGGCTCATTTGTCATACAGCATTACATAATAATCACACACTGCCTTATTTATAACAAGTACCCCTCCAATGCACAGGCTAGTTGTGTCTTTCTTGCACGGAAGAGCCACGCTGTATCTATTTTTTCTTTGGATAGATTTTTCGGCAACCATTTCATTATTATTATTTTTTCGTATAAAACCAACTACAGGTACTCCCCGACTTACGACGGGGTTAGGGACCGACATCCAGGTCGTAAGTCGAAATGGTCGTAAGTCGGAAATGCTTGAATAACACATAGACAATCTAAAATTTGGGTCTTTTTCTTCTCAGCACCACAAAACACTCACTTTTAAGCTTGCCAGCCATTTTAAAGGGAATTACGGATGAAAATTTTGTCTGTGTACTGACTTTGGGACTCAAAAATACATAATTTGACCACATTTTGGTACAACTGAGGCGGTCTTAAGTGAGGGTGGACGTAAGTCGAGTCGGTCGTAAGTCGGGGACTACCTGTACAGTATATTATATGTACAGTAGCTAAAAGAGGTATCTGACAAGGTGGGTCCGATGACTTCCAAAATTATACGTACAACTCGTGATGTCTCGGGAGGGTTAGTATACGTGTCTTCACCCACCAGCATTCAGTATCCAACACAAGGGGAGAGTTGACATTTAGGAATAAAATAAATGGTTAAATGATTACTATCACATAGTATAAGGAGACGACACACATAACCCAAAACCTATCGTCGGTGATCTCATATTGTTCCACACAGAGTATGCATATGTTCAGCACTAATTGTTTTAGGGCTCAAATAAATTTATAATTAGATTTTGAGTGAATGTTGTAAGAGTGTGGGGTACAAGTTATTTGGTTCACACTCAGTGTGCTATGGACTGTTGCCAAGTAACCAATTAGTGATGTATTACCATGAGAAAGGAGGCCTACCAGAATGATATGCCAAAACCTCAAGCATCAATCAAAATTACTAGAATTTATTTATTTTTCCTCTTGAATGATGCTTTGGGGCATCATTGCCAATTGGACGAGATTATCTTTGATGCCTGTTTGTCACGGTTCACAAGAGTCTTAAGTACATAAAATATCGTGAACCTTGTAGGGCTTGTAGGGTAAGACTGCATCAGTTCCTGTAATATTTATTAGATAATAGCAGTGTTTTTTTAAGTTTGTACATTGGAGCTGAATGATTGCTAGTGACCAGTAGGCTTGACCAACACTAGCAGATTTAAATACATTGCATGCCTAGTACTTGCCAACAGTGTGTATCAGAGACATGACCAACAGCCCAAACAGCTAACAGGTCAATCAGTGGCGAAGATATTAAAATAAAGCAAAGTAAAGTTAAATATTTGAAAATACACTTACCAAATTGCATTATGATCAACCTTGGTCATGGCCTCATAGATGGCAGCTCCAACGCTCTTGAGGTAATCTGGGTCACTGGATGTTGGTGTCATTTCATTAAAAGTGTCACAATTGTAGAAATGGTCACTCCCAAGCACTGAAGTCATCTGAAATACAAAGAAATCACAGTACAGTGCAATCCTGGTTATCTGGCACCTACGGGGATTGAGGGGTGCCGGAAATAAGAGATTTTCCAGTAAATTGAACCTCATTCCTATGATCCCCAATAAATCCAACAATGCACAGTGCTACAGGCTGACCTCACAAACTTGTCCCAGAAAAATGGACTTCTTTAACATTTATTCCACTCTATATAAACTATCTGGCTTAGAAATAAAGAAAATACAATATAAAACTACAAAATAAGAAAAATGAAGAACATGGGAGTGTGTGTGTGAGAAGTGAACATGTGTGGAGGTGGTGGGCTCTAACTGTGTCACCCACTCACCGGCTCAGCCGCCTCATATATGGTTACATATAATGAAACTATAAAAGTTGTGAAAAAATCATTACAAAACTCTAATGTGGCTTAGAAATAAAGAAAATGTAACAATAAAATATAAAATAAGAAAAGCATAGGGTGTCTGTGTTGGAAGTGAATGTGTGCAGAGGCCATAGGCTATAACTGCATGGTCGCACTCCCTTCCCGATGTGAGGTCATGGAGCACTCAGCGCAGCAGCCATACGCCTGTGAATCTGCTGGTTGACTGCCTGGTTGAACCGTGTCATATTGCCCAGAGGATGGTTGGAGTGTGGAAGGAACTATTTTTGTTTTCCTAAAATATGTACTATTGTATTTTATATGCTATGTACTATAGTTTATTACTTATCATAGCAATAAACATGGCAGCTCATCTCCATTGTGTGTGGTATTCAAACTTACAATTCTAGCTGATTTTGGAGGAATTTATATTTTAATTGTTATCATTTCATGGCAATTCTACTCTAACGATATTTCAGAAATACATAAATAAAGTAGACCCTCAATTCTACAGACATATGGGGAGGGAGGTGGTCTGCTAATGCCAATTGTCCGTTAAATCCAAATAAGGGAGTACAGTACTGTAAAACAAAGGCAAAGTAAACAATACACACAATGAACAGGAAAACACATTAAAAATATAATAAATGTTGAAAATTAATGAAAACAAAGGAGTTTTAAAGTAATTTCACTTACATTAGTGTATATGGTTGATAGCTGAGTTTATTTTGCTGTGATAGTTTAGCAGTGACTTAGAATAACTTATTCCAAGTCTGTGGAGCTTTGGTCCCTCACTTATATTAACTTTATATAGTAAAGTATTATCATACACAGTAATACCCCAGTTGGTCCTCAAGATACGTTCCTGGATAATACAGCGATCTTCAAAACAGAGCTTTAAGGGGTCATTACTGTATACCAATGCATATATGGAGATGCGTTCCTGATGACGTTATTTTTACCTATGAGACAATATACCACTGTATTGTCTGTGTAGGGTATAGGTATTAATAAACAGATTATTATAATAACATATCTGTACTAATTAATGAATAATAAATAAACAATATTGTATCATGAATGACAGTCATTTGATGAATAGTAGTGATGACTGTAGTAGAATGAGTGCGAGACGCAGCGTGTCAAATACTGTGGATGCGAGGGAGGGAGGGAGGGAGGGAGGCAGGCAGTAGATATCATGCTGCTCTGCTCTGGCTGAACTCACAAAAATTATGATTTAGGTGGTGATAACAGAGGTAGTGATGATAATGGGGGTGGTGGTGAGGGAGATTGTGTAAGTGGTGAGAAAGTGATGCGTCTATTGGTGTCTTTGGTAACACTGCGCCTGCAGCACTGTCAGACACTACTGAACAGCTGATATCTACCCACAAAATTGAGTGTACTGTAGGTATAAATGAGCAATGTTGTATCCCTTCAACATTATGTTATATAACATTTTAAAATATGGAGTGAGAAGGCAGAAAGGTGTGGGTGATCAGAGAGATGAAGTGGAAGGGAGTGGTAACATGCACCGGGTGTGTTGTCAAGTGCTCCTCAACAGCTGTTCTTTAACCTGGCACCATGCACTTGTGCTTCAGTTAACCACACACAATTTTATATCATACAATAAGACTTACCGTACACTTAATATAATATTATAAAACAAAGCACTAAACCAGCAACACATCACAACAGCAGTGGGGTTTCTGGCTCTTCTGTATTAACTCCTGTGTTGGGGGTGTGAGTATGATGTTGGGGTGTGGTGTGTGGTGTGGTGTGTGGTGTGTGGTGCGGCATAGTATAGTATGGTGTGGTGTGGTGTGGTGTGTGGTGCGGAGTAGTGTAGTGTAGTGTGGTGTGGTGTGGTGTGGTGTGGTGTAGTGTAGTGTGGTGTGGTGTGGTGTGGTGGGTGGGTCCATACAGTTTTGTTTCTAAGGTATGGTCTTTCTCTTCATCCTTGGGGTGACATTGTTCATACTGTGAGCTGTCTTATGTGGACTCATCGTTGTTGGGTTTGATCATAAATATAACAAGAAACAAGGTAACAAAGATGATGTAGGTTCCAAGAGACAGAGGACATAATGACAAACAGATGTTGCCAAATTGTCTAGGCTCATTGGGTAGCCAAGCTGGATTAGCCAAACACAGACTTCACCCCAGAGTGTAAAAAATTAGTCTAAGGGTGCATTCACTTGGCTGGCCACTCAGTCAATGACAATGCATAACTAACTCAACTCCATAAGTGAATATAAGCTGGATAGCACAGAATTTTGCTCATTAAATCAAATACAGTGCAAACTCATTCACTGAATTTTCATACCTTAAAACATAATGCTCGTTAAACAAATTCTTGTTCATCAGGTACTCGTTCAGCAGGATCTTAATGTTATTTAAAAACTAAACTCTTATGCATCATTTTGCCTACCTCTTGTATGAAAGCTGAGCCAATAGTCTGGAACAAAGGGTCGTTTGGGTCCAACAAGTACGTCCTATAATAAAAAAGTAGGAATCAAATAATTAAATAATTTCTCCTTCACTCTAGCAAATCCTTTCCTTTTAAAGCAAAGACTACACAAAAGTTGATCAAATCTCCTATTGCAGGTGGTGATGGCTGCGAAGCGGAGCTTCAGAGATGCATGGCTGAACAATGAAGATTTCCAGCACTGGTTGTCCCGTGTTGAAGACAATCCATCTACGGCCTTTTGCAAAATATGCAAGAGGGAAGTGAGTGCAGAGTTGACAGCCATAAAACGTCACAAAACGACAAAGATACATTCAGTTTATGAGGCCTCGGAACAACAGGAGGTCCAGCAGGAGAGGATCCCGGTCCACCATGGGAACTATGCAGCAAATGGAGTAGCCATAGCAACAATTCTTTTTGCTTGCTTTATAGCCGAGCACAACTTGCCATTTACCACTGCAGATCATTTAGTAGACCTCATGAAGAGGATGTTTCCTGATTCTGCAATTGCTCAAGGCATGAACATGAAAAGAACAAAATCCACAGAGGTTGTGAGGACGTTAGGACGGTGTGTCACCGAGGATTAGTAGATAAACTTAGAGGAAGTAAATTGTCCATTATTGTTGACGAAACAACAGACATTAGTAAGATGAAAGCATGACCTGTTCTTGTAAGATTTTGGGATTCAACCACAAACAGCATTAAATCTGGGTTATTAGAGGTGATCAATGTATATGGTGATGAATCATCTACAGGGTCAACAGGGGAAAATTTTTATAATTTAATTATGAAAACATTAGAAACTCACCGAATTACACATGAGAACCTGATTGGCTTTGCTGCTGAGGGCGCTAGTAACATTATGGGAGAACACAATTCAGTAAGCAGCAGACTACGTATCACTATTCCTGGTATAACCATATTGAAATGTTGCTTTATAAATAATAATAATAATGATTCTAATATAGTAGTACCCCGATTTACGCAGTCAATTGAACCCAGGGGTACCGAGGAAAGTGAACAACAGAACATATGGGATTAATTCCAATAGAGACTGGCCCGACCCCCAAACTCCACTTTTTCCGACACAATACCTATGTTGTAGTAAAAATAACATCTTAATTTTATGATGGTATGCACATACCTTGTGTAAGGGTCTGTAAAGTGGCTCCAAGCATCCAAGCGTGTGATATTGGCATCAGGGTGAATCCTGCAGAGAGAAATAAATATAAGGCTTTCCATATACAGTATGTAATACAGAAGGATGTAAAGAATAGTTTTACCTTTGGAAAAATTTGCATCAAATTAAGCAAATTTACATTCGGCAAATGCATGACATAGTAAATTAAGCTGACTTTTTCAGAATGAATATATTAATCAAGTTTTAAACATAACAAGACAATGAAAACATATGATACTAAGAGATTGCATGTGATATCACAGATCAGCTGTAGTTTGTTAGTGTCAATGGATCAAACTGCCTTTAACTAGTACTAGCAGTAAGATGTCACATTAAATACTAATGTATTCCACTCAAGTTTTAATACGCACACACATAAAAATCCCAGTACAGGTTGAACCTCCCTAATCCGGCACCCATTGGACCTGACCGGTTCCAGACTATAGAATTTTCCGAACCATGGGTGGTACTGCATTTATTATAACAACTATCTGTGCATACTTTGTGGGAAACAATATGAGACCATGGATGATAAATTTTGGAATATGAAGGCTGTCACTCGTCACATGTAAAATTTCGGAGCATATCGACCCCCACATGCACAGATAGTTGTTTTAGCTACTGTAAATTAATTGTGGCATATGATCAGGTACACCCAAGAAACTATTCATCTCCAGTGCCTCCTGACAATATGCATCAATTAACTGACTGACCTCTCGAACAGTTAGTAAGCCAACTAGTGGCGCGCACTGTTAGTAAACTGTTTATCTACACAGGAAACTAAACATGGAACATAATACAGTATATTTTACACAATGTGACATTCATAAAATTGCACACATTACCTCATTTCACTAATCTATTAACAAGTTTGTGTAATGCCTCTTCACTATCTGTACCAACAGTAGCATCATCACCCTCTACTATACCAAATATTTTATATAATTTTACAATTAACTTTTTTATTTTCATCACTACTTCCAATAATCTCATTAAAATTCTGGATACAGTACCGGTACTGTAGATATTGTAGTGATGGAGATAGTTCACAGACTTGTTTAACTTCCTGTCTAACCCTAAACCAACCAGAATGCTGTGTATTATACATAATATACTAACACATCTACTGATGACAAGAGATTTTTTAATGATGTCACAAAGCTGCAGTGAGTGTTTTGACATTCTGACAAATCTACAATGAGTTGTCTTCCGTTCTGAGTCTCTAGCTTGTCCTACATACCTGGTCAACCCAGCAGGAACATGTCCAGCAAAGGCAGGAAGAACAGGAAACATTCCAAATAGTCGCATCCTGGTGACAATCTGTTTCTGGAGTGCCAAAGTTTGGTTATGCCAGGATGGGGTCAGTGGGCCCCCCCAGCCACGGATGTTACCCATGCGACCCCTGGAAAGAAAGTAGGAGAGAGAGAGAGGAGGAGAATATGTTCGTGAGTAAACTAACTGAAGATGAGGGTATTAACTATCAACAATATGAAAATAATAATAAATGGAAGTAATGCAGAAAATGAGGAGGAAAGATGAGGTTAAATACACAGGAAAAAAGTACTGAACTATATGCAGTAATGTCAATTCATTTCAAGATACAGTATATATCTCCCTGGCTGTGGTTTGAGAAAACAGTACTGCAACTATAAAAAATCGTGAGACTATTTCATTTTGGAAAACATATATTACAGTGGGGTCTCATTTTACGCGAGTCTCACGTGCGTGGTTATCACTTACGTGATTGGTTGAAATGTGACCTGTTATAGCTTACGCGGAAAGCCATGGGTAGCACAGGTAGCCTTCTACATACACACCTCAAAGTAAGTGTACTTTACTATCTTTTTTGTTGATTTCAGGCAATTTTCGGTGAGCTAGAACCAATTACCCAAAGACCCATTGAAACAATGGTTTCGGTTAGCGAGTTTTTCTGTTAACGAGCAACCTTCTGGAACGAATTGTGCTCGTTAACCGAGGGACCACTGTACTGTAAAAACTTAAAAATAGTTTATGTTCAAGAGAGTCTCAAGCAAGATGTTACCTCCACTGAACAGACACACAAATTGACGCAATGCTGGGTGAGTCAAGTGGCTGTTTGGCGCGCTAAAAACTAGTTTCCTGTACTTCAATTATGTTAAATAATTGTTAAAATGACTAAAAATTTTAATATAAAACTTGGAAAAATATTGAATAGTACAACCTTCTTGATATTTACTCAAATGGGAACGAATTTAAGCCCTAGAACCAATTACTGTATTGGCGGACTAATATTCCAGCTGGTGAGCAAGCCAAAACATGTTGAGAGGAATTCGTAAGGAATTCGTTAACCAAATTTTTTTCGTTAACCGAATTGAAGATTCTTATGGAAGGTAATTCGTTGACCGAAATTTCGTTAACCGAGGGATCACTGTATAGTGAATGAGATTCTGCTCTTCATGTAGCAATACAGTACTGTACTGTATACTGTAAAGAAAGAATCGAGGGGTATGGTAGGCACGCCCATGATAAAGCAGTTTATTGGAAAGGTTAGCCTACAATGAGCATGTACTGGGTATCTATCTGAAATGCATGAATTTTAACTCCTCAAAAATACTATGCGTACAGTATATTGTTCGACCCCCAATTTTCTGCATAAAAATTTAATCATAAAAATTCACACTATACTCGAGTATAAACGGTAACCTCACCCCCTACAACACTCACTGTCAACATTACAATTACAGTATTCCCTTAAAGCTCGCTGGGTTTAGGTAAAATGGATCCCTTGAGAAAGCACAATACCCAAGTTTTTCATGCCAGTTCCAGGAATGTGCAAAATACATATATAAATAGCTACTGTATATGCACATGTATAACAACATCATGTATGCAGAAGACAATATAAGATATATGAAATAACATAAATAAATAAACAAATATGAAATAACACTGTACGGACATTAGGTCCACACAGTGATAGTTAGTTGTGGTAGTGACAATACAAAGACAATACCTCTGAAACATCAGCTGATCTGGTGCACAGGAACATGCCCGGTACCGATAAGTATTTGTAATGTGTATACCGTATGTACACTCGCACCAAAAAGTATCGGTGTAGGGTGAGATCGACGACTTCCGAAACGATACGTATACACTGTGATGTGTCGGGAAGGTTGGTAAGTGTATCCTCATAACCCCCCCCCCCCTCCACTAGGTGTTGCCAGATGGCTGACAATCAGTGTGTTTGTTTCCTCTTTTCGGATTGTGGCTTTGTGTCGACTGAATGATGAGCAAGAGTTCGGTCTCGGTGAACGTGGGTATAAAACAGAGGCAATATGAAGCAGTAGAGATCTACACATGCCAGACGACATGGAAACCTCAGAGGGAACACGAGGAGCTATTATTGCCCTTCATAACAAAGGGTTCGGCGTCACAGATATTAGCCGGCGGGTTGGTGTCCACAGGAACACCACTGCACAATGGATTCGGCAATACCTCGTAACTGGTGCTACAGACGACAGGTCTCGGAGCGGCCGTCCACGCTGCACCACCCCTCAGGACGACCAGGTTGAGTGGTTTATTTGGTAGCATAAATTAATGTGGCAATATTCACAAGTATCACAAATAATTTTGTTAACAGGGAACTCCTCATATTTCATACTGTCTATTTATCACTTCCCGACCTTATTTATAACGGTTTGTTTCACTTGACCAGGCCATAGTAGCTGCTCAGCAGGATTACAGGGCTGCCAACATGCGGCTGGAACAACTCGCCTTTCCCAATACCTATCGTCACTGGTCTCAAACTGTTCACACTACAATATGCACCGATACTTTTTGTTGCGAGTGTACCTATACGTATAATTACATCCTTTTGCATAAATTCGGTAAATTTTATTAATAATACAAACAAATGTTTGATAATAGGTTCATAAAGTGATAGTGAGGTGTGGTAGTGAGAAACATGATAGCATATAGCCAGTGATTTGGCTTTGCCAGTACAGTAAACTATTAACTCTGCAAAAATAATTTTTCCAAAATTGTACTATGTACTGTCCTGTAGTGTTGCCTCCTCTTGATCCCTGACACACAGCCTCAGATTTAATTTCTTTATTTTCCATGACAATCAGTGAGTTTCCGAAGGACGAAAGCTTTAACACCGCGAGTTTTAAGGGAATACTGTACACATAACACCACACTCAAAACTTTCCAACACCCTTACCAAGCCAGGAAAGCAGGGCCAGCAAAATGCTCATCCAACTCTGCCTGAGTGATGCCCATCTTGGTGTAAACACGATGCCATATTGCCTCTTGCCCTGTGAAGGCAAGAGGAAGGTTGATGCCATTCAGTGCCATCCAGTCAATTTCTCTCTGCCACCGTTGCCATCCCCACCATACCATTGAGTAAGACACAGTACATACATTCTGGTAGTAGCGAAATCTTGAAAGAGGCAAAATTATATTTTCCATTAGTAAACTAGAATACACCATGTATCATTCAGTCAGCTATTCTAGGATCCACATAAACTTAAATATGACTGGGAAGTTTGAAGAAGCGAATGTTAAACATGTTCTGCCTAAAAAAAATTTCAGTTACCTGAATGTTTTTTAGGGAAATACAATAAGTGAAACTAATCAACAACTGGAATTTCAAGGAAGAGACTTTCATAAAGGTTCTATATCTGTTCACTATCAAAAAATTCTACTTGATTTTCAGTCACCAAACTATGCTAATTTCAATCAACATTCATTTGTCCACTGAAAGATTAGTTAGTCTATAGTTGGATGTTCATTCATGTTAAGACCTGCTATTGACTTTCCAATTAATTCATTGTACAGTACTCATTATCCGAGGGTAATTGGGACCAGAAAAACGCCCCTGATAACGAATCCACTTAAAGTGGGGAATTAATCTCATAAGAAATAATGGAAGTAGGTCAAATTGGGACCATGACATTATACACGACACTCAAAAAACAAATTATATGATATATTTTAACAATTATTTACCTTAGAAACATTTGTTAAATATTTGATAACATATTATTTTAAGAAATGATTTAACTTTATGAGTTATCTAACGTCCTTAAAGCTCATTGGGGTCGGTGTGTTGAAGCAACATAGGTTGTGCCAGCGACCCGGTGGTCCGCTGCAACTATTGCTGGTGCACAGTCTTTCAAGTGATTCATTATTATGTTTTAAAAATAAATAATTTTAACATAATAAAATGGTAGAGATGTTTAGCTTGATTGGATTGATGGAGGTGGGTGCTGGGGGATGGAGGATTAGTCGGAGGATGAAAGAGAAACAGGACTGGGTGGATTGTGCACTCCCACTCTTCTTTTGCCTAATCACTTCTAATTTTACATCTACCCTGTATACTATAGCAAGTATGCTTCCTTTTGAGCACTGTACCACCCTGTTTGGGTTGGCAACTCATGGCTACAAAAATCATAAAATAATTCACCACAACATGCACGAAGACGCAACAAAGGCGGGAGTAAACACAACATAGCACTGGTCTGGACAATGCTGGGACACGTGTGCGTGCCTGCCTGACGCCAGGAATAGGATGAAATTTCAAATGCTTCAGCTAAAGATCTGTAGATTTTATCGGGAGTTTTAAATCTGTAGATTTTATCGGGAGTTTTAAATCTGTAGATTTTATCCAGAGTTTTGAGAGTTTTTGAGTGGTTTTTGAGTGAAATCCACTTAAATGCAGGGACTTTTTATGTGGATGGTCACAAAAAGTTGACCACTTAACTGCAAAACCGCAAACAGTGAATACAGCATGCCCTTAAATTTTGCGGGGGTTAGGTTCTCAAAACGGCCGCGAATCGTCAAATCCACGAATAACATTCGCTGACCAGGAGGGGGGGGAGGGGTTACATTTTTACTTGCGTACAAAGAAATGTATATTCCCTCTATGTGTTTGACCTTAGGGCAATTATTTCTTTTACCTGCACAGAGTGGACTTGTGGGTAGACTGTCACATTTTTAATACATTTGTTTCCAATTGCATATACAGTACCTGTATGTATTGTATGTGTGTGTGTGTGTGTGTGTGTGTGTGTGTGTAGATATATATACACACAAAACACATACAAATATATAATAATGGGAAAATCTTCTCACAATAATCAGAAACAAATGTATTATAAATGTTGAGTCTACCCTCAAGTCTACTCCGTATAAAGGAAATTACTGTCTCTAGAACAAATGGCTCCCTGTCCCGGCCGCAAAAATGCCGGCAACTTTAAAACTACCCGCGGACATTTTTGGGTACATCCAGGGTGTCATCCGCGAATAATAGAGAACCGCAAAACAAAAATCAGCGAATTATCCAGGCTTACTGTACTCTTAAACGAGGACCTCCTGTACTGTCTTCCATGTACAGGTATCTGCAATATTTACTAATAAGTCTTTTGTCTTGACATACCATATAAGTATTGCAAAAGTGTAGAATATTTGTATGACTATATAAAGAGACAAATTTAATTGTTTTATTTTGTTAAGTGCCTAAGTCCACTCTTTCTCTCTTTTCCACTAACCTGTCATTAGACGTGACATTGAACTGAGCTGAGGGTAATGTCTCAGGAAGGTCTAGCTGGTCAGCCTCCCAAGACACATGAGCATTGCAGTAGTATTTAAGGTAGTGCAGAATGCCCCAGGCAGCTGCCACACCACTTGTTCCTGCTACATCTACGCTACCATTAACACCAGGGGAGTTCACCTGATCCAGAGAGGAGTTTCATATGCTAAAATGCAAATTAAGTCCAAGGAAGCATGTTCATATAACAGGGTGTATGTTCAGGAGCACTCTGAAATGTTTGGGAACACATATCACAGAGTATGTTCAGCTGTATGAGAGCACATAGAGATATAAGGGTGCACTCTAATATCAGGGAACATCTTGAAAGGCTTATGAGTATGTCAAGATATTCAAAAGCATATTGAAATGTAAAGAAGCATACTATTTTGATATCAGACAGTATTTTCAGATACTATACTCTATTAGGAATTTATATACAGTATTTAAAATATATTAAAATGCTTATGTACTGTATGTTTTGGAAGATGTTTAAAAGCAGAGAAAGATGTTTTGCTGTTTCAGAGAATGTAATTGATATTAAAGGAATTAGGGGCATTTAAAAACTGAGGATAATGATTTGTTGTTAAGGAGAAAGAAGATGCGAAGAATGCTGGTTACTGATAGGTACAAGTACTCTACTTGCATTGTCTGTTTCACTTACATACTTGTAGATGGGAAAGATTAAGGTCAATAACTAGATACAGACAGACATATAGACAAAGCTGCAGAGAGATACTGAACTAAGCAAAAATCATACAGGCTAAACAAAAGACCATGTGAAAATAATATGTATATCATCAGATAAAGGCTATCTCATGAAGTGACTTTCCCGATTTGGAGTATTGTCACCTTGTCTGATTCCTGAGATATGCTAGAGAGTGCCAGTTGATTGAAAATATCCAAAGGAGGGCCACTAGACTGGTGCCTACAACCCGCCACCTCAGGGACCCAGAGAGATTGGAATGCCTGCCGTTGCCGAGCTTATATTACAGATGGGAAGGGGTGACTTAATAGAAGTTTTAAGCCACCTCAGAGAACATTAATCAGTCAAGCACTTTTTTTTCCCCCCACTTATCAAGCAGTTGGTCTATCCATTGTTAGTACAGGTGGAAATCAGAGACTGGGAAAACTGTGATGTTTGGTAGGATCTCAAATGTGCCCGGGCCAAGCAGGATTCAAACCCTTGACATATTGGTGAGAGATTCACCAAATCATACCTGGAACTTGCAGATACCAGTCCCACAAAAGGTCACAGCCTCAGGTTGAAGGAGGCACATGTTCAGAAAATTGTCAAGCCAAACTTTTTTGGAGAGAAAGAGTCGTGAACTCTTGGATTAATCAAGTTACTGTAATGTGATATTCTTCAGGAATGCAACTACTGCATTATAAAGTAGAACTGACTGTAAGGTGTACTTATCCACAGTGCATAACAGAGACATGATTGGCTGCCGAAGTGGTTAACAAGCTGATCAGTGGTGAAGAGGATAAAGCACAGTAAAGTACATGCAGGAACAAATGAATTGTTTTACCTTGTTCTCTTCCCAAGATAATGCATCCATAAAAAAGAATTGACAACTTGAGGGATTAAGCAAAATATTGAGTACAGGTGCTCCTCGACTTACGACATACAGTACAGTACTCGACTTACGACAACTCGGACATAAAATATTTTTCAAATTACGTATTTTCTAGTACCGAAGTTAGTGATCGCACTGTGTACTGACAAAATTTTCGTTTGTAATTCCCTTTAAAATGGCTGGCAAGCATAAAAGTGAGAGTTCTCGTGGTACTGAGAAGAAAAAGAGACACCCATTTCAGAATTTCTATGTACTATTTTCGCCTTTTCAACTTACGACCTGGTCGTTGGGACGGAACCCCGTCGTAAGTAGAGGAGAGACTGTACTAGCCAAGTTACCTGGCTCTCTGTCTTCAAAACTGTGGAACTGCATCCAACCCATGGGTTGGAGGCCTTGGTCAGCCCTGACCCACCCCTCATGGAAGGACAGGAAAGAGAACACGACCATCCCCTTGGCCCCCAGCACCTCCCTACCCTAATTTCAACTCCGTTTCTTCAAACCTACGGAAATTCGTAACGCACGCACGCACATACCGCACGCACGCACGCACGCACGCACGCACGCACACACACACACACACACACACACACACACACACACACACACTGTATTTTATAAACAATACATACTGTACTGTAACAGATTATATGAAATATATGTTAGATCTGGAGATGCAGTAGTAGGAAGCAAGGAATAAGGATAAGAGGGTATTTATCTGGAGTAAAGGGGCATTAAAAATAAAATAACAATCATATCAAAAGGTAAAGAAATATAAGATTTTTGATAATTTATGATACTGTACTATATATATATCACAGTATGTCGACCTGTGGTGTAATGGTCAGCATTCTCGCCTTGTTTCCAAGACAATTTTGAAACTACGTACTGTACAGGTATTTCCAGCTTAACGTCATAATTTTCAAAATACCTAGCCAGTACGAGAAATTATTTTTGTATTTTCCCATACACACGAGGAAACATTCTTAGGAATGACCATATTGTAATCATTGAAAATTATATCCCCCCCTCCAGTGTTTACTCTCTGAATATGCCCTTCAACAACCCATCCTCATGACACCTCTCATCACAACCCCACTCACAGCAACTTACCATAAAAGTATCCCTTCCTTCAGGACCTATACTGGGATCCACTCTCACAACAAAGTCCTTAGCTCTTTCTGGTAGTAAACGCTTTAAGAGTTCTCCCACTGCTTCAGCCTGGTCTTCAGGGCTTGTTTGGGATTTTATGTCCCGTAGATATCGCTCCCAGGGCTGTGGGTCTTCTAACACGTTCCCTGAAAACAAACCAAAAGTGATTTGCATTTTCTTTTTCTCTACTGATCTGTCACTCCTTCTCTACCTGTCTTAAAATTACTCATAGTGTTTAGAATTAGTGGCTGAAAATATTAGTTTCAAGTATACTGGGTGACTGCTAAGAAAAGTGGCCAGATATTTAAATGTGACAAAAAATGGACAATTTGGTATGTACAGTTGCCTTGAAGAGTTTCTTTACCACCTGTGATGATGCTTACATTAATGTGGCAGCGTCGCAATGCCAAATTTATGAATGAATGGTCTTGTAACGATGGAGCTGATTAGTGGACAAGTTCCAGTGTTGGACATCAGGAGATGGGGGTTGGGGAGTGGGATCCCAATCTCAGAGGTAAAATTGTGAAGGCTATCCCACTGCCATACTATCGTGTTTCAATAATCCTCCTCAATCTTAGTGTTGATAATTCATGATGGCTCTGAACACACCTGTAAAGACGATCCCCACTGCTGCCGTGACCAACAGCACCTCACTCACACCAAAATCCACTACAGGTACTCACATTTATATTCAATGCCTCTTACAATCTGTATATTATGATTGCCAGTTTCCCACAAGATAAAACTCATAGATTATACTTTATAACTATCTATTGGTAGTCATATACTGTATTCAGGTGGTGTCAGGTGTGGTAGTGATGGGTCTTTGTGTGGGTGCTTGGTCGAGGCTAGTTAGGGTGGGGGTGCAGTCATTCATAGTGTTAATCACATCAAAAGTATTCAGGAGTTAGTAAGAGAAGGGAAGTATTTTAGTTCTATCCAATTTCATGTCTTTTTATGCATCAATAAGAAATAGCATTTCACACTTAATCAGTAAGAGCTCTCTACTAGTAGACATTAGGTGCACCTGCAATGCAGGGCTGTGGGACACATTTACTGCAACTTATGATACATTAATATCACCAACATGATACAGGGTAATGTAATGTTTGTGTTTTATTTATTAGGTTGTCTACATATGCTGTCATTTCCAGATAATTTATTGACTGATAAAGTAGGCTGTAGTAGACCAAAGGATAGGCTGACTATAGTCCCACAGGCTCACACAGGTCCCTCCCAAACTGCTAATTGTCTTCACAAGATGTAGTCGCTTACAAAGTATATCACTGAAATATCTAACGGTCACCAGTCTTGCAGTCAGGTTGATAAAAACTTTGATTGAGCTTAGCAATAGAAAGATTTAACAAAGGTACGGACATTGTATGGCGGTGGTGTACCGGCTAGCACATAGCAGGTCACCGTTGATATTTGATTTTGTATTATGGTAATTAATATTACACCCACGATATCACGAAGCTTAAACATTGTAGTAATTGCAGGGGTCAACCTTCATGACTCAGTGGACCCACTCCCTTCTTCACACTACCTCGCCGCCACAACCATCATCCATTCTTACCATACACGGTGGAACAGGCTGTCAATGAGCTTGTCAGCCTGTAATCTCCTAACCATGACATTTATGAATGTTAATATAAGTCTCAGTTTTCATATTCAATGAATATTTGAACATCGCAAGCATCAGAAGTGTAATGCTAAGGGCATAATGAATTGCAAATTCTTAACCTAACACAGTTCAAATGGGGCTTTGAGGGTGGTGGTGGTGTGACCAGTAAGGGGGGAGATCTACCCCACCACCAAGCTATTGTATTAAGTAAGTAGCTAATCCTCCTCAAGCTATGAAAACTGGTATTCCCTATTTGGTTAAGTTAACATTCAGATTACCAATACTATATAATGCTATTGCCTCCTGTCTGCTCAATTATATGTGAATTAAATTAACTATTTTGATATAAACTTTGTAGTTGACCACTGACCATTAATAACTGGACCTGAGGCTCAGGTAGGGATTATTGACTTGAATTAATTGTAAGGTGAAGGTTTATACGTTATACCAACACTTCTAAAATGTAAGCATAATTATAAATCTTTATCATTTGTTATTCTGGTGATCTGAATATGACCAAGAGCAAGAGTTCCCCTACTACACCCTGACCCAGCAAATTAGTGTTTCAAACATCTGTTTTTCCACAAATCTGTGCATTTCCTTACCATTACCCAATTACTGTGTTTACTGCTTGTCAGTGCTCATTTCAGAAAAATAAAAATAGATTTTGTTGTAACTGCCAAAAATTTTTCATTAATTATTCGGAAATTTAAAGAAAATTATTGAAATCATTATGACAGCTTAATAAATTCAATATTCAGTAGTATTATTAGATTCAGTTTACCTTATACAGTAATACCCCGATTTACGCGGTCAATTGAACCCGCGGAGGTCCGCGTAAACAATATGTTTGGTATCTACAAGAGTAAAGTTGGACTTACAAACAATTGGACTTACAAACAAGCCTCAGGAACGTAACTCGTTCGTAAGTAGAGAAGCACCTGTACGTAGTAGTATATTTGAGTACAAAGTGTGTACAGTACAGGTAATGTTACTCAAAATTATGGCTTATTTATATTTAATTTACATATAACATTTGTTTAATTTAAGTTTCTAGCAGTTCATGGTGCTTTAGAGACACAGGAGGCGTATAATTAGTGGGTCAGAAGTGTACGTATTGTTAAAATGTTATTATGTGACCTCGGTTGGTCCGGCAAAACGGATAATCCGGCAAGGTTTTGGAACCAAGAGTACCGGAAAATCGATGGTGGACCTGTATGTGAATTCTAATATTTTTTTTCTTGTATGTGATGCCTTTCCCACCAAAAATAATAATAATGTCCTTCCCGAATTTCCCCCTTGGACTAGAGGCAGAAATTGTGACATTAAATAATTTTCCCAAGTGTTTGGCCCAGCTGAAATCATTAATCATGGCAGAAAATTTCATTTTTTTATCAGTGAAAGGGGTGAATTGGTGCTGGTTTTCTTTTTTCGATTTTTCTTATTTTACCATTTCAGTATATTACTTACTTTACTTTATCCTCTTTGCCACCGATTGGCTCAGTAGTCACTTGGGCAGTCAGTCACATCTCTGTTATGCAGTGTTGACAAGTCCTGGGCCTGTACCTGACTTAATTTCAACTTGTTCCTAAATTCCTAAAAGCAAACTTAAATATATAAAGCCAACTCAATTCACTTCTTGACTCCTAAAAAATAATCCAGAGGTCTAACACCATTTATTTATTTTATATTTTAAAATCTTAATCATGCCTTAAGTCATAAAATACTACAGTTCCTCCCTTAATTCCTCTACAACACTCTTTGGTCCTGAAACCAACATTTTTGCATCTCCCAATCCCTAAGAATATGAATGACCACAATCTATCCCTGACAAGAAATACTAACCTTCAGCCATCATTTAACATCTTTATTTTATCCTCTTTGCCACTTGTTGGCTTACCTGCTTGCACACATTACCCAATGTATTTTTAAAAACAAAACTACTAGAACATTTCACTGCACAACTCTTCAAGTAAAAACTGCATATTGTTGTTACAATGTACGGTATATATGTTGGTGGTTAAATACCAAGTCAATAGGCACCATTCATAAGCCTTTATTGTATCCCAGATGCATCAGAAAAGGGGGGGGGGGGGCAGGGAGGCCCTGAGCCCCCCCCTATAAAAAAAATTAAAATAATAATAATAATAAAAGTGCATCACATTACTTTTCATTAGTGATGTCACAAAGCTTCGTAACTGCAACTGCATAAATTATCACAACCACCACAACCGAAACAACCATATGAACCCACGTGGTTGTTGCAGTTGTGAAACAATCACAAACAAGGGTTGAGAGTTGAGAAGGGCGGTGGGGCCCTCCAACCAATGTGTTGCCTTTATGTACAATAAGCTACAATAGCAGATACAGTGTACAATGTTTTTAGATCTTTATAGTGATAAACCTTGAATAAGTTACTTAATTACAGGCGACCATTTGTGACCTTTTTCACACAGGGAGTGTAAAAAAGTGGTAGTATTGAACAATCTGATGAGCAAAAACCTCTTGTTTTAATTTGGGGCTAAACATGACTGTACTTTAATGTACAACTTGTACTCAAAGGCACTAAGTTAATTACTAAAATTTTTATGTCTGGTGTAAGCTATGGGGTGTTTATACTCAAATTAATCACTATCTTGCAAGAATTCCAGCACTGCAAGTTATATTCTACTAAGTCAGTGACATTTTATAAAAGAAAAACTTAATTCCCTGTCTTTTATAATCCTGAGTCCCTGACCTGCACCACCCCCTCCCCCTCCACTGACAACTGATCTCCCCTCACTGGCTGTGAACACCCCACCACTCCCTCCCAGCCGGCAAGGGAGGCGAGATGTCAGTGATCAGGGTTTTACAAGATGAGTTTGGTTCAGGCTTAAAGTTTTTCTCTTATAAAATGTCATAGACTTGACTTAGCAGAATATAACTTGCATTGCTGGAATCCTTGCAAGATAGCAATTATTTTGAGTATAAACATCTCATTGTTTGCTCAAAGAGATAAAAATTTTAGTCCTCTAGCATAGTACATTTGAGAACAAACTGTACAGTACACTAAAGTAGAGTAATATGTTGTTCAAAATTATGGCTTTTTCACATGGAAAAATCATAGGAAGGTAAGTTGAAAGTTTACACAGGATACAGCATTAATCCAAGTTTAAAGTTGAACCAAACAACAGCAACCGTGCAGTTATGACTTCCTGACAACTGGAGAGCTTTGAAATTTGACAACTGTGACATCACTATTTTGCATTTATCTTCATTCCACATACATCTTCAGTATAAAGTCACAATAGCATAATCCTGAATTACTGACATGAATATAAATATCAGTAAAGATAATAAATTTAGTTTTTGAGTTTCCTGTATTGTATACATATTAATTAGGCAGTTCTGTTAGTTTGTAACGAATATGAAAGGCCTAGTGCACATCGGAAACAGGACATACCAGGCTGTGAACCTCGTGCAGAACTTCAATTTTCCTATGGTACCGTGTTTGCAAATCTTCACTACCATTCTCATGATAACCAAGCAATTGTCCGACATGCTGCATTGGATCTGTCTGCTGCAACAACCATGAAAAATATTGTTGAAGATGACATTCTTAGTGAGAGATCTACTAAAGTATGGCAAACAATAACGAAGGAGTACTACATCGAAGTTTTTCTCCGGCTGAGGGATGCGGTAAGAAAACGACCGCAGCTGTGGGCAAGTGGTGACTGGCAGCTTCATCATCATGACAACGCGACTGCCCATTCTTCACGTCTCGTGCAGGGTTTTTTGGCAAAACATCGCATCACCCAGGTCTCTCAGCCCCCCTACAGCCCAGATTTGGCTCCCTGAGACTTCTGGCTTTTCTCAAAGCTAAAATCGCCGTTGAAAGGGAGGAGATTTCAGACCGTGGACGAGATTAAGGAGAATGCGACGATGCAGCTGATGGAGAACCAGAAAGAGGACTTTGCAGACTGTTTTGAAAAGTGGAAGGGACGCTGGGAGAAGTGTGTGAGGTCCCAAGGTGAGTACTTTGAAGGGGACTAAGGCGCCATTGTCCTAGGTAAGCAATATTTTTTTAATAGTATATATATATATATATATATATATATATATATATATATATATATATATATATATATATATATATATATATATATATATATATATATATATATATATATATATATATATATATATATACACACACACACACACAGTATTACCCCGCTTTACACGGTTTCACTTTCCGCGATTTCTCATTTACGCGGTACCTTGCCAGAACCGGACTTTCACTTTCCGCGGTGCATCTACTCATATACGCGTGAAGTATATATATATATATTTTTTATTTAGCTCATAAAATTCATACAAATTACCCGGCCAGAATATAATTTACATTGCTGGAATTCTTACAATATGATGATCATTTTGATTATAAACATCATGGATTTTGCATTAGACATACAAATTTTAGATCTAATGTAATAATTTGGTTTACACAAAGCAATTATTTTATCCTTTGTGCAGAATATATGAAGTTTACATTCAAAATATTCCCTGACCTGCAAGGAATCCAGAAATGTCAATTATATTATCCTAACTTTAGTCTGAGTTATTATTTATTACTAAAAATGTAAATATACTATTTTCTCCCAATCGCTTCTCTGTACGTAATTGACTACCTACAACTTACCTGCAACTTCACCAACAAGCACCAAGGCTATGACAACCAAGAGCAGCATTGGCTGGATCCATGACCTTGATATAATTTGGCATTTTTTTGTGCCTTCCTGCAAGAATAAATTTGTTGAATCAGTGAGTGCATTACAACATGAACACAAACATATTATCCTCTGGTTAAGAGCACATTGAAGGTATAACACATACAGTACATATAGAGCCAAGAAGATAGACCCAGAGCCAAGTAATTCAAGTGATATACACTGTACTGTACAGCATGCTTTCAGAGAGCAGTTGACCCAAAAATGTAAGAAAATAAAAATATATTGGATGAATATTAACAAAAATTTTAAATACAAAATATTTAGTATGGGTATACTAAAACATAAATAAATAGATATATAATTTATTTATAAAGAAATAAGTAAAACTTTGATTGTGTAATGTTGTTTGCCTTGCATATTAACTATACATATCATTAGTAAAGCCTCTGATAACGATGGTTCAACTAACGAAGATTCTTATCTAAGACCCTGGTTAATTTAGGACCCAATTAAATTTATGTCATTATTGTCTTTGTATTGACGACAAAATTAAAAAAATTTATATTACATTTTCATATAAATAATACACCCCATTAAAAAAAAAAACACGCCTTGCGCACGGAGGCTGCCAGGCTTGTTAGTGGTGACGCCAGCATCACTAGTATAAACAACCGCAGCTTGCGGGCCCATTGTTTTCACGCATCTGAACAGGAAAAACTGCGTGTCTCCTTCATTAATCATCACACGCACGTGTTCCCGTACATGTCACGCGACCAATCAAAAGCTTCTTTTTTTTTGCAACCAATTAAAATGATTTGTGGTTTAATTCACTGTATTTTTGGCCCAATCAAAATCGATTTTTATTTTTGGTCTCTCATATTTTAAAATTCAACTTCATTTCCGACCATGGAAGTCTGCGATGGGTGTTACTTTAATTATATGAAGCCGATTGAGAGTTTTGGGGAAAAAACAAAGAAATTATAAAAAAATTTCGATCGCATGGTGTTCTTCCAACCTCAGTAAAGTGTCTTAAGAGCAAGACTGAATGTAAATATCACAAAGCCCAACATATGTGGCGTTGTGTAAGACTCAGAATCCAACGACGAACAAGAACCAGACCAATAAGGTAAGACATAGGTGATTCCTTCATATGGTGAGAGTCAGTTAGGTTAGGTTAGGTCAGGTCAGGTTAGGTTAGGTTAGGTTAGGTCAGGTCAGGTCAGGTTAGGTTAGGTTAGGTTAGGTTAGGTTAGGTTAGGTTAGGTTAGGTTAGGTTAGGTTTGGTTTTTGTTTTTCTAGTGTTTTTTGTGTATTTTTTAGTCGCTTAGCAACTTTTTTTTTCGGAAAACGTCAAACGAAAAAAAATCGCAAAAAAACCAGGCTAATTTCCGCCAAATATGAAGGTGACACTCGGTACACACACACACACTAGAGGAATATATGTTTGTCTTTCTAACAGTGGGAGGTGGAAGGGCACATTTACCTAAAACTAGACCCAAAAATATTGTGGAACATTAAGGCCAACTTGTATTAAAAAAAATAACAACATAAAAGGTTTCAACTTGGAGTTCCTTCAGTTACAACAATTGAAAACTTACCAAATTATCACATACAATAGTAATGGTACGGAAGAAAACTTTTAAATGATCATTCACAAAACTGTTTTATCACAAATGAAGTCAAACAACATGGTAAACCTCATAATACTTACCATTATATATACAGCACCAGGACCCAACACACTGCAGGCTCCACCACCACTACCTGTGGCTCCTCTTGTGGCCAGGAGTCATTTAAGTAGTGTGTGTTGGTCGGACAGCCTCTCTCCACCAATAACAACTAAGATCAGACGCCTCTCGACCAATAACAACTAAGGATCAGACGCTGGCTGTACAGGGAGCGACTTCACTCGTCGCTCCGTTGTGGGCGGTATAATGGGGTTTTTCTTCCCTTTTTCATTAAAATACAGTATTAGAAAATGACTTTTAGCTCACATATAATGTGGAAAGACTAAATGGAAAGTTATTATTAAGTGATTGCAATAACCTACTAATGTTTTTTTCCTACACGAATAAGGAGATAGAAAAAAGCATACAAATATTTTATTATACAGTATAACGTTTCCGTCGGAAATTTATATTGTCTAGTTATTTTCACTTTTATGTGACAACTACTATACTGTATTGTATTTACATCAACAAGTGGGCTGGGCTTTAAAGTAGAGGGAAATTGAGTGTAGGACAAAAGCCCCCTAGGACAAAAGCCCCCTAGGACAAAAAGGCCCCCTAGGACAAAAGCCCCCTAGGACACAAACCCCCTAGGACACAAACCCCCTAGGACACAAACCCCTAGGGACAAAAGCCCCCTAGGACAAAAGCCCCTAGGACAAAACCCCCCTAGGACAAAAGCCCCTAGGACAAAAGCCCCTAGGACACAAACCCCTAGACACAAACCCCCTAGGACACAAACCCCCTAGGACAAAGCCCCTCCCTAGGACACAAACCCCTAGGGGACAAAACCCCCTAGGACACAAACACAAAACCCCTAGGACACAAACCCCCTAGGACACAAACCCCCTAGGACAAAAACCCCCTAGGACAAAAGCCCCCTAGGACAAAAGCTCCCTAGGACACAAACCCCCTAGGACACAAACCCCCTAGGACAAAAACCCCCTAGGACAAAAGCCCCCTAGGACACAAACACCCTAGGACAAAAACACCCACGATAAATAATAAAAAAAAATAAAATAATTATTTTATTTTTTTTACAGTTTGTGGGGAATGGTAGTTTGTTCGGACTAAAAAATCACAATGTGCTCTCTGTATACATGTTGTATTGGATGTACAGTGCAGCTTGGTGCTGGGAAGGCAGCATGGTTACAAGCGTGATGTAGAGAGAGCTGATTGGTGAGGAGCTTGCTCAGAGGAGGTGTTGCCTGTTGCGGGGCTCAGGTAGAAGAAGGGAATTCACGGCGAGGTTGAGAGCTGATATAGCGGAGGTAGGCGTGGCTTGATAGCCGACCTCCGCTTTGTCAAACGTCGCTACTAGCCGACCCCGCTCTATAAGACCACGAGGCTTTGGCTGGGAAACTCGACAAGGTATCGGCTGGTCAGCGATAAACGGCAGTTGTAGTTGTAGGGGAGAGTATCCACTACAGTACAAGTCTCCACTCGACCAAAGCGTCAAGCAGCACAAAGGGGGAAAGCTTCTATCTGAGAAATATTGGACGCAAATTTGTACGTACTGTAAATAGTCTTAACAAAATGAAAGTCCATTTCTACTAAATAACAAAGTGTACTCATCCATTTGTTCTCTACCTCGCGGAGGACGTCAGAATTCCCTGACAGGAAAGGGTAAACTTAGTTTAAGATTGTATACAAGGTCTGTCCGGAAAGTATCCAGCCAATTACTATTAAAAAAAATATTGCTTACCTAGGACAATGGCGCCTTAGTCCCCTTCAAAGTACTCCCCTTGGGACCTCACACACTTCTCCCAGCGTCCCTTCCACTTTTCAAAACAGTCTACAAAATCCTCTTTCGGGATCTCCATCAGCTGCCTCGTCGCATTCTCCTTAATCTCATCCAGGCCAAACAATAACGAAGGAGTACTACATCAAAGTTTTTCTCCGGCTGAGGGATGCGGTAAGAAAACGACCGCAGCTGTGGGCAAGTGGTGACTGGCAGCTTCATCATGACAACGCGACTGCCCATTCTTCACGTCTAAAGCAGGAGGCAGCCATTCGTGAAGAGTGGAATAATTTAGACCCACAAATAATCCACAACTTGGCAGAGTCAGTTCCTTCACACCTGCAGGAGTGTATTAAGAGAAAAGGTAGGCTCATAGACTACCGGAAGTTTGTTAACTTCTCAGATTATTTTTGTATTAATATTTTATCTTGTTTATGTCCATCACGACCCTGCGCTTTTTGCAATGGCGAGGAGTGTATGTACTATATATAAGCACAGAAACATTACCACACATTAGTTTGCACTACAGTACACTGCTTGTCCATGTTCAGCACAGATGCTCTCTGATGCCTGTGCCAGCATCTTCTGATGCTAACAAAAATTACCATACCATTTTTTTTTTACAAAAGTGAGTTTTTGTTCTTATACCAAAGCACTGGAACATTATTTGTTTCATATTAGTGAATTTTCGTAAATTAAGGTTTTGTAAATTGAAGCACTCATGTACTGAATATTTAAGTATTAATGCAACTTTATAAACTTTGACAATGCAAGACAAAACTGTACAGGGAAGAGACCTTTGCTGACTACACATGTACTCTGGTTTTGTTTTTAGATTTCAAGTGTAAATTGGGTTCTTGACGTCTGGGATTATTGTTTGTAAGACTTTCTGAATATACGGTAGTTTAACAATCCCGAAAGAGTTACAGGTACAAAAGAAAGTCAAGGTTGTTATATCCCCATAATTGTCTAGCTTCTGAATAGCTTGGAGCATGTGACAAAGCAAAGGAAACAAGAAATCTGCTCTAACCACTGAACAAGCAACCAGTCCTATTGAGCCTTACATGGGGTCAAGGAAGAAGAAAGTGAAAACTTGCCTGTTTTGCAGTGCACTTACAAGTTTTATTATTGACTGGTTTGTCACAATCAAATTAAGAATGCAATAACCTTGCCTGTTGAAATACAGCAAAAGTCGTGGTGTTGAGTCTCACATTTATTTTTGTCAATAAATCTCCTGTACTTTAGTAATATACATACCAAGATCTAAAATAACCCTCTATCTCACAAAAATTTCTGAAGGAGATATAAAATATTTTAAATTAAATACATTTATTTTCATAATTTTAAGGGTAGGTATGAATTCACTTGCCACATAGCAGTTTACTTACAACATCCATCTTGTAGACTACCTAAGCATTTAATAACAAGATTTCATAATAATAAGCCACTCATGTTCACATGAATATTACCACAAGAGAAATACAATCAGGTATGAATTCTATTTCAAGGCAAACAACTGGTAATGATAAAAAATAATCCTACAATGGTAGTAGGCAGCTATCAAACAGGGAGGTACTACCGCCTGGGAAGATAATGGAAGAATAATGTGTTGTTTAATGGTAGACCCTGCTGCCATATGTGACTAAGTCCCAGGTTGATGATCTGACTTTCTGCCTCATTTACACACAAGTGCAGGGTCTCAATTGTTTTTCTTACTATTGACAACACAATATACTGTATATCATTTCTCAATCTTGATTTAATTTTTAATTTGTGTATTTATTTATGGTTATTATTATTTTTATTGTAATTTTTCTTTATTATTATTATTATTATTACATTTTGCCCCCCAGGTCCCGATGTGGGTCTGTAACCTGTGCCCGGGTGGGCTAATCCCCGTAAAAAAAAAAAAACCTTCCCCATTGACAAAGCAAGAGAAAACCAACAAATCTCAGAATTCATTGACTTTCAAAATTTATGCAGTTATTCTTATTAATTATGTGAGTGACACAGAAGGCAGTGACAGAAGCACACAGTACTGTATATGAGTTGAGGTAAGCTGAACACTATATCTAGAGTAACTGGAACTGTTGCCAACAAATCTGCCAATAATTATCACAACTTGATCAGGTCATTTATTATGGATGTAGATTTTGGTTACCTCTCCCAATCATAATCATCTTCTCATTGTCCCAGAAATTTGATCTTCATTCTTCTTTCATCACTAAATGTATAATAATAATTAATACCCGGTGTCACATAAATCTTCAGGGTAATCATATTATTTACATAAATTTTGAAGCTTGATTACATCTTGATTTTATGCATATTATATGTACAGTACACCATTCTTACTTCTTTTTTTTTTTTTTACGGGAATTAGCCCACCCTGGCACAGGATCACAGACCCACATTGCGGCCTGGGGGCGAAAATTTAATAATAATAATAATAATAATAATAATAATAATAATAATAATAATAATAATAATAATAGTAATAATAATAATAATAATAATAATAATAATAATAATAATAGTAATAATAATAATAATCCATAGTAAATAAAATTTATTATAAAAAATACAAAATTAAAAATAAAAATAATAAAATGTTAATAAAAATTAAAATAACTACAGTACATACTTTTATCCATGTAGTTGCATGACTACCTTCACAACAGCATCATTGTAAACACTGAAGAACATGAACACAATACATGCTCTTTCTCAATGCTTGCATGGTTAAATTTTATAATTCTGATCATGACATCATAAGCACTTGGAAAACTGTGAATTATGCCTTGTTTTTTATACATCTTAAATCTTTTAATATTAAGCACTAAAATGTTAAAATGTGCATCACACTTGCCTTCATGCATGATAATGTTATGTTATATATTTAAAATAAAAACAATAACCCCACTTTTTGTTTACGTTACATGAAGGCGCGCTAGCGGACCCCAGCAACAGGTGTGTACCAAGTATTCTTAACTTTATTAGGGTGTGTTTGACAGGTTGAGCATAATGAGTAAGGGTCAGAGTCTGAGCCAGGGACAGGTGCTCCGATTTTATTCTTTTTAAAATTCATTGACTTCATTTTTATAAATTTGCAAAGGAAATGTATGTAAGAAATTAATAATAGAAAAAATAGTTCTATCGATTGAGTGAAGTGAATTTCCGAAATTCTTTGGTTGCTGTAATCTGCACAATTACCATTTTCTTTAACCTAACACCTGATATTTATCCCATCAACACACTATAAAAACGTTATCAAATTTTTTCAACTACTCTTAAAAAATTCACATGATCTTTAAAATTCACCTAAGTGTTTATAAAAATATTGCAAGTGCATTCATTTACTGGACTATCAATTTGAGCTTACTTTAGGTAATGCTATACTACAGTTATATACGGTTATCAAAATATTGCCACGACAGTTAATGATACCTTCATTTAAGATGGGTTTGCATTAACACTGCAATTTTCTTTGAACCATAGATTTATAATATAATATACCATTATCACTGTTGCAACACTACATTTACACATTCCATTAAGGGCAAAGAGTAAAGTATACATCTCCAAAGTGAAAGTTATTTGAAAATAAACTGACATATGATTAGGCTACATATATAAAATCAGGAATCACATGACATGCAAGTGCTTACAAATAAAATATACCACAGCTGCCAAAGGAATACAAAAGCAATTTTCACTGATTATTTTTTAGGTGGCATGGCACAAACTTCCTCACATTCTAGATCAGTTACATTTGTGCCATCTTGTGCCCTGTCTACTTCCTGGGTTTGCTTGACTTCTTCCAGCCCTAGAGCCTGAAAATAAATAAAAGACAACTTCAGAGGTTGTACACTCCAGTACTTTCTATGAAAACAAGAAAGTGGCTTAAGAGGAAAATCTTCAGTACAGTACAGATGGTCAGCATGCTCGCCTTGCAAGAGAGCGGACCGGGTTCGATCCCCAGGCAAGGCAAAATTATGGGCAAGTTTCTTTATGCCGTTTGCCTCAGTCTACCCAGCAGTAATTGGGAACCTGGATGTTAATCGATTTGCAGATCGCATTCCGGGGTAATGGTTAGCCAGTGCAGTTGGCGAGTTGTCCAGTCTTCTCAGGGTGTGGTTGTTGTGTTGGCAACAGCTTCTCCACCTTAAACAAATTCACGCCTAGGTAGCCCTTGGGCCAGCCATCCTCGTTACATGAGGGGCATCCATTATTACAGTACATTCGTGATTTAATGGAATCCAATACAGTGGTCCCTCGGTTAACGAACACAATTCGTTCCAGAAGGTCGTTCGTTAACCGAAAATTTCGTTAACCGAATCCATTGTTTCAATGGGATATTGGGTAATAGGTTCCAGCTCACTGAAAAGTACACGCAGGCAGGCCTTCAGCGCCAACTGTCAAATCTTATCTCAAATAAATAAACAAACAAACGCCAGACATTCTGTCACCTCACCACCCGCCCCCTCTCCCCCCCTCTTCCCACCACCCTCGTGTTCAAGATAAAAGATTGGTGATTTCTTTGTTTATTTTATATAATATCTCAGACTAAGGTTACGATAATATAATTTGCATTGCTGAAATCCTTGCAAGATAGAGATTAATTTGAATATAAGCGTCATATATTTTGCTCAAGATATAAAAAATGTAGTACATTAGTGTACAATACTGTAGTACATTTTATAAAAAGTTTTTCAGCTGTATTTTTGGGTAGATTTACACAAATTTCTTCATTTATTTTCACCCATTTACATTCACACACCATACTAAAATAAACGTAAAATAAATTAGTGCAAAGCTGGACTGCACATGTACTAATTTGATTACGGTACTAAAATTGTTATGTCTAGTGCAAATTACAACACAAGAACATAAGAACATAAGAATGGAGAAACTGCAGCGGGCCTATTGGCCCATACTGGGCAGTTCCGTTTACACCCAACCCCTATTGCTCATATGAGCATCCAACCTATGTTTGAAGCAATTCAGCGAATTCGAGTTAATGATGATATTTGGTAGCTTGTTCCATTCATCAACTACTCTGTTTCCAAACCAGTGTTTACCTATTTCACGCCTAAATCTAAATTTGTCTAATTTAAAACCATTGTTACGAGTTCGCTTCTGGTTGGATAATTTGAGTACCTTTGTAATGTCCCCTTTGTTTAGCCCTGTCTTCCACTTATACACCTCTATCAGGTCGCCCCTCGCTCTACGTCTCTCGAGGGAGTGCAAATTAAGATGCTTTAACCTGTCTCTGTATTCAAGGTTCCTAATGCCCGGGATTAGTCTTGTCATTCTCCTCTGAATTCTTTCCAATGATTCTATATCCATTCTGTAATACGGTGACCAGAACTGAACTGCGTAATCCAGGTGTGGTCTCACAAGAGCAAGATACAGTTTTAGGATGACCTCGCTAGTCTTGTAACTAACACTCCTTTGTATGAACCCAAGTACTTTATTAGCCTTGTTACGAGCAAAAACACATTGTTTACTTGGCTTAAGGTTCCTACTTATCATTACTCCTAAATCTCTCTCGCAGTCGGATTTCTCTATGGCATCGTTGTTCATCTGGTATCTGGTTTCCCTGTTTACATCTCCTATACTGAGTACTTTACATTTGTCGACGTTGAATTTCATCTGCCATTTTTCAGACCATTGGAAAAATTTGTTTAGATCTTCCTGTAGTTTTGCCGAGTCCTCGTCAGATTTGATAACACGTCCTATTTTAGTGTCATCAGCAAATTTACTTATGTTGCTGTCTATGCCGATATCTATGTCGTTTATGTATATAATAAACAATAATGGTCCAAGTACTGAGCCTTGGGGAACTCCACTTGTGACGTTGCTCCAATGGGACTTAGTGCCGTTAATGCTCACTTGCTGTTTCCTGTCCTGTAACCACGCCCTAATCCATTTAAGGATGTCACCTTTGATGCCATGAGTTTCTACCTTTCTAATTAGTCTTTCGTGGGGGACTCTGTCGAAGGCTTTGCTAAAATCGAGATATACCACATCATAATTGTGCCCCTCGTCCACCGATTCGAAAACTGATGAAAAGAATGTTAATAGATTAGTTAGCAAGAACGCCCGCTTGTGAAGCCATGCTGGGAATCATTGATCAATCTGTGCTTCTCCAGGTGATTTCGAATAGAGTTTGAAATGATTGCTTCCAGTAATTTGCCTACTATTGATGTTAGACTGATTGGGCGGTAGTTAGAGGATAGTGATCTATCCCCCTTCTTGAAAATCGGTATTACATTCGCTATCCTCCAGGATTCTGGTACTACACCTGTTTTTAAGGACATGTTAAACAACTTTGCTAAGGGCATACTAAGCTCTTCCTTACATTCCTTTAATACTCTGGCAAATATCTCATCGGGACCAGGTGACTTATTAGGCTTTAGTTTGTCTATTTGCTTACTAACATCGTTACTAGTCACTACTATCTCACTTAATTTGTTTTCTTCACTATCTCTGAATAGAGTCGGTGCCTCGGGTATCATGTTTAAATTTTCGGTGGTGAAAACTGTTGAAAAATATTTATTTAAATTATTGCTCATTTCTCCGTCGTTATCAGTGAGCTCGCCGGAGTCTGACCGTATTGGTCCAATCTTTTCTCGTGTTTTAGTTTGATACATTTGGTAGAATCCTTTGGGGTTTGTCTTCGCCTCCCTTGCTACCCTTACCTCATTATTCCTCTTTGCTTTCCTTATCTCGGTTTTAACCCTACTCGCCAATACCCTATAATAGTCCCGGTGGTGAATTTCGCCACGATTTATCCTTCTACCTATAGCCTTCTTTTGGCCAATGATGTTCTTTAAATAATTATTTATCCATTTAGGGTCATTGTTGTCTGATCTGAATTTTTTGTATGGTATGTTCTGCCTTTGTGCATTAAGTAACTCACTATTTAAATTGTCGTGGAACTCGGCAATCTCAGATCTCGTTATCAGGTCCGTGTCATCTGTCAGGTTCACGCCAAGCGCGACACCCCCTCTCTCAGCTGCCTCTTTAAACTGTCAAAGTTTGCCCTTCTGAAATCTGGTACTTTAGTGGAATTTTCCTTACGTCTGCCCTGAAAATCTAACTGGAATCGAATTTCTTTGTGATCGCTGTTTGCAAGTTCGTTCCCTACCTCGACATTGCTAATGAGGTTTTCTCTGTTCGACAGAACTAAATCCAGTATATTATTACCCCGTGTGGGTTCGGTTATATGTTGACTTAGGAAACAGTCCTGGATCGTCTCGAGAAAATCCTCTGATTCTGAGTTACCCGTAAGGACAGTCCAATCTATTTGGCCAAGGTTAAAGTCGCCTACTATACAGACTTTGTTGTGTATGGAAGCCCTGCGCATTTCATCCCAGATAAGTCGCTCATTGACGCTATCGAGATTGGGGGGTCTATATATTACCCCTGTGATTAATTTTTCCCGACCGTCGCTTAATTCTATCCAAATTGTTTCTGTATTCCTCTCAATTTTTATTTCCTTATTTATTTCACACTTCAGATTATCCCTAACATAGATTGCTACTCCGCCTCCTTTCCTGGTCTGCCTATCGGTATGGAACAGTTTGTAACCCGCAATTTGGTATTCGACTGGTAATTCACGTGTGTCTAGGTTGATCCATGTTTCAGTGAATGCAATTATATCGATTTCTTCGGTACATACCAAGGCCTTAATATCATCCATTTTGTTTCTCATACTTCTACTGTTCGCGTAGTATACATTTAAGTTAGTGGTGTTCTGAGTCCTTCCCTTACCGCGTTTAGTTTTAAACTCCCTGTCTAATTTAGTTTTGTCATCATTCCTAACACTATTTCCCTGTAATCTTTCGCCTTGTTTACCCGCTCCCACTGCAGTCTCCTCCACCCCCGTGCCCCTATGTTCTCTTAGCAGTTTAAAGACTTCGATATCTTTTGAACTGCCCCCTCTAGAGCCCCAGCCAGGGTTGCTACTCCATCCCTAGACAGGTGCACCCCATCCCTAGCATAAAGGTCCCTTCTGCCATAGAAGTTGTCCCAGTTGTCAATGAATGGGACTGATATTGACTTGCAATATCTGTCAAGACGGTCGTTAACACCAACTGCCCTTGACAACCATTCACTGCCAACTCTCCTTCTAGGCAGGACACCGCATATGATAGGGATCCCTCCCTTTGTCCTAATACGATCTATGGCTGCCTTGAACTTATCAAGAAGTTCCTCGCTCCTACACCGGCCAATATCATTGCCTCCTGCACTGAGGCAGATAATGGGTTTGTTCCCATTGCCAGACAAGATATTGTCCATCCTGTCAACTATATCCCCCACCCCAGCTCCTGGCAAACACACCCTCATCCTATTTTTGTTTTTACCACAAAAAGCCCTGTCCATGTACCTTACCTGTGAGTCACCAACAATTAAAGTTTTTATACCTTCCTTGTCATCCCTGCCCCTGACTGTACTAACGTCCAATTCGTCTATCAAGGGACTGAACGGGTTGGTACACTTAGCTGTTGTTGTCGTTGTTGTCGTATCCTTCGAGTGCTTCTTTACCACCAGCTTGGTCCTGCCACTACTCACGACTTTCCACTCGTTTGATTTTTCGTCAGACACTGGCTTTATATTCAAATTAATCAGTATGTTACAAGAATCCCAGCTATGTTAATTATATTCACCCAGGTCATTTCAATAAACCGTTAATTATTATTATTATTATTAAATGGCTAGTAAGCTGATAAGTGGCGAATAAGATAAAAAAAAGGAAAAAAAATGCATTTACAGACTCCGGGAGTTTAGACTCAAGGAAAACATCCCCAGCACCCAGAAATATTCTGGGGAAGTGGGCTAGTGTCTGTGTGTGCAAGATGTCTAGTTTAGACACTCAAAAACTTTTCCCAGAAACAGGAAAAGATTCCGGGGATATGGAATTTTTCCGGGTTTGAGAAAGTCATCTGGTTAGCCGGAAATCTCTCATCCCCGGAAGTGCTTTGCGCCAATTGTTCCGGCTAACCCTCAGCTGCCACGAAGAATTGTTTAATTGGAAGATCAATAACGGAAAAAAAAAATTCCTTTAAATCACGATTCCTTTAAATCAGAATCCGTTATATCGAGAAAATACTGTACAAAACGGAAAAAAAAAAGATAAAAATTATCATAAGCTCAAGACCTAAAGTAATGCATCCCAACTGTTAAACGAAGGCTACATGTACTGAGGTGTATTGCATAAACAGAGATTAATTACTGTACTATACAGGTATTCAAGGATTCAAAGCCATTTCTAGAACATATCCCTGCAAATATTTTGGGAAGTAGTGCACCTTAATGCAAATAGTAACCTCCTTACCTTCACAATAGCAGAATTTTCAGCATGATCAGCAGGGTTTTCCTGCTTAAATTCATAGAGGACTTTTTCTCCTTTAAGAGCAACAACAAGCAGGCCCCCATTCTGGAATCCATCTCCTTTCATGTCTCCTCCTACTGCCCATTCTTTACCCTGTAAGTGAAAGTATTTGAAGTTGTGGTATTCAGAGGCAAGCCTACCTAACAAACACATCATTTTAATAAATCTTGGATAATTTATACATGCGTTAAACTACAGAAAACAGACTTAGTTGGACAGATTGATAACAGGGTACATTACATCATTGTTGTTTATCATATAATAATCATGTTGCAGCCAAGTTTGCATTCAAAGTTACAAGATTTGGTTACATATTGCTTTGCAGTATATTCTGGTTTTTCAGTTCAAATCCAGTAGAGATTTGACAACAACTGAAGAAATTATGTAATACCACAGAATTCATCAGTGGCAGATCCACGGGGGCTTGGGTGGTTCGGTGGAAACCCCCTTTTCTCCCAAGACTCACCTGTCGTGGAGCCACGTTAGATTAAATCACATCAGGTTAAGTGTCAACTCCTACCAAGAAGAATTTGCCCCCTACCTAATAATACACATTCCTTGCTAGTGGTATAACACAAATGGGCCATTTTTCATCAGTATAACAGGATTAGTGACCTATGCCAGATTCTCAAAATTTCTAAGGAACCACTAAACTGACAGCCAGATTATGGAGGGGGGGGTGGGGGTGGAAGTAAGGGTAGGTGATCACAGGGGCTGGCTCTGATGCAGATTCACCTCACAAAGGAATAAGCCATCAACAAAATCATGGACAAGTTTGCCATCAAGTAACCCAGATGGATGCTGATATATATAAAAACTCATTTATTTAAGAGCTATTGTGCAAGAATTATATTTTGCCTATTTATCTGACCCATCTGCTTTCTTCTTCGAAATCAAGATAGTCTTCCTTTCACAGGAAGGTAAAAGGTTAAACCCTCTTTTCTAGTTAATATTTAAATCAATCTTAGTGAAAGAATGCACAGTATTTAAAAACCATATCTTTAAAACAAACAAGCTTAATGGACTGAGATATGTCAGGTGAGGCCAATGGGATGAAAGGTTGTCTAATCTGATAAATTTCTTTGACAAAGATTACGGTTACATTGTATTTTGTTACCTCTTGAAGTTAACTGTACAGTATTATAATAATAATAGCTTCTTTTTTTTTATCAAAAGTGCCAGTTCTTCTAAAGAATTCACTAGCGTTCAAAACGCTACAAAGTCAAGGACCTGAAAATAAAAAATAAAAAATACTTAAAAAAAGATCACAGAAAGTGACAGTTCATATAACCTTAAGTTGCAACACTTCTTCAACCCTGTAACTCCATCATTGTACCCTCTTTAGGATGATGAGCTTTCAAAAAATGAAAGGTCTTAAGTTGTTTCTTAAAGGCCTCCACAGAAGTCAGCTGCTTCTTGGATGCAGGCAACCACTTGTACAATCTGGGTGCTGTACAGGAAAAGGATTGGGCAACAAAAGAACATTCCTATACAGCTCTAGGTTCTGTAAGGCTTCTTCAGCTGTTAAGAATAATTCTAAGACCACATACACTCTCACTTCATATGTGGCCCTTGACTTGTGCCCTCCTACCTTACCTGGGTCTATCACCCCTAGCTCTCCCCCACCCTCTTGTGTTCTGTCATGTAAAAAGGCCTTGAACTTGCAGGTATGGCAGTAGGAGGGGTGAATGATTACTTCTGAGCACAACTGTATATGCTCTCATTCATAAGAATTAGTTCTGTTTCCTTTTCCCTCGTCTTTTCTACACTGATGATGCACAAAAAGGATTAGACAATACTGTATAAAAGAATAAATAATGGATAACACAGATGTAAGATTTACATTTACTGTATTCAAATTAGTGTGATTTTAGTGGGTGAACATGCAGAAGTATCAACATGGTGTATGAGGGAAGCCAATAACCAACCCATCTAATATAAACTCTTACAAAATAAAAGGAACAAATGGTAAAAATAAGATGAAATTTCCTAGTACAGTACATTACCTTTCGTACTGCTTCACGTGCCACCCTGGAGAGCAGGGCCGGGACCATGTTAAGAAACCCAAGCTTCTTATAGTTGAGAGCTTTAAAACTCTTCTTGTCTGAATCAATGTATAATTCTGAAAAAAATTAATAAAAAAAAAAATAATAATAATAATAATAAGAATAATAATAATTATACTGTATTTTATATATACAGAACATAGTCTTGATTTACGCGGTCAATTGAACCCGAGGAGGTCCGCATAAGCCGAGAAACGCGAAAACGAAATAACAGAACATATGGGATTAATTGAAATAGAGACTGAGCCGACCCCCAAACTACACTTTTTCCGACACAATACGTACGTTGTAGTAAAAATAACATCTTAATTTTATGATGGTATGCACACACAATTAATATTTAAGAGAAATACAGTCGCCGGTTAATGACCATTCAAATAATGGACTCAACTCCCCCCCCTCTTCCCACGCTCGCTGGCTCCCTCCCTCTCTGAGAAATGGTTGGGGGAAAAGACTAGGTTATTTAGGTTTAGTAAGAAATAATATCTCAAACTATAGTTAGGATAATATAATTTACATTGCTGGATTCCTTGCAAGACAACGAATAATTTTAATATAAACGTCGTATATTTTGCACAAAACATACAATTTTTGCTCTCTCTAATAAAATTCTTAAATTAGATCTAAAATTTGTATGTCTAATGCAAATTTTAGCTTGTTTATATTCAAATTAATCACTAACTTATAAGAATTCCAGCTATGTAAATTATATTCAGGCCGGGTAATTTCTATGAATTTTATGAGCTAAAAACAAATATCTTCAGTAAATAAACAAATTATACTTCACCAGACACAATACGTTACGTACGTTGTAGTAAAAATAACATCTTAATTTTATGATGGTATGCACACACAATTAATATTTAAGAGAAATATCAATAATATTAGGTTTTTCAACACTTACGTTAGTAGAAGAGATGGCTGGGTACACGGGGATTGGAGTTGGTTCTGAGGCAGAGGGCAGATTATTGGCCCTCACCTGTGTCACTTGTATTACTATCCACCACAGAGGCTTGCAGGGCCTCTTTGTCAAACCCCAAGTCCATATCCTCACTATCACTGACTTGGGCTGGCTGTGGTGGGTGAAGAACTCGGTAATGTTTTGTTGACCGGGCGACCTGGTGAGCACCCTGCACGCACTGCTTCCCGCGTAAATAAAAATTGTCGTCTGGCAAGGTGCTGCGTAAATGACCAAACGCCAAACCAAATCGACTATACTTGTGTGTGTATATATATATATATATATATATATATATATATATATATATATATATATATATATATATATATATATATATATATATATATATATATATATATATATATATATATATATATATATATATATACATACATATATATATATGCAAGTAAATCACTGTAGTTGCGCGTGATCCAGGTATATGTTCAACTGTAGTATAATTTGGGGGCTTGAGCAAAATGTAGGGCCATTTTGACATTCCAGATGACTCACATTGCTTAAAGACTCCCTGTGTTCCTTGGGACCCTTTAATGTCTTGGGGTCACTTTGTTTAGGGGCCACCTTGACTGCCAGCTAATTCAAAACATACATGAGAGTCCATAGAAAGTTGAGAGTAAAATGCTGCCTATACCAAACATACTAACAAGAAGTAGTTTTGAATGAAGTACAGTACACGTGATTCTCTGCCAACAAGGTTGGGCTATCATAAACAATGGACCATGGTGTGTTTGTCTTGTAACATGCAAGTTTTATTTCAACTATCACAGTTACCACATAACACAACTTAGGCTATTCAGTCACAAGTTCCTCTGATTTAGACTGATGATTGAAGCAAGTTATATTAATTTTATGGTTCAATTTGAGGGGAATGCTGTACATACAGTGAGTTCTGCTATAACGCGTGTTTTGATAACGCGAATTTGCTCTAACGCGATTTATGAATTAGGAACGATATTTGTATAACGCGAACGCTTGTTTGCTATAACGCGATTTTTGCTTACTATTTCTCCAATTTTGTGGTATTAATTGTGAATATGGTAAAGAAGAATATCTCCAAGAAGCGTTCTGGTGATAGAATTCCCGGTGATGATCGTAAAAGAAAGGATATAACACTTGAAGAGAAGCTCGATGTTATCAACCTCAAAATCACCCTTCTCCCCCATCAAGTTACATTCATATTTTTTCAAGGTAGTGTTACATTTACTGTATGATTTCATTATTAGATATGAATGTAACATTTATTTAGACTGTGGTATCCTTTGTGTTAGGCTAACTACTAAATTTTGTCGATTTCGAGTAATCTGCACCTAACCCTATTTTCTCCATTAGCCCTGTTATTTCTATTACGCGATTTTCTATAACACGATATTTTACAAGAACACAATTATCGCGTTATAGCAGAACTACCTGTACATGAACAAAAACATCATTACTCACCCCCATCAAAGAATTTACCAGCTATAAATTCTTCTACACCAATTTCCTCCAAGCCAATGCCTATAAGTCGGACACCAGCCTGGGCCAGCTGTGGCGTTAAGAGACTTAACTCTTTAGCCGCCACCCTGCAGAACATTCATCCAAACCGTCGCATGAAGAAGAGAACACATCCTCCTTCTGACCAGAAATTGCTTATCTGCACTTCCTGAAAACATTGAGGAAAATAAACATGAATGCTAAAAAAAAAAAAAAAATACATTACTGTAACTACTGTAATTATTTCACTGACACTGTACTGTACAAACTTTTTTAAGTGATAATGAGGAACCTCCAAGTTTGTCCTATCTACAGTACATAGTATGCTTTCTTAGTCTGATCCAATCTCAGTTCCTTCACATATGCTTTTCCATTTGGGCCATTTTTACCTTATTACTCAACACACTACTATTCTAACATCTATCAACCTCTTTACAGGTCCAAACCCCCCCAATATATTTCTCCTTACTCACTGTAACACTTCTTTCTTTACCATCTACTAATTTCACGTCATCATCATGTAATTAAGGCAACAACCCAAGAATACACCTTCAACCAATTCTGTTTACATACAATACTATGAAAGAGAAGCGTTTAAGTATGCAGTATCTACAATACGTAATTATATTTTGGAAAATATTATTTTTTGCCCCAACACCAATGCTAAAATGTTTTTTTTTATTTTTTAGCAGTCACTTGCCAAAGGCACATACAGTCACAGTCAAAAGTAATCATCCACTCCACCACCAACCCCTGCGCCTAGATGAATCCTTTCTACGTGATAAGTAACGTGGGGTGGAGAGAGGAAATAGTCAACTTGGAGGAGGACCAATTGCTGGAGGGGAGGGAGGAGGGGTGTGGGAGGGTGGTATGTGATGCAAATTGCTCATCAGAGAGGAAGGGGATTTAAGAAAGCAGGGAAATTCATGAATGAAGGAAGGGAAGAATGGATGTAGTTTTTTCTTCACTATATTAAGAATAATAGTAATTGAGGACCCTTATTTTATGATTATTATAATGTGACATCCATTTCCTTATTTATAATTATTTCAAGTTGTGGTTCATGTTTAACAATGGTAATTAGATATTTACAATAACGTTGATATGAGGAGAAATATTGAATATGAGGGTGTAAACCACATTTATTTTTAATATTTACCAGCACAGGTGTTGAAGTTCACCCAACCCCACACATTTACTGTTTTTCTTCAACTCCCCACCTCTATGAAAATATTCTGACGCTCGTAGCGACAGTTATTGGTGCGCCAGCAGTGAAGGGCTCCCGTGACTTGTTGATGAAAAGGTTTTAGGGTCCGAAAAAATAACGCTGAGCAAAATCTTTATTATTACAGTGGTCCCTCGATTAGCAAGCACAATTTGTTCCACAGAGTCAGTTGTTAACTGAAAATATCGTTAACTGAATCTATTATTTCAATGGGATATTGGGTACAGTAATTAGTTCCAACTCGCAGAAAAAGTATACATACAAAGTACTGTATACCGGTAATAGAATTAACAAAACATTGTATATAAACTAAATACAGTACAGGTAGTCCTCGACTTACGACCATCTTGACATACGACCGCCTCAGTCGTACCAAAAATTTTTCAAACTTTGTACGTATTTTCTAGGAGCGAAACGTTTCGGTCCCGTATGAGAGCGTCGCGTGGGCTGGGTCGCCTTGTGGTGTACAGCGTCCATGCCGTAACGCTCTCAGTTGGTGCTTGGCTGACGTTGTTGTCGGTAGTGATCGCGCTGTGTACTGTACTGACAATATTTTCGTTTCTAATTCCCATTAGAATGACATTTCCCTCCTAACTGGAGGGCTCTCCCCACCACCCCTTGGCACATATAAGTGAGGGAAATGTCATAAAAGTAGAGTATCTTAGAATTGTCTAAACTAATGATTCCAATAATTAAATTCCCAAGATTTCCCCGGCGTGACCAAAACTAAAATAATTCCAAAATTTTAATTTTTTGTGGATGTAAGAGTATGCTCGGACCAAGAGGGTCGGTTGTAAACAGATGACACATGGTGATTCAGCAGATTTTTGAGGAGGAGTATTTATGGTAAATAATTAATTTCTTCATCATACAAAGCATGTAGAAACATCATTTTAGTGTCATATGATCACTTTTTCACTATGTTTTACCCTGCAATTTCCCATCACAGATTATTCATAGAAAATTAATTTAGAAATGCCGCAATTTCACCGTGTTTTGCAGTGGACACTTGTTGTTTAGACGAATGTGTTAAAAAGTGGTTACTTCTAAATTAAACCTAACCTAACCTTAGTTGATAAGAAAATCAAGCGGTAGAAACCTCACCAACTTAACCAAAGAAACCTACTTAACCGGCATATTAAACAGAAAAATTATTGTGGTATCCTGTAATTTTACGTTTTCTTGTAGACGTGAGAGAGGCCACTCTGACCGAGCTATTAGCAAACATACATTAGGTGGAGGACAAAATCGGGTATTATTTCAGTTTCAGACTATCAATCATCCGGGGAATCTTCTTAGGGTTAGATATAGTTCCTGGGTTCTGTGGCTAGGTTAGGTTAGGTTAAGTTAGGTTAGGATATTTAAATACCGTACAAGAATGACAAACTAAATTTTACTCAAAATCGAGTGTCAATTGGGCCACATTACTGATTTATCGCCGCGCAAGAAGTGGTGCCACTAGTGCGAGCCTAGGGCCTAATTATGTACGAAATGAAGCATTTGCCCAAGAAAGTGATTCCATCATATGGCGAGTCGGTTAGGTTAGGTTTATGTTTTTCTAGTGTTTTTTTGTGTATTTTGTATTCACTTAGCCATTATTTTTTCTCGGAAAACGCCCCACGAAAAATAACGAGAAAAAAAAGCGGCCAATTTCCGACGAAAATGAAGGTCATAATCGGTCTATACACACATAAATACACAAGAAAAATTCATTTTTTTACTTTCTAACAGAGTTGGGTGTGCGTATGCAAATTTACCCAAATTAGGTTGTAATGGGTATTCCCTCAGTATTAACCAAATTACCAAAAAATAAAAAATTTAAAATTATAATTAAAAAAAAGTTGCCTCTTAAAATATCAACTATAACAATAAGAACATCTGAGTTAACAATAATTGAATCAAACAAATCCATTTATTATTTAAGACTTCACAGCTGCTGATTTTTCCTAGAAAATGAATTTGAAAACACCGCAATTTCACTGTTTGTCGTGGACACTCATAGTTACGGAATATATGTTAAAAAGTGGTTAATTCTAAATTAAAGCTAACCTAACCAAAGTTAATAAGAAAAACAAATGGCAAAAGCATTGTTAGAAGACCTCACCAACCTAACCAAAGAAACCTACTGCAATAATACCAATAACTAGCTGACCCAAGCAATACTACCTTACGTCTCGTGGACATGAGAGCGGCCACCCAATCCATGGGGCTATGGCTCATAAACATACACTGGCTGGTGACTGGCATTGGTCGGAATTGGAGAGGCTGCTAGTTACCTAATTATCAACCAAATGAAGCAATTTCCATAAAAAAAAATTATGGTAAAGGTGTAGATAACGGCTACCACCAGACTATATCAGAACTCACAGGATAAAAATAGTAAGAATATAAAGATCAAAACAAGTAACGTGTCAGTTATGAAGTCCCAAAGTTTAGCCACAACTCCTTCTAGTGGTCCCAGTTTGCTCATAAATTACACCAAAATTTCCTCAAAGTTTTATCAAATTATAGCTACTTCTCCAATAAGAAAAAAGTAATAAACAATTGTAGGAAACCTATCACAATGAAGCTGCAAGCCTATACAGTACCCGGCACAGTATAAACCTCAGATTATCAGAGAATATTTTATCAGACCTGCCCTAATTTGTTGTCTCATTAACAAACATTACCCATACAGTACTAACACTGAGAACACTTACCTCTTTTGTGTCGGCCTTTTTGACTATATTGTCTGCTATTTTCTCAAGTGCAGTCATCTCTGGTAAGTTTTGTCTACTTGATCAGTCACCACTCACTAGGGTCAGCACCTCCCACGGTACCTGGAGCAGTGTTACTATGGCGCCCCGTACATCACCCCATCAGTCATTATCTTATACTTAAGACAAAATCTAAACATGAACTAGCCCAAACTAGTAGTAAAATGATACTTTGGGGGGAAGGGCAATTTAATAGTTATGGTTGATTCGTTTCTACTATAAAATAAGTTTCTTAGTGATTCTATTCCAGACATATCCTTTTAACATTGGTTATTTACCTTATAGTGACCCTCAGCCTGCCCTCTGTGAGTCAGTCTCCGCTTTACTTTCATAGAAAACGTAAGAAAAATTTATATGATCTTTTGATCAGTACACCTGCATAATCTACAATTATATCTTTTACTTTTATCCTCTTCACCACTGATCGGCTCGTTAGCCGCTTGGGTGATCGGTCACGTCTCTGTCACACACTGTTGGCAGTACTGGACATGACCCGGCTCCTGAGTGTACCTGAACCTGCTCCAGTGTTGGTCAAGTCTGGTCTTGAAAGAGCTTGTGGGGTGCGAGTTGTTGGTTCACTCGGGATGGGATGGAGAAAGGAAACTCACACTGTATACATGTGCTCTGCTGTATACATGTTGTACTGGGTGTACAGTACAGTGCAGCTTGGTGCTGTATACATGTTGTACTGGGTGTACAGTACAGTGCAGCTTGGTGCTGTATACATGTTGTACTGGGTGTACAGTACAGTGCAGCTTGGTGCTGTATACATGTTGTACTGGGTGTACAGTACAGTGCAGCTTGGTGCTGTATACATGTTGTACTGGGTGTACAGTACAGTGCAGCTTGGTGCTGGGAAGGAGCAGTGTGGTGTAGGGCTGCAGTCCCCCCCACACACTCACTGCCAGGCGTATGATTCCTTTAGAGAGACAGCTCAATAATACACTACCAACAAATATATCATTTTATATGTTATTTAATTATTTTCAATACGTTGCTAAGTGAATTTTCATTAAAATCAGACCAAAATTTAAGTTACTTTCATAGTTGCTGTCAATGCTGTACGATTCATGTCTGTTATTAATTGGCGCCGCACTTGAAGCAGCTCAGTCTGGTGTTTACATTGAGTGTGGACGGTGTGGTTAACTCGTGCTTTCTTTAATTACCCTTTGACCATGGAAAATCGAGTGAAGTATTTGCAAAACATCAACTTTTCCCAGCTGACATTAAATGAAAAGACTGAAATCAAAGCAAGAGGAAGACCTACACTACTACCATGCCCTGGGAATTAGTGGACATCAACTACAACTCATACCTGAGGTAGGTCACCTACTGTTGTGTGAGGCTTGCAGTCCCTCCAGTATATTTTTCACGAGCCGCCGCTGATAGTTAGAATCTTAAGGTTCCCAGATGACCTAAACCAAAATAATACCAATAATGTTTGGAATGTTTATACTATGAAATTTGTTGTATGGGCAGCTAATATCATCCATTGAATTAGTTTACCGGTATGTGCCTAGTAATATTTATATATTCAAAATAGTATTACTGTGTTGCATAATAAAGTACAATTAATTATCTAATATTTATTTACAAGAACAAATCAGCCGAGAAGGTTGGACAACTACAGCTGCCTCCCACGTGAGTTTTTAGCGACTTTAACCCTTATTTTTGACACTTTTGGGCCCAATTTATTTTAAAAGTATCATTACCATAGTGAATTTAAGTGTTTTCTTTCCCCATTGACCTGCCATTTTACGAAAAAATTCGGACCATCAACTCGTCCATTATGAGGTAAGATCCCCAGTAAGTACATTATTCTTATTGTTGTACTTAGTATGCAATTGAATTATTACCAACATGTGTAATGTTGAGGAAATAAATTACAGGGTATCTCTGTTTGTGAATTTTTAACCCGTGTATTTTTTTCTATTGTACAGTACCTTGATTACTGTAATAATTCTGGCATGACTGTTTATCAGACCACAGCTTTCAGCCCAGAGAAGTACAACACATATAATAAGAAGTAGATGCCCACATGGTCACCCACATAGATTGACACACTCTATAGTGACAGTAAGACCTGACCCAGGAGGTCATGGACAAGGTACCTGAGTTAAAGAAACTACACCTGCAAGAAACACACCTGGGCAAACACAGCTGTCTAGACCTGACCCAAGAGAGGTCACGGTCACATTGACCCAGAGTTTTCACCGCCGCATCATTAGCTAACCCGGCGACATGAGCGTGTTACTCGAGCTACCCTCCTGCCAGTACACCTGTCACCTGGCCAGACACACCTAGATTAGCGACATCTTCCGGCAGGAAATCTCCAATATAAGGGCCCTGCAGCTCCTTCCATGAGGCATTTGGATTACTATTATAACAGGGAAGGAGCCAACAGCTCCTTCCCAGAGGGAGACTTCCTTCCCCAGCACCGAGTCTCCCACAGGAAACATAGTTCAGCAGCACCTACAGCTTCCCCAGCCGCTGGGCCTCCCTCAGGTCACACGTGAGTCATTCATTAGGGAGAGTTACTTACGGTGAAAAGTGTGTCCATTTCATGTTTGTTGTCCGAGTCATTGTATAGTAACGTATACTGTATAATGATCTATTAATGTGTCCATGCCATTGAGTTGAATAATAAATAGCTGTACTTAGAATTGGTGTTTTAGAAGGTATTCCCCTAAGAATATTATACTAAGTTTAAATAACTAATCAGCCACACTACCAAACTTCCTCACTTTACAATCCTACAACTAAATATTCTTCCTATCTCTTCTATGCAAGTTTACACTCATTATAACCCAACCCATCAAGGTCAGAAAAAATTATTTGTTCATTGCACAGCAAGGATCAAGCCCTGGATGCAATTGAAGAAAATTAGTGACTACACTATTATCGTGTTAAATAAATCATCTACATGTAAATTACCCCTTAACCATGACAACTAAATTGAAACAGCACTCACACTCTTTAGGCAAGGGTGCAAGCAGCAATTAAGTCAGAATACTAATGATCAGACTGTTACTTTAACAAGTCAGGAGGTTGCTTAAAATTTCAAACTGTTAGAAGTGTTCAAAATTTGGATAATAGACGAGTTGACGGTCAGAATTTTTTCGAAAGACGGCAGGTCAAAGGGTAAAGAAAATGCTGAAATTCACTATGGTAATTTTTACAAATAAATTGGGCTAAAAAGTGTCAAAAATAAAGGTTAAAGTTGCTAAAAAGCTCTGTGATTGGTTGACATCACTGGTTGGGGCAAGCTTCCCAGTGGGAGGCAGCCAGCTATAGTTGTCCAACCTTCTCGGCTCTGTAAATAAATATTATTAGATAATTAATTGTGCTTTACTGTGCAACACAGTAACAGATTTTGAATACAGTATATAAATATTACTAGGCACATAAACTAATTCAGTGGATGATATTAGCTGCCCATACAACAAATTTCATAGTATAAACATTCCAAAAATTATGGCATTATTTTGGTTTAGGTCATCTGGGAACCTTAAGATTCTAACTATGGAATTAAGTATTTTAAACAATAAGACACATTATCTCTATGGGGGGGGGGGTAGTTAGTCAAAACTAGTGATTTCCAACAGAAATGAAGGTTTAAATCATTCATAATACATCGCAAATCATCAGAAAAGAAACATAAGTCTGCATGTGTAAGTACAGGAATGACAAAAACTTAAAATTTACCCAATACTGTACAGTTTTACCCCGCTTAACGCGCTTTCACTTAACGCGTTTTCGCATATACGCGGTGCCTTGCCAAAGCTGAACTTTCACTTAACGCGGGTTTTTTCCACATATACACGGTGAGTGTCCGGCTCGGATGCTATTTTTAGATTTTGACCACGCGCCACCCACCCACCCGCCCGCCTGCCTGCCTGCCTCTCCCTCCTCCTCCCTCCGCTTGGGTAAGCGGCGCGGTAAGGTTGCGCAGTGTGTGTCTTTGTTGCGTTATCACTGACGTCATATGACGTCTCGGACTGTGATTGGCCATGCAGCCCTACCCCCCTCTGCTGCTAGCTGTAATTGGCTTAAAGTATTATGACGTGACTACCCCGGGGAGGGAGGGAGGGAGGAGAGACGACGCTTGACCTAGCCGCGGCAGTTTCATCCCTCAAGGCCACGCCGGGTTAACGCGCATCCATTGTTCCGTAAAATGGCTTCCGCCGGACCACCACCCCCAGAGAGAAACCTTTCCTTACCTGGACCCAGCGGCACTAAACCAAAGAAGACACGACGTTCATTAAGCTACGAGCTGAAGTACCAAATTGTTCAAGATTTGGAGAAAGGAAGACGCCAAGTTGATCTCGCGCGCCAGCATGGCGTCAACGAATCTACGATTCGTACAATAAAGAAGGATGCAGCCAAGATAAAGGAGCACATGAAGATCACAAAGTCTGCAGGTGCTTCATCTATCAGGTATTGCCAGAACAGGGTGCTGGCAAAAGTGGAAACTTTGCTGGTGAGTTATTTGGTGCGTCAGGCGCGACGCAACATGGCGGTGGACACGCGCTCAGTGCAGGAGTACGCACGTGAGCTATACGCAGCAGTGACACGTAAACTGGGAATTGCAGAGCCCAAACGCTTCAATGCTTCCCATGGTTGGCTGCATAGGTTTAAGAGGAGGAACAAGGTCACCAACGTCAGCATTGTTGGTGAGGAAGCGAGTGCTGACCGTGCGGCGGCTAGAGATTTTCCTCCGTTTTTACGTGAGATTATGGAGGAAGGACAGTACACTGACGACCAGGTGTTTAACATGGACGAATCTGGTCTTTTCTGGAAAAAGTTACCTTCCAAGACCTTCGTTGTCCAGTCTGCGAGCAAGGTAAGGGGCCGGAAGATGCAGAAGGAACGCATCACCGTCCTGTTTACCACCAATGCCTCCGGTACCTGTAAACCAAAGTTATCGGTGATTCACAAAGCCCGCAAGCCGCACGCCTACAAGAATATGGACATTAACAAGCTTAATGTCCACTGGCTAACCGCACGTAAGGCGTGGATGTCCTCTTCTCTGTCCCTCTTCTGGTTTGACAACTGTTTTGTTCCTGACGTGCAGAAATTCTGCGAGCAACAGAATGTTCCTTTCAATATTTTGTTGCTCCTTGACAACGCACCTGGACACTCGCCCCTACTTATGGATCGTCACCCCAACGTAAAAGTGGTCTTCCTTCCTCCCAACACTACGTCATTAATCCAGCCCATGAACCAGGAGTTAATCTGCAATGTTAAAGCTGCATACTCGGCAAAGAAATTCAAGCTCCTGAACGACTCTACCAACACCAAGGATGAGTTGCGTAAGCTGGGTGACACCGACAGCGAGAGTAAAAGCGACGAGGACAAGGAACAAGAGGCGGCGACTCAAGAACTTCTCGTCAAACAATTTTGGAAGAAGTTTAACGTCAAACAAGCTGTAGACTTCTTGGTGGAGGCATGGGATCTGCTGACTATTGCTACGATTCGTCACGCATGGAGACATGTGTTGCATGGCATACCAGGTGAGAGGAGTGAACCTGTGACTGGTCAGGTTCAGACTGTTGCAGTAGCAGTGGACCTTGCCAGAGAAGCTGCGCTCAGTATTACAGCTGAAGGCTTCTCCGAGACCACCAACGAAGACATCATGGAGGTGATCAGAGATCCTGAAGTGACTGCCGACGAGATGTTGGAAGAAGAACCCACCAGTGAAGAGGAGGAAGAAGGTGCGTCATTCTCCGAAGAACCTAGTTTATGTCATAGTGATATTAAGTGTCTCATAGAGTTAACAGAAAAAATTAAGTCCATCGTTTCCCGCGACACTGACGATGAACGCCATGACGTCTTCCATACCCGACTGGTGCAGGCTATGGAGCCGTACATCACGGTGTATCATGACAACATCAAAGCCAGCCGTCAGCAAAGCATAACCGAGTTCTTCGCCCGCAACCCACCACAGCCAGCCCAAGCCAGTGATAGTGATAGTGAAGTTGATTTTGAGGGATTTGTCAGGGAAGCCATAACAACTGTAAGTGACAGTGATATTGATTCACCTAGTAATGGTGATTCACCTAGTAATGGTGATTCACCTGAGGGGCAGTAATCTGCCCTCTGCCTCGGAACCAGCCTCCATCCCCGTATGCCGACCCATCTCTTCTACTACCGTGAGTGTTCCTCAAAATTTTTCGTTTTTTAACCTATTCTTTATTTTTCCTATGTTAACCTTTATCTTTCCTAACCTAACCTCTTCTATATTACTTGTTTTTCATGCCACCATAAAGTTAAGATAGAATTTTTACTACAACATAGTTATTTGTCGTCAAAAAGTGGAGTTTGGGGGTCGGGCTGGGTTCTATTGGAATTAATCCCATATGTTCTGTTATTCACTTAACGCGGGACCCTCTGGGTTCAATTGACCGCGTTAAGTGGGGTACAACTGTATAGCCTACCTTGAATCTAAACATCAAAATACTTACGGTAGTTCAAGTAAAATTTTACCCATTAATTAATATACATGATGATATATCCAAGTGGTTCATAAGTGAATCATCAAAATAACAGCACTATTTTATGTTAACTAGCACCAGGCATTATTAAAACAAAGTCCAGTCAATATCATTACTTCTAAATTCACTATTATCTCCATCTAGTACGGATATACTCTGTAAATGCGCTGAAAAAAGAGTAAGTCTAGCAGGTAAGAGTACATGACAGCTGAGCTGATGTGAACATGGGAGTTTTTTTTATGTCTAAAAGAACATAAGAATGGAGGAAACTGCAGCGGGCCTATTTGCCCATACTGGGCAGTCGCATTTACACCCAACCCCTATGCTCATATATCCATCCACCCTATGTTTGAAGCCGCTCTTCATGGATCATTTCTTCACTTACAAAATGTCCATGACTTACCAATAAAAAATACCCTTAAAACTTACCTGGACATGGCATTTAGGGTCTGGAGGCCATACTTTCTATGACCTCAGACTGCAGTGAAGAGTTTGAAACTAGTGACATAATTGAAAATGGCGGCCGTTTCTAGAGAAATAAACTTATCTCGGCTATTATAGCAGGACTTTAAACTTTTATTACAAATTATATATACCGTATCACTCTACGAACATGGCAGTGTATCTCTTGTGCTTGCCCAGAACCGTCAACTCATCCATTGATAAACTAATTTCATAAACAGATTGAAAGTATTATATGGCACCCCTTTTCCTCTCAATTCTACTGTTCCTCTGTACAGTTGTCCAACCCTCATAAATATATCATGTTTAAACAGTTGTCTTATTATATCAGAGCAAATGATAGATCCTAAAATGTGTTGGGTCAACTTGTATGTCATAGGGACGTTTCAGATTATGTCATCTAAATGGCCACTTAACTACTATTCTAAATAGAATCCCAATAGTTTGTAATCTATGGTATATATTTTTATTATTCTGGCACACACATATACCCATTAAATTGTCATGTTGGGACTTACTAATTTAGATCTTGGTCTTCAGTAGGAACACAGTAAAACACATAGTAAATATAATCTTTAAACTTTATTCAAAAATGACTTTTTTTACCTCATCAGTGTATGATATTGGAAATCCATATCAAAGGCTAGGTTAATAGATACAACCACCGAGGCTTGCCACTGCAGGACTTGTCCATACAACCTCGGTGCCAATGAGGTGAGCTATATCTATGGTGTCCCCCTGCAATGCTTACATTGCCTAAAATGGATTGATATTGAAATGTTTTGTATATTCATCAAATTTTCCTACTGAGTAAAGTTTTAAATTAGAATATTTAATAAAGGCCTATATCTATTTTATGCAAGCTTCTGCTAACTTTCAGGTAAATATTTAAAAAAATAATTTAAGCATTTTGATTTATTATAAGTGTTCATAAATACTTTGTTTGATACAATTACAAAATAATGCACTGATATTAACATCATCATCATTAATAATTTTTTTAACTAAAAATGATTCGGGTGACTAACAGTCCTAGGTGCTTAAAAATATTTTGGCTGTAACGTTCAGATATACTGTAATAAACTCAACAAAATAAACTGTGCATTGATATGACTTCATGATAATACACCCGATAGAAAATAAATAAATCTTCCACACATCTTGCTTAATTCAGACGAACAAAAACTATAAATGCAAGATAAATATTTTGGATGGTATAATGAGCTTTTTGATATATTTTTATCAATCAATAGAAAGCACCTCAGAACCTTAATAAGAAGATATTTACATGGGCAAGGAAATCTCAAGGTTTCACTCCTGAGACAAAAGTAAGCATATACAGGAAGACCTGGGAGGACAGTAAAAGAGGAAGGCTGTTGCATAGGCACTGGCAGCAAATACAATCTTGAAAAAGCAAGAAAGCATTGTAGTTTTGGCTAAATCTTGGTACTGTATTCTCAATTTTACTCCACACATTATTGATTAGAATGAGAAGGGGAAAAATCACCTTCTCTGATTTCTTCAAACACAAGGCAATCACTGGCTTTATTTACAAATTTTTAGTGTTCATAAATCCAGAAGACTATCCAACGTACTACCACTTACACAGATCCAAATTTATAGGGTTACTATTCTGAATACTGTAAGAACACAACATGAAAATAAGGTACTAGGAAGACCTGTGTAGGAACATAAATATTTTGCATCATATTCCCTTCCCCTGCCAAAACAAGAAACATATATATATATATAAACATTAAAAGACCAGATCTAACCACTGTATCAGATCTTCTCAGGGAATCAAGCTGTACAATACTAAAAAAGGGGGGGGGGGGCCCTATACTTAGATGGTACGAATACAAATTTCAATATTCAAAATAGACTACCCATCAACCAACATATATTTACATTCATAACAATGCTTAGCCTTACTTTACAATCCAGAGCATAAGTGTGTAAAAATCTAACTATGTTTGTTTCATTTCCTTTATGAACTGCAAGAGAAGTAAGGCTTTGGGAAACAAATCAGCACAATGAATTCATTGTCCTGTTTTAATGAAGATCTCAATAATATGCAGCTACTCAAACTAAAAGTTACAAACAAACAGGAATGAAGGTGTGATACCAAATGTAAGAAAATGTTATTTGCATGGTTCAGCACCATCTGAAATGGTCTATATCACATTATTCACACTATTTAGAGTAGTTTTATGTGTTACTAGTTTCAGTTTAAATAATCGCAGTATTATAACCCATTAACAGTACTGTATGTGATAGCTAATATTACAATTTAAACAAAGATGAACTAAGCCAGCATTTACAAATAATTTTGTAAAAAAAAATATAATTATACTTGTACTCCAAAGTTACTCCAGGAGCTGGTTACATCAAGTACTGATAATTGATTAGAGATCCTTTATATTGCAACAAACACACAATTCATCCATATAATTAGCTCTTCACATACCTCCCTCAACAGATTAATTTACTCAGCAATATCTGAAATAGTAAACTCCCAAGTTCTCTCTACTGAAAGTTTGTTGCATTTTGTAGATCTCGACTAAAATGTGTAATTCCTGTTAAGCACAAAATTGTTTAACATAAGCCTGTGAAAATAGGCAAAGAACTTAAGAGATGATCTCTACTGGAAAAGCATAAGTGTATGTTTGTGTGTTGGTCCTATGGCATGTTTACAAATTTTCAAACTGATCTACTCGTCGTTTTGTGTTCCCCTTACGAATTTCCCTCAGCGTCTTGTACTTGTCTCGTCCCTGCCGCACATTTTCCTTGTGAATCTTGTCCATGGTGGTCTCCTTTTCAGTGTCCCTTGTGGATTCCAGGTCATGCTTCAATGCCTGAGAACAAGAATAAGTGTTTTTTTAGAACCACAAATTTAAAGTTTTAAGAGTGCATCTTAAGCTGTTTGGACTTAAACTATTATTATTCTTTCTCCTGTGTTACAATTCCTGTTTTAATTTTAGATACCATCATTTTATTTTAGGTAGTAGGTATTAGGCGGCTACCAAACAGAGAGGTACTACCACCTGGGAAGATATTAGAAGCATACTCATTTCTTTTAATCTTTTAGCTAAATTCTCTTTCCACAGGTCATTGACTCATATATAGGTAGTTAATATATATTTACTATCTTGCAAATATGCAAAATCAGTGAATCTAGATACAGCAAATATTGATGGTGTACTGTGTATGTGCACAGTAAGTAACTCTACACCTAGTTACCTTGAGCTGATTCTGTAGCCGTTCATTGCGCTCGGCTAGAGTCCTCCTCTCTTCAATGGGATCTTCAATAGGTTCATCACTGGTATAAAGTTCCTTTGAAATGTCTCCATTGGGAATATCATCATTTTCCTCGGTGTCTTCCTGCTCAGCAACGTGGTGATGCTGAGGAGTTGAAGTGGCTGCAATCAAAGCTGCACTGGCTTCCTCTTGCTTGCGACGTACTTCCTCAACTTCCATCTACAAAGACAAATTGAACGAAACATTATATTTTCTTGATACTACTATAAATTAAAATATATTACATGAAAAACACACATGACCAAAGAATCCTTTTAACATCTCACTTGTTCAAAACCATAAAACAAATTAATATATAAATAAATGCCTTAAAGAATGTTACATTATAGTTATCAATATACGAGTGAATTAACCTGCAGAAGCAAACCATCAAAGACTGATTAGAATAGGAAAATAAGGTGTAACATGGGTAACAGGCTGGAGTGGTTAAATATCAGAAAAATAAAGGCAAGGAGAGACCTGTAACATAATCCACACCATACTCTTGCAAGGGTTAGGAGTTAGAGGAAAAGAGAAGGCACAAGAGAAAAAAGAAAGACAAATACGATACAGGCTAAATCTCTTCAAGAAGATTTTGTAATGCCAAAACCAAAGTCAAAAGTAAGGTTGGAAGAAATAACATCCTTCATATTTGGTAAATCTTCTTGTACAAAATTAAAGTCAAGAGAAGGAGAGGAATAAATGTAACTTTCAAGCAGGATGAAAACTGAATACAGCCAAAGGTTTGAGACACCACTGAGAAAAATCACTGTTCTTCAATGTTAAGTGGAAAGATAATGCGTGAGTTGAGAAAATAAATGCAAAATGAAATAGTAAAGGGACATGACATTGTGCTCTTAGCCCACCAAGAACTTGACCTTTGAGCTTTTGGAAGGTTGGGGAGGAAGACTGATATCTCAATGGCCATCTCCAAGGTATAGATTAGTGAAGATATGATGCACGAGCAGGAACAACATTTTAAAGGTACAGGGTAAAAATTGGTTATTATACACACCAACTTCAAATACTAAATTACATATCATACTAAAGCATGTCTATTCTAAATCTGCAGAAAATTCCCTTAGGTGATGTTTAGATTGTCTGTAAATGAAGACCACTTTATCCAGAAAATTAAGTTGATAAATATAAAACTAATATACGAGAAATTCTGCCCAGTATAGAGTATTATTTTTCCACTAAAATGTTAAAAGAAAAAAGTTCGAGAAATTATTATTATTTCTCATTTTGTGAAAAGTAGAGTATACAGGTTACACACACAAAAGGACATAAGCACAGAAACAAAAGGGAATTCAAAACAGTAATGTCAATTGTCAGACATTATACTGGAGGCAAACAGGACCTTGAACTACAACACCATGGTTTTAGAAGATCAGTTGTCAGGTTTGTTGGCATTTGGGAAATAAAAAACCGAAAGGGTTAAAACCTTTCACACAAACAGGAACAAGCTTTTGCAGCATGATCTAACTCATCACACTAGTTACCTTACCACCTACGCCTACTCGTGGCTGTCGCCCATGTAGCTCTTGTTTCAGCATCTTATTACAAAAAATTTCACAAATATGATACAAATAACCAAACTATACAAAGCTTATTAAAAATGTAAAATTATCCTAAATAACAGGATTTTTTTTACGATACTACAGAATAACAATGAATAGAAGACAGTAAGCACATTTAACCTTCACACTGACTGACTAATTAGACTAGTAAGTCAACCTTCATGTTATTTAAATAAGCTAATTTCTAAGATAAACTACAAGTGCATCTTCACAATGATAATTTTTCCTACACCAATTTCTTACAACAAAATTTATTTACTAGCTCTTTGGCATCTTTCCAATAACTTATCCATCAATTAATCAATGTTACTCCACTTCCAGAACAACTAAGTACAGAATGGGGGGCAGACTGTTTGTAGTGGACAAGGGAACATAGTTAACACCTATTCTTGAAAAACAGTCGTCTCAACATTCTATAATGCTCAAGACAAAGATCACTATACAGTGAGCTCTGCTATAACGCGTGTTTTGACAACGCGAATTGGCTCCAACGAGATATATGAATAGAGGAACGATATTTGTAAAACGCGAACGCTTGTTTGCTGTAACGCGATTTTTGCTTACTATTTCTCCAATTTTGTGGTATTAACTGTGAATATGGTAAAGAAGAATATCTCCAAGAAGCGTTCTGGTGATCGCATTCCCGGTGATGATCGTAAAAGAAAGGCTATAACACTTGAAGAGAAGCTCTATGTTATCAACCTCAAAATCACCCTTCTCCCCCATCAAGTTATATTCATATTTTTTCAAAGTAAAGTGTTATATTTACTGTATGATTACATTATTAGGTATGAATGTAACATTTATTTAGACTGCTCTCCTTTGTGTTAGGCTAACTACTAAATTTTTTTTCGATTTCGAGTAATCTGCACCTAACCCTATTTTCTCCATAAATAAGCCGTTATTTCTATTGCGCGAATTTCTATAACACGATGTTTTACAAGAACACAACTATCGCGTTATAGCAGAACTGACTGTAGTACAGTAACCTTTCCGGAATTGTGACAGCATTCTCCCTACTCGCTGCAAGCCACCACCAATAGTCTGCAACTGTGCATTTATTTGTAGCGAGCATAAACCCTTGATGCATGTATTGCACAGTGCTATAACAGAACAAATCAAATGGACCACAAGGAAATGTATATACTGTACCAGGTTTTGTTTGACTGTTAAACAATTACAGTGATATCCCCATTAGTTGGGATAATCAGAGCAGACAGACACCGATTTTAGATTTTCTATGTATTATTTTCGCCTTATGACCAATTCGACTTACGACCTGGTCGTTGGTCCCTAACCCCGCCGTAAGCCGAGGACTAACTGTATACAGTAAAGTCTCCGATAACAAATGTTCGACCAACAACTTTTCATATTCAAAACCATAGTTAATTTAGGAACCAATTCAATTTTCGTCCTTATTTCATTCATATTTACGACCAAAATATAATAAAAATAAAATAAAATTACATTTTCATATACTGTACAGTAAATAACTAAATCCCAATATGTATTAAAAAAAAATTAATAATTACTGTAAAAAAAAAAAAAGAGCACCTTGTGTAAAGAAGCTGCCTGGCTAATGAGTGGTAAACAACAGTCGGAGCTTGGCGGGCCTTTTGTTTTCACGCACCTGGAACAGGAACTGAAGAAAAACTTTCTCAAGTTTCTTACAGCATTTTTGCATCCCTATTCAACATGAGCAAGTGATGGTAGTGTTGTTTCAAAAGCTAATAGAAAGTATATAAGCTTAGCCGAGAAACTAGATGTGTTAAAACGACATGAAAAAGGTGAGAGGTCTGTGGATATTATATGGAGCAAGCAATGAACATATTTGCTGAAGTGGATCCATTAACAGAACAAAGCATTAAAATTTAAATGAATGTAAATGACCTCTACATAAAGATGTATAACGAGAAAAGAAAGCAGCTGTGCAAGGTTCCTTTGAGAGCTTTATTATTCGAAGGCCTAAACCATCAACTTCAGCTACACCATCAAATTCAGCATCATAAGCAGCTTCCACATCAACTTCAGGTTCAGTAACAGCTTTATGGAAAGCTACAGCTTCAGCCAGAGTTGAACCCGATGACTTCGTCATCTGAGTAAAAACTCGCACAATATTCATTGGCCGTCCTTATGTTTTAGACTTTACCACCATTGGTGAATAGAATTTTAGTTTTACATTCGTAAATATTATTTAAAACATATATATGAACAGTAAATAAGAGTTCTTTCATAGTCATATGAAGAGAAATGACGATATGTTTCACATGTAAGCACTTACTGTTCATACGTTGGCGTTCCCGATCGTCTCGCCTTATTGCTTTACCATTAGTGGTTAGCTACTTCTATTGTTCCATTTATTAACATTAAATAACGTTACTTAAAACATGCGGGTTTTTTTTACATTAATTTTACTACAGCTACAACCAGGGTCTTATTTTCTTCATTTTCTCGTGTAGAACTATCGTCCCGGACTCCCGTGCCGCTTAGGTGATCAGAGCAACGTTTTACCAAATCCGGCTTCTAAACACGAGGAGGTAGCGTTCCCTGGTCACAATTATAAGATGGCGGGTTCGAATCCTGGTGGGGTGAGGTGTTGATTATATGAAGAAGTCTGCGTGTTTTATTGGGCTAATGAAATATATATGGATCCTCGTGTTTCGAAGCCGGATTTGGTAAAACGTTGCTCTGATCACCTAAGCGGCACGGGTGGTCCCCATTAGAGGTTCACGGCACCACAAGCTCGTTGAACAGGCTTTGTCTAGGACTGCTTTTAGTGTCCTGGTGGCCCAGAGGTAGCGTACCCCGGTCACAATTATAAGATCGTGGGTTTGAACCCTGGTGGAGTGAGGTGTTGATTATATGTAGAAGTCCGCGTGCTTTATATGGGCTAATGAAATATATATACAATACTGTACACACTATATACTGTACTCACCAACAAGTGCTGTCTTGGGCTTGTGATGCAAGCAGATCAAATGGTAATATGATACAGGATGACCTGCCCTTTTCCTGTACCATTATCTGTAGCAGGTGTTACTGTTACTCTCCTCTCTCTCCATGAAGAAATGACTGTACATGCACTGTATACCATGTATATATACACCTCTACTCACCAGCCTACAGTAGACATACACTGTCCACTCTGCTATGTACAGTACAGTAAATGTAACCAACCATTTTTTTTTGTCTTAACACTATTCTTGGCTGAATGTGTCCTGGTATATTAACATACTGCACTCCACAAATTGTGTGCAAAAACAGCAGCAAACAAGGGGAAAACCTTGTACTGTATAATGGCAGGATATGAACTAAATGCACGAGCTTACAGCCTAAGTCACCCAAGGAACTAGCCCACCCACGTGGAGAGGAGTCTCTCGGAATTCCTGGAAAATTTGTTCCCATGCCTGGAATAGAGATTTTCTCAAAATCCCCTCTCCCCCCAGAAAATGAGCAAGATTATAGCCTTGGAAACGCGTTCTCATGCCCGAAGTGGAAAGAAAATTTTCAGAAGGCTCAAAATTCTTTATGGCTATAGGAGAGCTCCAGGGAATGATGATTCCGACAAACGAGAAGATTACTGGACTATACATGTTTAATTGTCCCTCTTTTTCCAAATAGTCAATCACATAATTTTGCAATACATTATGTATAATTTAAGGATAAAATTTTATTTACATGTGGTACAGTTTTGTTCATGCACTGTTTATTCTGGTCACGAGTAGTGCAGTGTTGCGCTGACTAAATTATTTCACCCTGTCATTAGAAGGCAACATATCTGGAAAAAGGCCGCTAAGTGAAACCGATAGAAAAATGCCAAGAGTACCAGAAGCTAAACATTGATGCAAAATTCAAAGTGATTAGGAAATCCAAAGCAGAACGACTTGCATAAGGGACAGACAGCTGGCAATGATTTACTGTATGTATAGTCCACCACAATACAGTACCTGTATTGGAAATAATGAACACAGCTAACCCACTGCTTGAAATGATAATTTAGTACTAAACTAAAGACAATAAATTGATCTGTAAGTTACAAAACCCAAAGAGTAAATGAATGAGGTAATAATTTATTACTCACTTGGAGCTGCTTAGTCTCTTCATCCTTGTTGTTCACCTCTTCCTGGATTCGCTGAACTTCCTCCTGCTTGGCACGGATTTCTTCCTCCAATTTGGATTTTTCCTCAGCTTCCATTTCCTTGGCTTGCTCAAGGCGCACCATCATGTCGTGAAGTTCTGTCTGCTTGGCCTCTAATTCATCCTTTGCTGCCTGCAACTGTCGGAGTTGTTCTTCGAGGCGTCGAATTGTTTCCTGGGCATCGAGGAGTTCTTTCTGACGTCGCTCCATATCTTCTTGCATGTTTCTCAGACGTTCTTCATATTCCTTTTGTTTCCTTTCTGCCTCTTCACGAAGAGCAATTTCTCGAGCTAATTTCTCTCTGCAATGAATGAGTTTCTTAGGAATTTTTCGCAACGTATTAGAGAATGTAAATCAAATACGAATTCCATTTTTGTGCTTAATGTTTCTATATTTAAGGCTCCAGTCAACTGTATTCTAAAATCAACGAACCTTGGTAAAATCTCTCAAGATATAATTAATTTTAGAGTACTGTATATAAGAGTGCACTAATTCCTTCTACATAACCCATAAAATTGTTAGCTCAATATGAAATGGATTATTTGTAATATTGTATCACTGTAATGGCATGTTATAGAAGTTAACAATAATACAGGAATTTTTTGTATTAAAAGGAATAAAAATTTGCAGGATAAAATTTGACATCTACTCCAATAAAAGGGAAGCAATAAAACTGCGAGGGGGTATAATGAAACTAACATACTCATTACATCAATATAAATTAGCTGTCATACAGTGTCAATATCCTCCTCTTATATTTTGAACCAACCACAGATTCCAGTTTTGAATACAGTATTCATGGACTTCCATGGCCACCGTAGGATATTTCAAGTACAGTACGAAGGGAATGTTCATTTGATCACATCTATCCTACCAAGTGGTTCCTAGTGTTTGCTTCATCGCGTACTGGTATATGTTCCCCAAACAACTAATCATCATCATCATCATCTACCAGGCCTAGGTCCTTTTCCAACACTAAAGCATGGATAACGTATACACTATTGTACCATCCAAAATATTTACACTAGCGTATGGGTAAGGTACACTATATTGCATCTTAGTCTTTAAATAATTCATGAAAATTCAAATTTTAGATCTATTAATCCATATTTTGGTTTAAAATATTTGTACAGTACATATCAACCTTCCAAGTGAGATTAAAAACATAACTAGGTAATACTGTATTAATATTCTAGATTATAAAAAAGTTGAATACCTGTACTGTATTCCAAATGTTTATAAACTATTAAAGCAGCAATCAAGAAACTCACTTCACAATGGTGATGTTACCATTTTATTTATTGCTTGCTGGTATATAATATAAAAACAAGTGCATGCCAAAAATTATAATCAAGTATGAGCAACATCAACCCAATTACCGTACTTTGTCAGACAGGTACTCCTCGACTTACGACAACCCGGACAAACGACCGCCGTGGTCGTATGAAATATTTTTAAAATTATGTATTTTCTAGTACCGACATTAGTGATCACGCTGAATCCTGACAAAATTTTCGTTTGTAATTCCCTTTAAAATGGCTGGCAAGCATAAACGTGAGAGTTTTGAGGTGCTGAGAAGAAAAAGAGGCACCCATTTTAGAATTTCTCTATTATTTTCGCCTTTTCAACTTACGACCTGGCCGTCGGGACGGAACCCTGTCTTAAGTCGAAGAGAGACCATATAAGAGACACTTCCTAAAAAACTTGGCCAAAGTGGAGGCGAGTCATATTGTACCATCAAACAATAATTTTACTAACACCTCAAAAATACTGGTATTTTAAAAATTGAGCAAACTACAGCTGCTCCCCGACTTGCGACGGGGTTAGGGACCCAAATCCAGGTCGTAAGTCGGAAATGCTTAAATAATACATAGAAAATCTAAAATGGGTCTCTTTTTCTACTCAGCACCACAAAACTCTCACTTTTAAGCTTAACAGCCATTTTAAAGTGAATTACAAACGAAAATTTTGTCTGTACTGATGTTGACTTAAAAATAAGTAATTTGAAAAAATTTTGGTACGAATGAGGCAGGTCGTAAGTCGGGGAGGAGCTGTAATATATATATATATATATATATATATATATATATATATATATATATATATATATATATATATATATATATATATATATATATATATATATATATATATATATATATATATATATACACACACACACACACACACACACACTATAGGACTTAGCTCTGTTTCATTTTCTCATCAAACTTGGTGGAAAAATCGCACAAAATGTTGATGGTTTCTTTAGGAAGGCATACCATACTTACAAGACAATGTTTAAAATCTTACTACAGTAAAAGTCAAAATCGGACCACCTGAGAATCCGGACTTTTCGAAAAAAATCAATTTTTTTTTTTAGCTGGCTTTTGTGTGTATGTGTGAGCGCCACAGCTGCACAGCGACCACGCGGTCGCCACTTTAAAACGAGCAATCAAACTGTGACAATGTATGTAATTTTGAGTCCTACTCTTTCCATTTACAGAGTACTGTACAAGCCCATAATAATGGCTCCTAAAGTAGATAAACTTCGTTGTGTGAAGAGAAATAACTTAATTTAAGACAGTAAATGAAAGTTAAAAATAAATCCTGTAAATAAATACTGTAAATTTCAAGTTCAACTCCTTCATAAGCCAGGGACCTCCTGTATACATATACATGTACTGTACAATCATCCCTAAACAAGAATAATGCTTGGACTCCAGTACAGTACTTGCTAATCACCATGAGATAAGTTTTCAAAGACAATTTCAGAGTTAATTCATTCTGCATACCTACTCTGTATTCCTTCAAATCTCAAAACATTGGGGAAATGATGCAAAAATTTTTAACTCCTTAATAGGAGATTATATTTTCACCCCCTCCCACCCCCAACTCAACTCTTACCTCTCTTGTTGCTTGGCCAACTTTTCTTCCCGTGCCTGTGCCTTCATTTGCTGGACCTCAATAGTATCTGGTTTTCGACGGCGCATGTAAAGTTCGTGGTTACCCATACACAGAGCCAAGATGCGTTTGTTGATGCGTAGACGAGGTGCAAAGAACACGAAATCTGGGGCTTTCTTGTCAATTGGTTTGATAACAAATTTACGGTCATTGAAGGAAATGTTTCGGATCTCACACCATGGGAAACCAATTTTGGGGGTTAATCTGAAACAAGTTTGAAGAATAAGCTTCAATTGTGGTATAAACTAATGCAATTATAATATACACCATTTTAAAGAGCAACTTTGAAATAAAATTATTACTCTAAATGACACCCATAGGATATCCTGTATGTATATATTTAATTAATGAAGCCTTTGATAAATCACATATTTTAGTTGTCTCCTACAGCTTGATAGTAGAGCAAGTTACAGGATAAGTATATATTCATGCATACAGCAGGTTACAGGACTCCTTGATTATAACAAGACAGCAATATAAGAACACACTGCACTAATTTATCTAAGTATAAACTCATGCAACAGGTGCATGACATGTAAGAGGAGAAAGGAAAGAACCAAATGAACAACTCACTTGTCATCTTTCTCATAGATGTTGAGCCCAAGAGCATCTACTCCTAGCCAGAGCTCTGTGCCCTTCTTGTTCTTGATATCAAAGTAATTTACACCATACATTTCCAAGTCTTGAGCCAACTTAAGGTATTCCATCATGGCATCTTCTCTGTAATAATAATAATAATATAATGACAATAATGATAAATTGGTCCACTTAAGAAAAATTTAATCACCCGGTTTTCTTCAAAATGTCAGTACTGTCAGAGTATCTGTAAATAAAATCTGACACAAATTCCAGTTAATGATATATTATTATAGTTATAACATAATTGCTTCATATACTGTACTCATTAAACTATTATTTTCTTGGTTGATGTGTTCTCTCACTTGTTCTTCATCAAACCCTTTGTATGAATTCATGTAACTCTCATTCACATTCAACCCCATCTTTTATTTACGTAAACCCCATCTCTCAATCCTTCTCCAATTAAAAAATTATATTCTATCTTTCCTTAAATTTGCACATTATTATTTATTCTCACTCATTCATAACATTCACATGTTAATATTCCAAATGACTCCCTCCCAGCCCACTCCTTCATCCCTTCCCATCACTCCCTCCCAGCCCACTCCTTCATCTCTCCCTTCTATCCCACTCCTACATCCCTTCCCATCACTCCCTCCTATCCTACTCATTCATCCTTCCCACTCATTCACTCCTCTCCCTATAAGTTTATTCATACCGAAAACATCGAATATAAATTTTCAGTAATTTACCCTTCTTTTACAATTTTATTCTGACTACTGCCGGGTGATTTTATTCAGGGAAAACTCTAGGAGCCAGTGTTAATTTCCATGCATTCAACTTGAACTTTTTCTTTCTTATGCCCGTATTATTATACAACGTCTTCCCTTGAAGAGGGTCGTCGTGTTTCAACCCGAGTTTTAAACTAAACGAGTTCTGAGGGACACCGCAGTACAGTACAGTACAGTACTTAACGGGGTGGTGTGGCCGTAAAATTATTTAATTCCAATAAAATTAATTTATAATAATGGAATTAGTTAATTTTACCGCCACACCACCCTGTTACGTACTGTATTGCGGTGTCCCTCAGGACTCATTTAGTTTAAAACTCGGGTTGAAACACGACGACCCTCTTCAAGGGAAGACGTTTAATAATATGGGCGTGAGCCCCTAACTCTCTCTACCAATCACAATACCTTCCCTAAACTCCCTTTCTCACAACTGTCACCATACTATAGCCAAATGTAAGGCTTACCTGAGCATCCCCCTGTGTTCATGGTACCATGTGATGATCCTCTCCTCCCATTCATCACGTGATAGTTTGTGCTGGTCCATCACGCGTTGAGGCAACAGCCGGTGGTCATTGGCCAATGACTTTTGAATGTCTGAGTTCTGATCACCATACTTTGCTTGAACTGCATATGAGGCAAGCAGAACCGACGTTTCAGGAGGGCAGTAAATTTCATCACTGAGAATGGCATTCTTTACTTGCAGATAGAACAACCGCTGTAAATAATTATTATTTCATTAATATAAGATACAAACAATATCATAGATTTATAACGTATGTGATGGACTAGGATAGATACATGTGAAGTTGCACCTTGACCTCATGCCTACAGTATACCAGGGTGTCTACTGGCCAAACAAAACAAAATTACCTGGCTTTTCCATGTTTTCCTGGGGTAAATTTGGAAAATTTCAGGTATATTAAATCAGTATTTATTAGGACAATAACAAAATTAGAGGTTTCCAATAATATGTGCTGTATACTATTGGAAAATTTAAAGATGATAAACTGTATATGATATTAATCAAGAAATTGAAGACCCTTTTGGGACCCACCCCAAGCCAATCTGACATAAAAAAAATTATACAGCTATGAATTGAAGTATTAATTAAATTATGCACCATATTTTTCTCCTCGGATTTGAGCAATTCACGTAGGTCGACCTGGATGTTCCAAAAAAGCCAGATATCCGGGGGAAAAAAAACAAACATATTCCTGATTCACTTACATGACTCATGATAAATATAATCCACCTTAATAAAGTAAATTATAAGATTAGCATGGAAAAGGGTATATACAAGTTGAGAATCCCTCATCTAAAATCCTTGGGGCCAAGCGTGTCTCAGATTTCAGATTTTTGGAAACCTGTACACTGTATAATGGGGTACAGGTACCTCACCCAGAGGGGAAATGTGCCCAGGTCAAAGCACAAAATTTGTGTACAGTGGTTCCTCGATTAACAAGCACAATTGGATCCACAGTCAGTTGTTAACTGAAAATATCGTGAACTGAATCTATTATTTCAATGGGATATTGGGAACAGTAATTAGTTCCAACTCGCAGAAAAAGTATACATACAAAGTACTGTATACCGGTAATAGAATTAACAAAACATTGTATATAAACTAAATACAGTACGGTATACTGTACAATAATAAATAAAAAACAATAGAATACTGTATTTTAACTTACTTTGAGGAGTGTATGTTGTATTCCTGGCGGCTGTTTACATAATAAATAGTTGATTGTAGAGGCAGTCGATGATGATATGCCATTTTCTTTACAGAGTGCATTGGTTCTAATGCCTTCTTTGTATTTCTTAACAATTTCTGCACTGTATATTTTCAATATGTTAAACTAAATTTCAGAATGACAAATAAAATTATTCAGGAGCACGGCAAACTCAATGTTTACTCCACTGGAAACGAACTTAAACTGAGAAATGTCGGCGCCTAGGTGGGCGAGTTTGATCAGCTGATGCGCGCATCAAAACTGTACTGTATATATTATCAATATGTTAAATCAATTTCAGAATGACCAATAATTTTAATATAAAAAATGCTAAAATATTCAAAAGCACAACTTTCTTGATATTTACTCCACTGGAAACAAATGTAAACATATAACCAATTACTGTATTGGCGGACTAGCCAATCAGCTGATGCGCTCACCAAAGTGTGTTTCCCGTAAGGCTGTCGTGAAGTTGTACTTGTTAGTCGAACTGAAAATCCTTAAGGGAGCTAAGTCAACTGAAATCTTGTAAATTGAACCGCTCGTTAGTCGAGGGACCACTGTATATCACACTTACCGAATATAGATACATAGCCTGTAAGTAGTTTAATAAAATATTTTTAATAATTTTGTACATGAAACAATAAGAAAAAGATGCACACTGAACCACCAGAAGGTAAGCTACCACTACCATAGGCCAACCCGTAACTGCCCCTGAAATTTACCCTAGCGCAATCTGTGTCTTACCTTCCTTCATTAATAGTCTAGGGATGAGGATGCACTCTGCAGGATGACTTTCTTAAATGTTTCATCTGCCTCATTAACAATGGCTTTTGTTGTAGCAATCTCTCTTTGATCTTATAAACTGACATGATTTCTTGTTCAGTTATGAATGCACGCTGCTCTAGTCCATCACAAGTTTTCACCATGTCGTCTATGGGCACTTTTACCACTGTGTTAACTAGGACATCATCTTCACTGTTAACATCACAATCACCTTGATTCAGAACCCTTTCAGCTATTTCACTATCAGTAAATGAATGAACAACTGGAGCATCATTATCAATGTTGGAGAACTTCTTCTATGTCAGCTTCCTCCAGCTTCTTGACAGCATCCAAGGGGTATACCTTTGCACATGTAAGGTTTGGTGTTATTTGTTACTCACTTGTCACACGGAATACTTGAAAGTCAAAATTTTGTTTGTTTTCATTGATCATATTCGACGGCCAGAGGTTATGCCAGGCATATTCGCTAGGGTGTCCTTACCTATGGCATTCCAAGCAATTGCAGTGGTTTAGATGGTATCCTTTACTGTAAACTACTACAGTACTGGAAACCCTCCACACCCACGCCTTTGTTCACTGTTGTCAACATGCTGCCCAGGAAACCGACTTTATATTTGCTCTTCGTTGCTCTAAGTATCCCTTGGTCGCAAGAAGTTCAGCTGGGGGATGTGTAGAACAATTGTCAAGGAAGAACAAAATCTTGCAGTCGTCTTCCAGTCCAGCTTCCCGGCAGTACTCGCGTGCAGCTGATAGAAAATGTTTATTAAACCCGTAAGAAAAGAGGTCCCTGGCGATCCACATTATCTTGTTGGCATAATAATGGACTGGTAAATTAGTCACGCCTTTAAAACAACAGCGGAGACGCTTGCTATTGCCTATCACAGCAAGTTTACACTTGTGGGGGCCTGCCGCATTAACACATCCCAGCACAAGTCAGTCTGTCCTTGACATCCTTAACTCCTGTAGGAGACTTCACATTAGCTGTAGTTCAGTGTCTTCCTGGGACAATAACATCACAACAATACTGTCTCATAGGCATTGTATATTTGTTCTGGTTTTAGATCTCCATCGGCAATTATCTTGGCAAACTCGTCGATGTAGTTCTCTGCTGCCTCATGATCAGCAGAAGCTTCATCACCACAAATCTTTAAATATTTAATGCCATGCCTCTTCTCAAATTTCTGCAAACCAGCCTGCTGAATATTCACTATTACCTTCAATTTTAAGTTCGTCATGATAAATCTTTGCTCGTTTCATGATCAGCATACCGTTAAGCGGCATATGCTCATTCTGACACTGACGAATCCACTCTTTCAAAAGGCGATCAACATTTTAATTTTTTGCCTTATGCTGTTTTTTTTTTCATAAGCTTCTGCTCATCACTTTCAGCACAGAACTTTAACAACTTTTCTCTTTGTTTCTTCAGGTCATAAATGGAGGTCGTCTCTAAACTCCTCCATGAGTCGCCTCACGCTTGCACCATAGTCAAGTTTGCACAATAACTCAACTTTTTATGTTACGGAAAAGCATTAATGCTGCTTCTTTTTTCTTTTTACTGCTACCCATAGGGGTTCCTGCAGGCCTTTTCGACATTTTCAACTGTATATTCATGTGACAAACCACAAAAATCACCGAGTAATGTGTGGACATCTAGCTCTGATAAGTGCAGAACAACTACTGTAGTATTTAGCACTAACAGTCACCACCCTGATCTAGTTAGCTTAGAGTAGGTCATGCTAGTAACCCTCTGCAGTGTGTCGGCACCCATGCTTCACGTGGAAACATAAAAAAAACCCTGTGGAATTATTTAAATTTTCCACTACAGGCGCTAAAAAAAAAGTATGGATTTCAGAGGCTTTCAGTTTTTAGCATTTTGGAGAGGTGGATTCTCAACTGCAGTGTGTATAGCATCTTCATCACTCAAATTAGTTTTTTGCATGATGATGTTCATTGCCAGAGGTTTACACAATGGTTTACTTAATCAGTGAATTAGGCCATTAGATACATAAATACGTAGTTGAATTTCTACTCAAGGATACCCAAATGGATTTGGCTGTTTCTATGAAGGAGGCTATAGTATTGCCAAACCATATGTGGACATAAATAAACCATGTTTATAAGTCGAAACCCGCCCAATTCAACACTAGAAATATTTTGAAGTTGTTAATGCTGATTTCTTAGGTACACATTTAGGGGAGGGAGGGAGGGAGTGAGAGACAGAGGCTTTATAGTAACATTAATTTTCCAATGAGTTAAAAAGGAACTTTCTTACCAGTGTGATGTCTTGTATGATCTCCTCGGCCACATCCTCCGGGTAGAACTTTGCTCTAAACTTGAACTGGAGTGGAGTTTCCTTTTTCACATCTTGAGATAAAACCTGCAGCAAGAAGTACAATAAGTAACTAAACACATATAGTCAATACTTCAATCAACATGTGTAAATAAGCAGAGTATTGCACTGTACATCAGTATTATCAATATTGGTATGAAATATTTCAGATAACACAACAAAAAAAATTAAAAATAAATAAATAAATACATAAATAAATAAATAAATAAAAAATACAATGAATTCTGTCACCAAGCTCTCTTCAATTATATTGTCAAGTGGCAAATACCTGTAATAATAATACTGTATTGTAGTAGTAATAACAGGAATACCAGAAAAAATATCACTTAAACTTTGAGTCTGGATGTAATGTACTCAACTACATTATACAGTACGCACTTTACATCTAATAAGCATCTACTGGTAAACCAGATACAGGTACTCCTCAACTTACGACAACCCGGACATACGACTGCCGTAGTCGTATAAAATGTTTCAAATTATGCATTTTCTAGTACCGAAACATTTACGTCTCGTACGACAGCATGGGCTGGGCAGCCTCGTGGTGTACAGCATCCACGCCGTAGCCCGCTCAGTTGGTGTTTGGCTGTAGTTGTTGTTAGTGATCGCGCTGTGTACTGTACTGACAAAATTTTCGTTTCTAATTCCCTTTAAAATGACTGGCAAGCGTATAAGTGAGAGTTCTGGTGGTGCTGATAAGAAAAGGGGACAGTCAATTACTTTTGAGATGTAAATGAAAATAATAATGCAATATGAAAATGGAAAAACGGTAGCAACCATTTCACGCGACCTTGGCTTCTCTCATTCGACGATATCAACAATTTTGAAAGACAAGGCAGAGGCATTTGCTACTATTAATAAGGGGATGCAAATGTTTGAAGAAATGGATCATAATGTTGAGCGTTTTGCAAAAGTTGACAGAATGATCCAAGATGCACTTGCTTGTTACATGGGGATTTACAATGAATAGAAAAGGCAAACTGTGCAGTCTAAATTGGACATATATTTTAAGAAGTCCCCCACTGCTGTCTCCTCACGCCCCACCACTGCTGCCTCTTCACTCCCTAAAGATGATCCTTCAAAAAGCAAGTATGTTAGCCTGTCTGAAGAAAGCGAAATTGATGACCCACCCAGCCCTGTCTCCTCCTCTGCTTCATCCAATTAATGTAGTCTCCATGTTTAATTAAAAAATTATTGAGGCCCCATGTGCATTCAGCTAACTACATTAAAGCTAAGTGCACAGTAACACTTTATTAATTTTTCAATACTTTTACTGTACAGTATTTCATTTTAGATTTTCTATGTATTATTTTCGCCTTTTCGACTTATGATCTAGTCGTCGGTCAGGAACCCCGTCGTAAGTCAAGGAGAACTGTACTGTAATTAAGCACCAAAGCAGCCTGGAGCAGGACTATCCATAACTCTGTTGATAATCTCTGGAATCATTGTCTGCCGTGTGTATGCTCAATAACTCTCACAGCAATCAATGCCCATACATGCCTAAAGTCATCCCAAATATTGTTTATGCATTACTGTAAATTATGTTACTGATAAATCAGCTACGGTGTTTGTTTAGTGTTGCATTAGGTACTGTATTGTTATAATGTCGTTGACCCAAGCAGCGCTCCCTCCCCAATCAACATGGTCAGTGTACATGTTTATGTTTGAAGACAAAGTGCAAGATTTTGTTCTTATATACTGTTTACATTTCATTAACTTTTTAATGTGTCGGGTACAGTTGCGGAAATGTGTTCTCACGCCCCCTGTGGGGACCCGTCTCCAAACGGCCAACCTATATGACCTATCCACCAACCACGTCTGTAATTACACAAGCCAATACCCATTTATTCATAAATAGTGATACAGTAAACCCTCGTTTAACCAGCTCTCAAATAACCAACCCACAAATTGTTCTTACCAACAATTGTAGGCAGCTAACTGACAGCTCCTGCTAGGTGCAGAGTTCAATGTCCTCCTTCAAATCTCTTTACCACATCTGATTTAATTTCTATATAACACTTTTCCTCTTCTTTCTGTGACCACAACCAGTAGTGGTCCATAATGTACGTTTACCACTTTTTGTTTTAGGGCTCAAATAAATTTATAATTAGGTTTTAAGCGAATGTTGTTAGAGCATTAACCAACCACTGAACAACAACAAATATGGCGCCCACGCTGGTCACTCACACAGCTAGGCGCCTTAGTATAGAATTTTTAAATTTGTCGTATATGTAAACTTTTCATACATAGTATTTTTTTTTAATACATTTCTCAATTATCAGACTTATCGGGTTTTCTGACCCACCCTTCTCCCATATAGGTTGATTAAATGAGGGTTTACCACAACTACTACAGTACCAAGACATTGCCGTTTGGAGACGGGGGCGTAGGAACACATTTTCTCAACTGTGCCTGTACTAAATAACAATACAGTACTGTACTGTACAGTAGTTAGGTAATGGTTTTAGTTTATTAGGGAACCAATTTCCTTTGTTTAAGATACTGTACAGTACCGTATTGGAGTTTTCCTGTTATGGTAGATTAGTAGAATAAATATTCATCAGACAAAAGTACTGTCCATTTACAATTACAAAATTAAACAAAAAAACCCTACGAGGTCTCATGATTACATTGTACTGTACCTGCAGCAAGACGACTGATAATAGTAAACACAATGGGCCTGAGGAGCTTACATGGAGTCCTTTATAGTCACGTGTCAGAGTTTTTACACAAAGTTTTGCAGAGAAATTTATCACAATTGCCGATAACATGATTTTTTTTTATATAACAATGCAAAATACATTTTTGTATCAGAATATTTGAGTACAGTATACTGGAGAATACAAAGAAACTACATGGACCCAAGAAATCCATTAGCCCAAGGTTGGAGTGGAGGGTAAAAAATAAGCCAGCAAATGTGAATTTCAAACTTGACCGAGCATTACCTGAAACAGATGAACACTATTAATACCTTGCACTGCTCTGCCCACTGACAACAGCAAAGGCATAAAAACAATATTCTGTACTGTACAGTATAGTATTAGCAATGTAATGATACCATACTCAAACAACTGCATTACAGGATATCATCCACTTCATACAAGGCAGTGCCTTTTTGTTAAACTCTTAAACTAAATAGAGTGGGAGGTAACATTACACACAAGGCTCAACAGTTATCACTATAATGTACTGTACTTAATGCTCACTGGTGTGTATTACTGTATCTACTGGCTTACCCAGTGAATGTTAAACTTAGTTTTGAATTTAGTCCTTGGGAAACGCCACAAGTAGTATCCAATACGCCATGATAAACTCTGTTGATGAAGACAGCGATTAGCCCACACTTTAGCGTGTTGTATTTTACCGACTGAATCTTACACCAGACCAATTTAGCACATACAGTACAGTACCTGGTACAGTATCTGTTATCTTGACAATTCTCACAAAATAAAAATAAAAAATATTTATCAACATTATACAGTACTATACTGTATTTTCTAAAGAAATAAAAAATGTGTAAAACCTTATTCCCACAAAGTTTAGTACAGTATAGTATTACTGTAGTGTATATTTACAAAGGAAAATATGCCTCGGCAACAATACAGTTGTGATTGTGATGAAATTATAGGAGTCGAGTTAAATTGACTGGCAATACTCCACATATCAAGAAGCGCTCAACACACTGACCATCACCACGACCTCATCTGCAAATTTGGTAAGAAGCTTCTACACCATCCTCGACACCGGCTCCTACTACCACCTGAGATCCCTAGCCCGAGAATTGCTGTTCGACACCACAACCTCATCCAGCCCATACGTACACGAACTGATCGCTATAAGAACAGCCCAGTCCCAACCATTGTAAAAATTATCAATAACTTGTAATAAACCAGTGTATTCACTCCCAGTAAACACTAGTCCTTGCACTGTCACTATGTTGAAATGAACTGTAGTTTGAGCTTTTCCCCATCTAGTTATTATATATCTTATTTGTATCACTTATGTTACTTGTATATTATTTGTAATTCGAAACCCATTCCCCAAATATGTAACTGTATATTTTCAGCCTTCTAGCTGCCAAGCTCTTTCAATAAACCGTTAATTATTATTATTATTATTATTATTATTATTATACTGTAATACAGATACTTAAAGTTGACAAAGGAATAGTGTCTTAACTAAAGTAAACCGAGAGAAGAAAAGAGAACTGCGAACCTAAACATTACAGAATACCGTACCTAACAATAGTAACAGAAAATAGCCAAGCATACCCTAAATGTAAGTTGGTAAACCATGCATAGATCATGGACACTACCTGCACCCTGGCACACATACGCATAAAACTGATTACAGTAAACCCTTGATATCCGCGGGTTTGTGATTCGCGGTAAGCAGACGGTGGCTAGCTTACGAACCTCTCCCGCAGCACCAATCACCCCCACGTGCCCGCAGCATATCCTCTCCTTGTTTGCGCATCTCTTGTGTTGTATTCAAAACTTTAGTGTTTCTGTGTGATAGGCCCCTAAAAGACTGTCTAGTGTCAGCACTAGTGATGTAACAAGAAGGTTGGGGCTTCAATAATTTTGGTGAACTATTTCGACATGTGAAGGTGGTAACAGATTTCCTTGTTGACCACGACCCTTCCATGGAACAGAGCCTTAAGATCATCCAAGAAATTAACCAGGCATTGGTTTCCTACCAGGAAATGTTTAAAGATCTCAAACCCAAAAGGACACAACTACCAATCACGATGTTTTTCAAGAAAGAGCCAGCCGATTCGTCTCCCTCACCTACTCGGTCAGTTGCTGCCGCCACTCCACCACCCACCTTCTCACCAACCACTACTGCATCATCCTTTCAACAGTGATCCTGATGATCTCCATATGCTTCAGTTACCAGATTCCATCCTACTGTATAGTACACATCAAGCTCCAAACTTCCACTTGCAAAGGATAGTAGTATTGGTGACTTAGTGTTTCTCATACACAGTACAGTATCCTGTATAGGTATACAGTACTGCACTAAGGTTGTATAAGATACTATTCGAGGTATTGCCAATTCGTACTACTCCTTGGACTCTAACCCCCGTGAATAGCAAGGGTTTACTGTACAAAAGAAATGTATCAATAGTGCTATGTTTTAGAGAGATGAAGTGAGATATACATGTGAGCTGTAAATGTTATTTTTAGGTGGTGATAAATTAACAGTAGGACATTAGAAATGAACAATGTCTGACAAAACATAGATTTTAATTTTTTTACTACTGTACTTATATTATTATAGAAGAGGGCAAAAAATAATAAAATGTAGTATGAAAGAAGATCAATTCCTGGGATGTTAAAATTCATGGTACCATATAGTTTGACATACTACCACAGCATGCTTAACATTATTAGGTTGAGAATATTTGGCACCCCACGTAGAAACAAAGAAGAAAACACACTAGTGTATGAAGAAGCAGAATTGGGAATGTAACGTATTGTAGTCTCTGGACGAATTATGTTACAATATTTGGTACAGCAAGGCTAGAGGAACCCAATACTTTACTGTATTGAGAATATGTCCCTGGACTGTGTCAAGGAGTTCTGTTATCTGGGTGACATGATCAGGGCCTCTGTAGGTGCTGGAGGAAGTTTAGGGAGCTGTGACATGATCAGGGCCTCTGGAGGTGCTGAAGGAAGTTTAGGGAGCTGTGACATGATCAGGGCCTCTGGAGGTGCTGAAGGAAGTTTAGGGAGCTGTTGCCTTTTGACAGAACGAGGGCCTTCCTTCAAGTGAAAGGAAGAATGTATACAATTGGTGTGAAAAGTGTGATGTACAGTAGTTTGGCAGTGAAACACGAGCAGTTAAAGAGGATGGTATAAGTAGACTTGAGTGAGGTGAAATGAGAATGGCGAGGTGGATTGTGATGTGACACTGAAAGACAGGTGGCCCTGTTCAGAACTAAAAGGGCAGCCGAGTATATAGAGTAGTACTGTATCGGAAAAGTCCTGCACAGCGACAGACTGAGATGGTTTTAACATGTGGGAAGAATGAATGAGGAGAGTCAGGGCTAAGCCAGGAATGACATGCAAAGAGGTCGTAAGAAATTACATTTGAGCAAAGAACCTGACAAGAGTACATGTTGGTGCTATTGGTCAATTTGCTAGACTCAGGTCATATTAACTGTAACAGACACAGACTGCATTTGTGAGGTTAGGTGAACAAAGAGGGTTTTAGTTTGGTGAACAGGGAATGTAATGGACTCAAACTTAGATAATCCTAATTATAACGATCAACCTTGTTATTATTGAGTGAACTTGATGCTGACATGCACAATACTCATCAAGACAGAACTGGTGCAGTACAGTACCCATTTCATCCACTCTGCATCAGATGAGCTCTCCCAGTGCAAGGTTACATCATAGCACCAGTGTAATTCTTGTAAGTATAAAAACAGCCTCCACTTTATGGAATTATTACAAGAGCCATGACAATGCAGTACTGTACAAGATTATAAGAATGACCCAATAATGTCCTCTTAAGACAGGATGACAGAGTTAACTCGGATTTGAACTGTTAATCGCCTAAATTGGAAAAAGTAACTCATCTCCGTATCAAAGTCAATTGGGTGGCAAAGGAGTATGACATTTTCAGTGATGAGAAAAATGGTAACAAAGACACAGACTCCCTGTAAGCTCACTTGAATCATTGTACTGTATATTCTTAATCCACTTTCTACTTCCCAGCACCCAAAAACAAAGCAAACTGACACTCTACCCGCTTGTTGAGCTTCAGCCAAGTTGTGTAGCCTTTGGAGTCAACATACTGAAGGCCAAAGAACCAAATCTCACGGAGGCCGATAGTTTTCACCACCTGGTCGAACAACTGCTTGCCTGTTGTGTTGGGCTGGATCGCGAATTCCAGCTCCGCGTCCATGGTGATGACCCGAACATTTACCTGGGGGAACAGTAAAGCATAAGAATAAAAGTCAGCTCTCCAAATAATTTTTTGCAGCTCTTTTTAAAAATTATCCAAGTCAGCTAGAAATAAGGTGACTTAGGTAAACACATTTTCCCTTGTTTGTTGTACAACCCCCTCCCCCTCCCAAAAGTACTATTAGATTTTCCGTTGCTACAATTTGAAATGCTTTGATATGATCCCCAGTGCATCATAATAAGTTGTACAGTATGCCTGCTCACCATATTAGCAACAGCTAGAGATGGGGAAGGAAGTCATCCTTGTATGGCATACTAGATAATGTACAACAATATGCCATACTGTAACAAGAAATCCATTAAGCTAGATTAATGTATCATTCAAAATCGTATACGTATACTGTAGTCATTCATGCTCAAAGGTTGCGGATGTAGAACTACCAACCGATCAGAAACAGGTCGAGTAACATTGCTCGAAGGGCCTTGAATCACATCGACCCCATGGTTAATGATACTTGTTTGGGGGACTGGACAGTAATTAATTCATTCTTACTGGTGTAAAAGATGTGTTTTGCTATGGTATCCCCTTTCCACAACAAGACAAGATTTGAATTAGCTACCATACCTGTCACTTCACATAAGCCAATCAGCAGCAGTCTTTCTCTAACTCACTAATCAAACCCTCAGCTCATTAATACACACTGCTTCCTCCTGAATGTCCATCCCGCCCATTTCTAGTGTAGCCTATCCTTCCTCTCTCATTTACCTTCACTAGTGAATTACACTCAGCAGCCTTAGCTGCTGAAGCCTCTTCCCATTCTCTCATCGTGGCTATCCCTCCTGAGCAAAGCAGAACCTGATCATCGCTCTACAGTACAGTAACCTACAACAACTCTTCAAATCAAATCTCTTTATTTCACTATTTCTTATTCTCTGTATTCTAGTCACCTTACAAATTGTTCTCAAGCTTGCCAATTCTCATAATCTCCTTCCTCTTGTACGGAGCTCATGTTTTACACTCATATACTGTACTGTAATAATTCTCAACTCAACTCCCTGTTGTCTGCATGATTAACCCACAAAAAAGCATCACACACACACACACCAGACTCAGAGCCTATTGGCTTTTGGGCCAGACTGTTGGACCCCCCCCCCGGAATATCACCAAATTCACACCCAAAAGTGACAATTTCGTTTCAGAAAGCAGTGGAATCAGTGAATAACAGTGCTTAAGCCAGCAAAATCAATGCTAAATACAGAAAACTGAATGCCATGGCCAAATTAATCTTCACATCCACTAGTAAGGTCCCAAGGAAACCATTATAGCCTACAGCATTTGATGACCATATGGTGAAGGTGCTTATCAGTCCATGCTGGGAGGCCTGGGAACGGCTGAGTCAGACCTTCACACCTAACTGTGAAGTACCACAACACCACATGGAAGTGAGTGAGGTCCTATGACACTATGATGCCAGGTAATGAATGATTTACTGCATCATGTGAGGTCCCTCATAACAACTGTGAATGAATTACCAAAGTGTCTCATGTGAGGTTCCGCATGACAACACCTGTGAACAAGTTAATGTGCCACATGTGGACCCTTATGACAACACTTGTGAATGAGTTACTGCACCACATGTCTGCTGTTCAACACCTTAGCACAGTGACCTATGTGATTTCACAGAAGGACAAGAGACCAGCCCCTGCCATCATTGTAAACAATAATTTGTATGTTTACTTAGGTTCCTTAGGGCATATTTATGAAATAAACACAAGCAACCACCAGACTAACACGAGAAGATCCAAGCACTTTCATGATCACTCACACCTTTGGCAGGAACTGCACTGTACTCCCTGATGATGTGAATACATGTACAGTGTAATCATGTACAGTATTTGAATTTTTTTGTTTGCTTGCGGTTTTAAGCATACAGTATCGGTACTGTACTATAGGTACACACCAGTATTTGGTACAGGGTATATAACTATGCTAAAAATGTACTTAATGCAGGTAAGGTACATTATATCCAAGCTTGCCTGTACAGTATACTGTACTGGTAGGTTTATCAACGACATAATGATATATACCGTAGTACAGTAATTTGAATATGAAATGAATGTTAAACCAAATGAGTGCCACACATTCTAAACTACGGTGTTGTGTTCTCAGTTGTTATATAATGTTGTGGTAGTGTAACTTCCAATTAAATGTGTTGGCACTGTTTAATAAGCAAGCAACCTTGTTTCATTTACCGGTACATGTTGAGGTACAGTACATGTACTGACAAGAGTTGCACACCAAGCCACAGGTGCTCTCCACACGTGAGACTTCAACCAATTAATACATGGCACGCTCACTGCCGTCCTCAATACACCATGAAAACTGCCATCCCATGTTTTAAAACTACAAATGGTGTTGTTGTGTGCTGCACCTTCTGAAAAGCTTATTACGTCACTTGACTTTTTGTGGTGACGTCAGGCATGGTTCCACCACCAATCAAAAGGCCCGTGCCTCACCTGGTGGGCTCTTCAGATGATTGTATCGCCACCAACCACCCTCTATCAACGGCAACAAAAACATATCACGAGGCAAATGTACGGATATGGTACATCCAATGGTGTGCTGGTTTACTACCATAACCGGCAGCCAGGGAAGTTGAGGCATTGTGGTGGCTACCCACAGGTAACGTGAACCCCAACAAAAACTGGAGGGAGCGCCTAATAGCTGCCACGTCGAGCATTTCCGCCGTCCTTGAAGGTCACACTGGGAACCCCTGCTGTCTACTTTATTATGCTTCCTCTTCACACACACATCTTTCTCCACTAAACTACCGATAAAGTGCATCACACACACACACACACCATAGATAAAAATGTAATTGTCAAGGCCAGCAAAGCGTTCTTCATAAGTATAGGTAATGAAAAAAGACTTCCTGGGATATTTCTAAAATTAGTGGAAGGGGTTTGTTAAAAACCCGACATGGCCGTCCACTGTCACCCAACTCAGTAAAATAATTTGGAGAAATTTGAGAAATAAAACAAACTTTTTGGGGAGGTAACTGAATAATTTTTTTTATTAACCATAGGTAGCTAAACTTAATATTACAACAGCCAATGATAATACTGTAAAGGAAGTTATACACAATACCTTCCTGTATAAGATGCCACTTGTTATAATCAAAGCGTTATCATAAATTGTCAATATTCACCAACCCAGAAGTTAAATATTAATTTCAAATTATCCTAGCTCGAGATGATACCCTGCCTCCCACTACTGTATATTCAGCTAAAATGCAATCAAATGTACAGGTAAATTAACGACTTGCGTGAACATATACAGTATATACCTGTATGTGGTACGGAGAACCTCCACACACACTATATATATATATATATATATATATATATATATATATATATATATATATATATATATATATATATATATATATATATATATATATATATATAAAAGCTCGGAGTTGCCACGCCACATGAAAAACTAGTCAAGCTTCTAGAATTTATATATTACCCGCCGTTGTATATGCAAGAGCAGGGAAGTGTGTTCTCAGCGGTCACCTCCGAGCACGCACCAAGATACACCCATCCCATATTTATTCTGGACTTGAATCTGTTGTGTTGCAACCTACCTCAGACGGATTCACCCCCCGCCGATGATGAGATATATGCAAGGGTAGAGGTTACGTCATTTACTGTGCAAGGGGAGGTAACCATAAGTAAAGAAGGGGATGTGACTTCATATAAAGATTGGGATGTGACGTCATATAAAGATGGGGATGTGACGTCTTACAGCCTAGGACCCAAATTCGCCGCAAACAGAAAGCTCGCGAAGCAGCCATCCCCCCTAGACTCCCCGCCCACCTGGTACGATGTCCTCCGTAAACTTCCTGACCTCTCGTATGTCTATGGGAAAGGGTCGCGGGAAAGGGACGTAATTGCTGCCCGTATCATCATTGGGTATGACTTTTCTTGGGAGATCGGTATCCCCGCATCCCCTGAGCAAAGCTCTTGTGCATTATGCAGAAGACCCGACAGCAGCACCCTTATCCACTACCTCCTAAGATGTCTCCACACACAACGCTTCCGTGACGCCTGCTGGACCACCACTCCACGACCCCCTGACGGAGACACGATGATCCTCCCCATACTGGCCAGATATTATGTAAATAATATTGATTATGTGTTAAAGGAATATCCTTCCTTCCTTAGGCTTTAGTAAGCCCCTTTTATAATATTTATTTATACTGTATATACTTGTGACACTTGCCAGATGCTTCTGGTGTTATAGTACAGGGGTACCTAGTGACAGCACTAGGATCCCACTTCCTCTATCAAGGAATAAACTATTGAAACTGAATTGATGTGACGTCACAAAGATGGGGATGTGACGTCATAAAGGGGAGGTGGCGTTATATAAAGAGGTAACCTGTGATAATGAAAGGGAAGGTGTAGAGATAATGAAGGGGGAGTTGGATGGGATAGCAATCGTGTTCTTCACTTCACATTCGTCAAAGGAAATGAAGGTACCGCATGTAGTAACAAGACGAGACGTTATGGCGTTTGTGAATGTAAATTAACATCAACAATAAGGTTGCCATCTGTGGAGACAAGGGAAAGTTTGGGCTGTGGGGGAAGGGATGAATTCCACAACACACAAAGGCCACGCAAACAAAGCGAGCCCAATAGTACTTGCAGGACCACACCACCGACGCACCTCACACGAATATGCAACTGATACTATAAATCTAATATGAAAGTGTAATGCAAGTAGGAGTGACAAAGTAAAGAGAGGGTGTATCGGTGTGGGGCAGTCAGTAATGACCCTCACCTGTGCCACGGTAACTAATACATAAATTTTGCCAGTCGATATTCTGGCAGCATGACTCATGGCGGAAGAACACACGAGGATGTTTCATCCTTGAACTGGCACAGATGAATAAACACAAAGACAGACATTCAGTAAAATCTAATTACAAGTTGACATTGGTTCAGCAAGTACAC